AGCGAAGCCTTGCTTCGTGTTGACACTTCTTTTGTTGTTTTCCGACTTCAGGTGCGACATTTACATTATTTACATCTCGTTCCTCGGGGAGATGGATTGCTCAGATTGGGTATAACACGCGAAGCTACTATGTACTATGTAGGGACTTTCGACGCTGAGGAAGAGGCAGCTGAGAAGCGGGTAATCATGTATATAATAAAAAAGTTGTATAAATTGAAATCATTTACATGCAGGCCAAAAGTCCTTCTCGCATATTCACATCTCAAGTTTGGTACCATCCTTCTTCGCTAGTGTGAATTCATCAGCGACCCACTCATCAGGAGTATCATGACTCCTCCTTCTTCCTTTGAATCTAACTGTGACGGGCTCAACGCCTGGGGCTTCCACTGAAAAAACGAAATCGGCTTTTCCTCGTACACTTTCAATGCTGCCATTGATCCAGCCCTTGTTGTGTACTAGTTTGCTACTAGCACCTGTGAATTCAGCGACTCGGCCATCATGATTGAGAGTATACAGAAGACTTCGAAAGACTAGAGCAATGAAATTGGTGGTGGTGAGTTGAGAAGGTCAAGTTTGTTCAAGCTTCTTTCGTTTGCTCTAGCTTTGTTTGTGGGACAAGTTCCTGCACCAACACGGCTCCAAGCCTGACGATGAAAGACCTGACGTCTTTGGCCATCAAAATTCAAACAAAAGCCCCATTTGTGGTCGACAAAAGTTTGCAATCTTACTGGAAGTGTGTGTAAGAGATTGGTTTGAATTGTTGAGGAAAAAGTACGTCCAGACAGATATTCCGCCAACAGATACAGCTAAAGCTGCTGGAGTCGATAATATCTTCCTTATAGATGCCATTTTCTATGATAATGATACAGTAGATACTAACGTACGATATAGCGTTAGTTGCATACTAATGTTCACGACGACAGAAAACGAATTGCTTGACTTTACCAGAGATATTTGGATGGAACAAAGAGACTCCGATTCTTTGGATTGACAGCACTTTTGGCTTGAGTGTTGCACACCAAAAAACCTCTAGCTTCTATATGACGTCCTTTGATATGTCTAGTAAAAACAGACAGGGAAACGAGATCGCGACTTGCTGACTAGAAAAAAATCAAATTTACGTGTTCAAAGTGCGTTGCTTCAGTTCCTCATCTTGAAAATCGACGAGAGCATTACCTCTTTCCTTAAAACTCTGTCAGCTTTTCAAAAACAGAAAATGTACAGCGATGGCACCGGGCCAGGCGCGAGCATGCCAGCCAATAGTGCTGGAATACCATATGAAGGTGCTAACTCTCCTTCTAATGTAAGTCTGTTCTTAAATCACGTAAAGAAATCAAAAACAACACGAAACACTAGTAAAATCGTCCTGGGTGACAACAAGCACATTTACTCTTATGTCGCGTCCTTTTCTTATCGAAATTCATCACATTAATAGGGAATCTGGCTGCCACAGCTGGCTATTACCGAGTGGCCCACAGGTTATACGTTAATCTCTCAGCAACCAACATCACGACCGCCCTCTCCCACTGCTTCTGCTCCTCGTGCACATTCGCCTACTCTTGCTAAACCTCGCGTAGACCATAAATTATTTGGTCATCCAAGCGGAAAGTAAGTTGAACCATCTCGCAATGAAACTAAACACACACTTCCGTGTTGAGCGTTTAAGGATGGAATCATGAAACACGAGTTTTATGGAAAGATGCCAAACGCTTCACATTGTCTCTTATTCATGCCGTGATTTGGGTTATGACCATTTCCTTGTTCAAAACTCTTTGCAGAATCCAATTCACGAAACTAACGCGTCAGTTATACTAGATATTATCAGTCACCTAAGGAATTCAAACCTCATCTCGACTGGTTACGAGCAGGTGGACCGAATTCACCAAATCCGTGTGATTGTGTTTTATGTGTCCAGACCTCACTAAAGGGAATCCCGCCGTCATCATTGACAACATACACTACCAGCACTCCTTCACCACAAGTCACTACAGGTGTAGATCCACGACATAATCCTCCTATTATAAATACTGCCCGTCAACCAGTAGACGACCTATTGGAGGCAGCATTGCTGCATATGGGAACTGTGACTAGGTCGAGATCAAGTAGTCCTTCGACTTTATCTATGCCCAGACCATTCGTCAAGTCTGAAGAAGGCCCCAGTCAACCTGTAGAAACTTATATGGCTGATGCTCAGATGCCTCAGATGCCTCAAATGCCAGTCGTAGCTCAAATGCAGCAAGTGCCGGTCGCAGTACCTCAGAGGTCATCAACACCAACAGGTGGTAGAGGTCGTGCTCGTGGCCAAAATACCCGTGGTAGAGGTCTCAATCGATCAAGTCCTAAAGGCATGGGAAGAGGAGGTTCGCTGGAGCCTGAAGATCCTGGTGCAATATATATTGCTTCTCCTGTTCCTCCTCTTCCACAATCGTATTCAGCAGAACAGCTACCGTCAATGACATCTTCACTGCCACCACCACCATCAGTAGCAAGAACATCGTCGCAGGAACGTAGAAGTGGAACTCCACAACCGCAAACATCAGTTGTCTCACCACAACCACAGTCGCCATCACAACAACAGCAGCAACCATCAGCACCTCAACAGCAGCCAGCACCAATAGTATCAGAAGAGCAACGACCTCCTAGAAGGCCGCGTGGTTACAAAGGCACTACATATACGCCCATGGTAATCCAGAGACCGCCAACAACTCAAGCACCAGCTCCCTGGATACCAGGAATGAATGCCCTGTCACATCCAAACCATCCTTTTAATCAGAAACAAGGAAGATCCACTGCACCTCCCAAATTTGCGTCTATATCATCACAGCCATTTTATACTCATCCGCCACGAGATGGAACACCTCCTCCCATTCAGCAGTTACCTCTAGTAGGTTGGGCTTGGCCTAGTGGGCCTCGTGAGGGTGAATTATGTTGGGCTCCATTAGATAGACCGCCAGAACCTCAACGTGCAATGTCACCAGCCTTCTCCGAATCTGTAGATACTGTAATGGCGTCACCTACACCGCCACCAGAAGGTCGATTCAGTTTGTTTTGGGTGGTGCAAGTAGTTGCTAAAATAGGACCAGTCGCATCAGCCATTGTGAGAAAAGCTGGAGCTGATGATGGCCTAAGGATTACGTCTGCAGGTGGTAGTCTAGATTTGCTGAACCTGGCTTGTGCCGCTGACGGTATGCGTGTGGATTCAGATGGAGAAGACGAGGAAGTCTCTGCACGAGATCAAAAACGTGTGAAAAAGAGTCCTGGAACTGCTGGTGAAGCTTCAAAACCATCTGACACTATAGCTGGTAGTTCTGCCAAGGGACCAAGGACTTCACCAGAGAAAGCAGCGAATGGCATCCCGCCAGACAATGTAAAGAAACGAAAGACAAGCTCAGCCTCAAAGCTACCAGTTGAAGGAGAACCCTTGTATATAGTGCGTACCTTGCCTCTCCATACTCTAGATCCCAAACGACCCGATCCAACCGCCGAACACTATTTATTACCAGCTGCACAACTATATCCATATCTTGCTCATGAGCCAGAGCCACGACGTGATATTCGATTCAATAGAGCTGCTTTGCAAGCTGTCGATATGGTTGGAGGGTGGCATATACCGGAGGGATCTGAACTAAAGAGGCGCTTCATCACTCGCATAGAACCATCACCCGATGTGAATAGTAACCCTGCTCAAGCCAGTCCCCCATTAACATCACGGGACATTATAGCTGCTCTGAATAAAGGCTTCTCCATACCGGGTCGAGCACTACCAGATTTGAGTGATTTTGATACTTATAATCCAGTACTGGAAGCAGCCAATAGTAGTGATACGAGTATGGCTGCTAGAGTTACTGCAGCAGTAGCAGGTCGTTTAGCAGATCAAGATAAAGTACGAGTAACGCAACTTCAACGTATACGCTATGGCTCTGAAGTTCTGGAATTGGGTGATCTAGTACGACTGACAATGAGACAAACGGAAAAGAAGTCTAGAAATAATCCAAATGGACCTGGAGTTGGTACTCGACGATCGGCTGCTGCATCTACAGTCAATGCATATGGAGGTGCTTTTGGTAATGTGACGTTTAATCTCGTACCCAATCAACCGTTACAGCCCAACGAGCCTGAATACCTATGTATAAGGCATATAACAGTACGACGACGTCTAGTCAACAATACGGCCTCTGTACGCATCGAGGGTGAGATATATCACCGTGTCGCTGTAGCTCTCCCGAATAGTGATGTAAAAGTCAGGTGGCGTCGCTTCAACGTCCATCGTGAAGTCGAACTAACTCGTATAGCTGGACGATGCTATGGAGAAACGGATATAAAGCATCGAATGCCCGTGGTCTGTGAAGTCCGTGACTGGGATGGTATTGAACGTCTAGACCCAGTAGACAAAGAACGTGAAAAGGAAACCATAACAGCAGTAGTATTACGAGCTCCTAAATCAGTGCTTGAACCACAACCAGCCTTTGATGACGCAGAAGGAGAGGAATCCGACGAAGAGGATTTGAATGAAGAGGAGGCTGGTGGTGGAATGACTGAAGATGAACCTGAACTCGTAGCTCCACCGCTCAGAAAACCAGCTTCTGCAGCACCGCCACGTGTTCCCACTGGTCGTCCAAGAGGTCGACCGAAAGGATCACGTAATAAAGCAGGTCGTCCACGTCGCGCTACATCATCTGACGAAGACAGTGACGAGGAAGTAGAATCTGAAGATACAGAAGAGGATTTGAACTCGAACGAAGAGTTGGAGGAAGAGGACGATGATGAAGATCTTGATGATCGGGATGATCGTGATAGCTCACCCTTAGGTCCTTTGCCTCTGCGGATGAATACTACTGCATCATCGGCTCCTCCTGCTTGGCGGCCATTCCAATAAACATACAACCACAGTATATAAAGAACACGCTACCAATATTAAAAATGAAGAAGCATATATGTAGTAGTATTTGGGATTGGGCAAGCACAAAAATACATACTTGTTCAGACTATCAAGTAATCTTTTAGAACTTTGCGAAATATGGCTCGGCGGTTGCTTTGGTCTTGTAATAGGCTTCGTCGAAAGCTAACAGGATCTCTTCGGGTAGCTTGCTTTCGCTTTGAGTGGCCTTGATGTTTAAATCCATTTGAGCAAATGAGGATCCGCCCAAGATGTAACCGTCTCCTTTTGCTAAACCGGCAAAAAAGAAGCTTCATAGTCATGTACTGGACGGCGGACTGAACCTTTGCCCAAGCACTCACATCCATCAAGACCCGAATGGAACTTCATCCATCGCATTGAGGCATCCATAATATCAATATTGTGCTTTGAGCATACATTTTTGACATTCCCGACTGCTTCCAAATAGGATTCCTTCCAGAACTATGGGTGTCGAGTTCTGAGTTAGTACAACTGAGTTGTTTGTGATGGAGCAAAAAAAAGGCTGATTAGGCACCATGTCACGGTATCGACCAGCCGAGAAACGAGTTCCAGCCTCCAAGTTCTGAGTGATTGAAGAGTATCGATTCGTAAGGAGGCCACCGGCAAGTGGTGAGTACGCGTAGAATGCGATGTTCATTTGTTTTAAGGCTGGGAATAGTTCTGCTTCCACGTCTCTCTATACGAGAATGGTTACGTCGTCAGACAACACTACGTGATGCAAACGGCATTGACGTACTGATAGTGGGTTGTAGATTCCTTGGTATACTGTCGGTTTCAAGTAGCCATTATAGTTGCAAATGTCGTATATCTGACGACCAAAAAAAGTTATTACGACAACTCAATGTTGCAATGGTTTGCACAAACCTTTTGAACTTCAAATGCACTATAATTTGAGAGACCAAAAGCTTTGATTTTGCCTGTTTGAGCCAAAAACTTAGTTTATAATCGCCAGGGTGAAAATATGAACACTCACCTTCTTTGTAAAGCTCATTGATAGCCTTACAAGTTTCTTCTAGCGGTGTAGGACGATCCGGGAAATGCAGATACAACAAGTCAATCGTCGTTACGTTCAACGCAGTCAAGCATCGAGTTGCTTGTTTCCGAACACCGTCTGCTGAGAATGATCCAGCTTTCGCGGGGAAGAGCTTTGTAGCCACTTTCAAGGATTTGGAGTATCCCATTCGTCCAAGAGTTTCTTCAGACTTTCCTATATTACGACGGCGTTAAAGTTGGCAAAGAACGTCGACGAAGTAGGGAGATGGCACCAACCTCCTGCATAGATCCTAGCGGAATCGAGCTCGTTGTAACCAGCAGCTATGAATGCATCGATTGTCTTTTTCAGATCAGAGTCCGATAGCCTCCCACCGACGGCGTTGGTTCTGAATTTTAGGTTTGATGAGATGCAGTTAGCATGCAAAATATCAAAGATCGAGAGTTCGGAAACAAAGGCACGATCATAAATTGTATAGAAATATAAATACGGAAGCTTCATGTCTGATCTGACGAGCATCGACCACAATCTGCTGTTTGTCAGCATTTTGCAACATAACTCCATGTATTTCGCATACGTAGTATACTGTACTCGAAGATCAAACTTCCTTGACGTACGTACCCAAGAATCACGTTTGGTACCGTCATGATTAGCTAAATCCACTTGAATGCGTGTAGAAAGAGAAATGCGTCCAGACGTAACACACACGCAAAAGTGGCACAAAATGTAACGAGAATTGCCATTTTAATTGATACTAACAACATACTAACTTGTTCATTTTTAACGTAAATACTATGCTATTCAAGCAAAGAACTGGTGTGTCTTCCTGACTTTTTCAATCGTAATCATATCGTCCTTGACAATATAATCAGCAGCTCGCTCAGCCAACATGATTGTTGGTGCGTTCGTGTTTCCAGTGATTACATCGGGCATTATAGAGGCATCACAGACTCGGATGCCTTGAACACCGTGTACTCGATGCGATTTGGTATCAACCACTGAATCTGAAGGTGATGACCCCATCTTGCAAGTGGACGTGGGATGGTAGATGGTTTCGCTGAAACTACGTGCGTATTCTTCAAGTTGGGCATCAGTCTGTACTGATGGGCCAGGAGCGATCTCTGGTCCGAGATACTTTTTCATTGCTATGATAGAACGATACGAATTAGTTCACTTGCAAAAATGTGCCTGGTTTTTCTGAATCATTTGAAGGATTCTGACCTTCTTGTTGATATATTTCACGAGCTAGCTTGATTCCGTTTACCATCACGTTAATATCCTCAGGAGTGCTAGAAATATGGCAATGGTTGGGATTAAGCGATTTTGAAACGGAAATCAATATTCCAAAGGAAAGATCGACTAATGCTTCTTACCTGAAATAGTTGGGAATAATCTTGACATTTTCGAATGGATCTGCGGATGCAAGAACAACCTTTCCAACAGATGTTGGTCGAACTACTCCAGGACTAAAACAAATTCGTCCTTTAGAAGGCACTATCCTTATTCACATAAATCAAATACATTGCATGGCAAACTTACGCGAGGAACATTCCATGAGGATTCTGCGGTGGTTGAGGGTTCTTGAAACCATGTTCCAGATAGAACGATCCAGCACTGTGGGTTTGCATAGTCGGATATGCAAGCGAGTGGTCAAACAAGTCATCTCCACCTGACCCGATTTTGTCTGTTCGAATCTTGTAGAATGCGCAGATTTCGGCAATGTTGGATGATAATGGGCCAGTTCCAAAGAGCTGTAGCTGCCTCATTGATTCTTCTGCGTCTGTTTCAGCGAGAGCAATCGATACGGGTTGTGAAGCCTCGTGACAAACAGAGCACAACAAGTGGTCCTGTGCAAGCGAAAGTTTGAATTAAAACTTACAATTCGCTGGTGCTGAAACTAGATGTTACGAACCTGCATATTCTCGCCAACTGCTGGCAAGTCAACTACGACTTTGATGCCATGTTGCTCCAGCTGTTCACGTGGACCAATGCCTGAGAGCATCAATAACTGAGGAGAATTCAAAGCTAATCGAGAAATGGTTGTAAGCAGTCCAACCTTTCAAGACCATTGTCACATTAGACACCACAAACTCACCACCACCACAGAGAATAGTCTCTTTAGCCATGATAGTTTTAATAGTTTTGGACGTCTTGTCCATATATTCCACACCAACAACAGTTGGATTACTATCTCCAGAAAAAACCAAGCGAGTGACATGTGCATTCGTTACGAGTTTCAAGTTATTGCATGCCGCCAATGCTGGTCGGATATACTGACGAGCTGTCCCTGCACGGAAACCATACTTTGTTGTGGTCTGTACATATCCAATCCCTTCCTGCTCTGGAGTATTCAAGTCGGTCACGAATGGAGCGCCACCACGTTGGACTGCTGCTTGCAGCAAAGCTTCAGAAATGACGTTGACAACACGATCAGTTACATTTAGTGGCCCGCCAACCCCGTGGAGTTTGGTCATGCTAGGGTCTCGGATTGACGCACGTTCGTTGTGCTCTGCCTTCTTAAAGTATTTGAGGGCATCTGCATCGTAAGCGAGAGATGCGTCACCAGTAGTTTCTGCCCATCGGTCATAGTCACCCTTGTTTCCTCGAATATATACCATGGCATTCATGCTTGTACACCCTCCAAGGACTTTTGCTCGTGGCCTATACCAGAACAAAGAGCAAGTTAGTGGAGGCCCATGTCGAGTTGTGGCAGTTTTGAGCAAAAATCAGGTCATCATAGTCTCACCAAAACATGGCTCGATTGCCAGAAGTGGGTTCAGGCTCTGTAAAGTACTGGTAATCCAAGTCCGTCTTGAAGAGTTTGCCAAAAGCCACAGGGATATGAATAAACGGATTGTCATCGACCGGACCTGATTCCAATAGGACGACAGACTACAATGAAGCGTATTGAGATGTTAGGCTGCAAGTTTACGGTCTGCTTCCAAGACTTGCGACGTCCAATGTGCTCTCGGTGACACCAAGAACTTGGACTTTGAGCCATACGGTCCAGTACAGGGATATTTGAATCTTACCTTTTCAGCATCTTCAGCAAGCCTCTTCGCCAGAACTCCACCTACAACAAATGCGAATGCTCTCGTCAAACAACGGCCAAATGCCAAATGTCGAACGAGGCAAGAAACAACAGCCTGACCACATACCGGCAGCTCCTCCGCCAACAATGATGTAATCCGTGAATGCCATTGTTCTTCACAAAAAGGATTGCAGCGAGGTTCGAGATGGTGGTGTGAAGGAGAGTGACCAACGTCACGTTTTCGTCGAGGACACACAAACAGATTGCTATTCGTTAGAGAGTTGGCGACGTATTTTAGTAGCTTTGACGTTGTTCTCGCTTAGTTTGGCTCTTCAGTAGTTCCCTGGAAGAAATCCGCAAACCTCATCACTCACGAAAAAATCGATCAACCAGTCTCGAAATTCAACACTTACGTCTCGTGCGGAGGATCGGAGTGCTGAATACTGAATACTTTGGCATAAATTTTACAGCTGGCGGAGTGTGATTCTGCTCGATTTTGCGTCCTTCGAAAATGTAGCAGAAAAGCAATCCAGCCGAAACAGACGCAAACAGGAAAACGTTCTTCAGTTCCAAAAGTTAGTGGACGAGTACTTGAAGCCTTAAACTATGAATCCGGCTCCATACTGCATATCATCCAGGGTATCGAGCTAGGCCTTGCATCTTTCAATTTTCAGTGCTTTGGCTGGTTGATTTTTTTCGGATGAGCCTCATTTGCGTAGGTGATGAAGCCCCGCACACGCTACTCTCGTTCGAAAAACATTCTATCGTAGGCTTAACTAAAGTCATGATTTGGACCACGACATTTTTCTTGAGCCTCATGCTGATGATTCAGCAGTGCAACGCACTCTTCATTCCACCGTTGACCTACTTGTCAGACACCGAAAATCAGCTAGTCAATCAATTCAAATTGAAGCTCCCATGCAGAAAAGGTGTCGTGTACACGTGTACATATCAGACAATACACAAATTTTTGCTGAATTTTATGAGCTAACCTTTCATCGGTTTCCTCGCCCATAGTCAGTTTCATTTATGCACGAGGCTCTGGTGGTATGGTTGCTTGGTTACTGAACTGCATCCATCGCCATCAAAACTCTTTTAACTTTGCCCATTTGATGGACGATGGACCAGACTATGATGCGGCATTTGGTTAATCAATCCAAGTGCGTGTGCTGACGAGAAGTTTCCAATTAGAGCTGGGAAACGTTGGAATTGCAGTTGGGCCACCTGTAAGGCGCGAGCGTTATCATGAAGTCTTATGCAGTCCTGATTTTGATTTTATGCGCTTTGACAAGCTCTTCGCATCTTTATCATTCATTTGGTCACATCTTAGCTCTTTTGGACACTTGGCACAAAGATGAATGCAGACAACCTTGCTCTTCAAGGTGTCGATTATCCGGCAATACTGTCTGTAGGACTCAATGGGGGTGATCCAGGTAAGCTATCAACTTGCACGAATATCAAGATGGCCTCAAATCCTCACACGACTCCCCTTAGCTGATGGACACAAAATGGCGGACCTAGTAGATCAAACGACAGTAGCTTGTCCAGCTACTCAGATTGTTTTGGGGGGGTACTCGCAAGTATGTCAGAAACGCCCCGTTGCAATCGTTTTTGGCCCAACCATACTTATGTGAATTACTAGGGTGCAGAACTGGTTCGCCGTGCATTGACATTCTCAAAGAGCGTAGCCAGAATTGTTGCTGTAGTAAGTAATAGTCAACAACAGTCTCTGTCGTTGGAATACTGAAAATTCTACTGACGAAACTTCTCTCATCTCAAGGTCACTTTTGGTGATCCACAGAACACTGCAGCTATGGATTCCAGAGTGAGTTCGAGTCTCACCTGCTTTGGTCATTCTTTGCTTACAACATTTTCCGCTAAACCGCACACCGTAGGTCGATGTTTCACGAATAAAGGTGTATTGCCACAAAAATGACACTGTCTGCTCAGGCGCACACCTAACGAACTTACTTCAAATCTCGGCTCCTCACTATACTTATGGACTTTTGGATGCTGGAGATGCTGCTAGTTTCATCTTTTCCAAACTCAAACTTTGATCGCAAAGTGCTCTATGGGTGATAACGATGTTAGAGAATGATTGGTTATCTGATCAGAATTCCTAGCCCAGTAGTGACTTATGCCATATCGTAGTTTGTCTCTAACCTAATACTAAAATACTAACCATTGTTGTTGGCAATAGAGGCAGTATGTAGTGAGCTTCGTCGTTGTGGACTGTTTCGAAAGGTGTTCTGAACGCGTAGAACATCGAAATTGATCTAACAGTCCAGATACAATTTTCTCTCTCTTGTCTCATGAGCGATCGCGTAGGTGAATAAACGTGAAAGCCAGTGTTAAAGGATTAACTACCCTTCAGAACTTGATATTTGGTTGTTTCAATACCGACCTTGCGACCTTACGACTGTTCCATCGAAAATCACACAGATCGATCTTTCGCAAGTAAGTTTATTGTCATCCACTAGACAATATATGTCAAGGAGGGACAGAACTCTTGCCTCCTCATTATACGTATGGCCTGGATGTTGATGATGTTGCCAACTTTATCTTTTCCAAATTGACTTTGAGAGTTGCGTGAATGATGACGATGTGATTGTAGTACAGAATGTCATGTTTTTCTCAACAAAAGTATATCCTGGTGTTCTGTGTACATCGTAACATAGAATGAAACGACTGATTTTGGCATTTGAGGCATTTCGGATTTCGGAATTGCGAGAATGTTTCACCATGTTTGGACATTCGTTTTTAGATTCTCAAATCATGGCAAATGACTTGAATTAAGTATTGGAATCATTGATGTTCCCTGCAGTGAGCGACCGTTCGAGTGAATTTCTCTGTCCAGCTTTTGACGAGTTTTGGCAAAAAAATAATTCAAAGTCCGACTTAATCACCACCTCGTGCACTACCACCCAATTACGACTTGGCAACAACAATGGCTTACTATCAGAGGCTTCTAGCACGACTCCAGGTATGTACCGAGCTCTCGACTGCCGATCTTGACCAAGTATGCCCTCAATTCGGTGCCATACCGGATGTATGCAACCACTTAAAACGCTGCGCAGAACTGTTTCGCATCACCAAGGAAACAGCAATTTAAGTTGTGGCAATCAGAGAAATGATACTGATGGTGGGATTCAACCGTTGAATGCACCTGGATCTCCTTCGGTTGTCCACGAATGTCACATTTTCAGATATCCAAACATTTCGATCCAATCATGCTCAACACAAACGGTTGGCACCCAAAGCCTCACTTCTTTTAACTCTCTCGATCACACCTAGATCGGACTCTCTCTCTTCCTCCTAATCATCAACACCACCGATGCCGGGCCTGCGTCTCCCATACAATCGGCCAAACTCATACCCAATAGCAATACCGTACAACCTAGCCCAACGGTATATTCACCAGTAGATCTAAACTCAATTACTCAGAATGGGCTTCTTGCTGGACCATGCAAGCCCGTGACTGTTATTTGGGGGAGGGAATCACTTGCGCCAGGGAATGTAGGGCTTAATGTTGGACCTCCATTATTTAAAGCGCTGGCTGCAGTGGTGGATATCTCAAAGGTTACTCTACAGTGAGTTTTCATTGAATGTGGAACTGACGTTCATGTAATTTAGTTTTCGTAGTGATTCTAACAAGTCTTGTCATTGTAGGGGCGTTGATTATGCAGCTAATCTTATAGTAGGCCTGGCTGGTGGTAATAAAGGTACGTCGCTAGTTGGCTTATCCAAACCGTGTAGAGAAAAAATGTTCATCGCACCAACCACTCCCACCACGTATCTCACTCAATTTAACTCTGACGGAATAGCGGATGGCGCAAACATGGCAAATCTGACAGAGTATGCAGTTGCTAAATGTCCCGGAACGCAAATAGTCCTCGCAGGTTACAGCCAAGGAGCTCAACTAGTACGCTTCTGCACGAATCAAACCACAGCGCTTTCCAGTATCAAGGCTGTAGTAACGTTTGGAGATCCATTCAATTTAACGGCCATGCCAAGAGTTAGTCCTTCCATTGTCAAAGTGTTTTGTCATCCTGGTGATTTGTTGTGTAAGGGACTACCCATAATAACTCTTGCACACGGGGGATATGCTGCTGATACACCTGCCGCAGCTGCATTTATCGCTTCGAAATTAAAGTTCTGAAAAATACCGCCTGCTTCATTTTTTATGTGATTTGCTAATCTGATTCTTCTATTTTCCAACTGTTACAATGCTTTCATGTAATATATTACACATACAAGACCTCTAAAATTTCCTTCCAGAAAAGATCTAGAGTTCTTGCGTATTGTATTTACTAGCCAAGTAGTCCGTTACGGTCACAGTCAAGAGCTTAACACTCTATAGCCTCCCACGAGTAGTTGTTTCAATATACTTTCTGAGTTGTTCGACAGCGTTGAAGCCAGAGTGACTACCACCTACAATTACATTGCTAGCAAAAAAAGGTCGATGGATCCTTCTAATAATAATCGATTGAAACATGCTACCACTATAATGCCTCCTAACATCCGACTTCCATGTAAACACAAGGAATTCATTTCTTTAGACCAGTTATCATCTAAAAGAGCTTTATCTCAGAGAAGGCAACTCCCGGTCTGTGTCAGCTCAGTTCCAGCTTGACCAGATTCGGGCACATGTTGGGAATCATCGTCCAGTCGCCAGAAGTTATATTTGTGAGCTTAAGATCAGTCAATTGAGGTTGGGGCCTCTCGAAGAAACCGCCACATAAGGCTAATTGGAAAGCTCATTCTACTTGGAGTAACTTTGGGAATGCAGCGTCTCGGAATATGGACTTTTGTAGAGCATGTGGTCCAGCGAGATTCAGAGATAGCGTCAAGTGTGTTTGATACCGAGGCCAATCCTTGACAGATTTCCATTTATGAGGAGAAAGAATGTTAGCGATATATGTTCATACGCATCCTGTATGATACTGTTCGTTGCTTTCTGCTGTAAATTGCAAAACGACAAGGAAGCACATTCGAAGAGACACCGCAATTACCTTCCGATGTAATTTTGCTATGTTGATCAGTTGACAGATTCAGAGCTTCTAAACGAGACGGTAATACTTGCATGATTCCCTGCCTAGACGATATACCAGACAACCTCAACACCTTCAAATTCTTGAATTCACCGAGATTAAAGTTTTGAGACATGACAACCTCCACCAAAAACAATCTCGTTTACTACAATTTACTTCCAGCGACGAGAGCCTTCCATATCGGCATGACTAGTTCACTGGTATACATATCTAGCTCCTTCAGATGCCAATGTCGTAATCCTAATGGAAAGGTTCGTGGCAGCCTATCCATTGTGGTCTTGAATTCGACATTTGGATGTGCGAGTGCCCATTTAGTCCAGTCGTCGTGAGTTCTGTGCTGCCAGTCCGAGAGATTCATTTCAGATATAGATGGTGGAATGGCCCAAAATATGGCGTTGGACATGCTGTCTCTCCAGAGTGCTCCTATATTTGACGTTTTGTGCAGAGCGACAGGAGTTCCTTGATCATATATTCATCAGCGTCGTCCCTTTGACAAAGCAGACGTCAGTCGAGAGTGCAGGAAGCACATTCAGGCTCCCCAGTGTACTGCTGCAAACCCACTAAGACACATTCACTTTGGTACCCAGTCTCGCATAGCATCCCATTCACATCGAGATCCCGAACACAGCGAAGTGGATTGTGTTGTCGATAAAATCCGCTAGGAGTGACTCTGTTTACAGCTTTGAAGCATGGCTCTACGGGCATGACCTTTTTCTCCACAAATGGCATGCATTCAAATTCTTGCTCTGTGACTTGAATTGCCTACCATAGTATTGGTACGCCCAGTTCATTGAAATGTTTTGCTATTGTAAAATATTGTTTGGTAAGTCTAAACCTCCATCACCATTGGCACAAAAACTGAAGTGGTTTTAACGTACATATTGTACATGTTTTACAGACGTCTCCCAGAGTTTTAGTGTCGAGCCTGTAGTATTTGAATATACGGATCCATACATCATCAACTAGGAATGGTACATCATCGTCTGCAGACATTGATGCCTGCTTAGGGTGCTCGATCGCGTTGTTGCAACTTGTGAAGTTGTGAAGACAAGGAGTGAGTCGATGCAACAGAGGTCTCGAAGCAGAAGCATCAACGAAATTGTTTCGACGCTTCATTTGTTGGCAAATAGTCTATTTTTCATATGAACTTGCACGAATGGCAAACAAACCAAACTGCCTCATATCGCACTTTCTTAATACAGAGGGGATTCGCTACTATTTGGAGGCTTGTCTGCGCTACATTAGTACACGAGGTCACTAATATGGTCTTAAAGGGAGCGATCGGGGTTTGTTTTTCACCCGAGATTCACTTCCAACAATATGCCACGATTTCTTTTGAAACGCCTGGAGTTACCTCATTGGCTGACCTTACTCCCTCAAACGTTTTCCCCTTTGCGGAACTGCACACCCGCTGACCTTGTGGGAATTCTTCCTCTCCCACCCTTTGAACACGTCACAGAAACTTTGGTTTGTCAGAATTTACCGACCAGCACTACTTCCACGCAGCAACTTCAAAAACAACTTTCATCAACACAACCTGTTATATCTACTAGTAAATCACCCTTTGGCACGTACTGCATCTACAGCAAGCTCACGGATCTTCCTACAACTACGTCACAAACCACTTTTGGTAAGTAACTTAACTTTCGCCGGCATTTTCAGTTCAGTTTGGCGATCACCTTGAATTTGAAAAACCAACTTGCACATTCCAACTTTACTTATCTCAAAGTGCTAAATCCACCCTTCCCACATATATCTTCTCTCATCGTAGAATCTACACTCAGATCAGATCTTATAATGCCATTCCGTAACCACATACGCCAATCGTCAGGCGATTCCACTTCCCACAGACATTGGAAGCCAATGCTTTGGGGATCCACTACCACCGACAGCACCGACTCTATACCATCTATAACCGACGAGATCCTCTCTACATCACCAACATCGTCATCGCCTCTCTCGGATATATCATCGCCAACACAATCATCATGGGCTACATTCAATAACTCGTCAACCGAATCCAAACGTAACTTTATACATCATCCAGTACGCAGGTGTATCCGATCCGGCTCTGGAAGCTCGAAAACACATAAAATAATCACAATGTTTATGCCGCTGGACCACTACGCTTATTCCGCTCGTATGAGTGACGAGCATGATGATGTCACGTCGATAGATAGTGGCATGTCGGAGGAGGATCTGGAGATTGATGAGACGTATGAAATCATGTCGCATCTGCCGGGGGTACATCATGTCACCATAAGGAATATAGATGAGGGTGGGATCTGGCTCGATATAGAGGGAAAGGAAAGCATGAGTGATGTGATAGAGACGGGAGTTAGAAGGGGGTTGACGTTTGTCTCGCTGTCGCTCTGAAACTATGTTGACTATACACCAACCATATACCTTATAATCCCTCACATCATATCATATATAGCGGCATCAATAATTTTAATTATACCACACAGCAAATTTTTGTAACATGACACGCCAGCAATAGAATAAAAAAAAAAGAAACAACACACTGTGCTTTTTTGGTTTGAGATGCAAAGTTCTTGTTTTGTTTTACATCGGTCTACATACATAAGTGGGTTGAGATACTGCATTCCTACTACGAATACTTGTGTGTTTGCCTATGTTCTTGTCTTCTACAATGGGTTTGTCCGCCATCCAGAGTTTGTTGAATCATCCTTGACGAATTCACAACTGGGAAAGTATCGTTCATTCAACTTGATGCTCAAAACAGCTGGCACCTAACGTGACAATCAAGACAAAAAAAGTCCGTTCAGACAACAACAACAACAACAACATGGAATCAAATCGTCCCACTACATCTTCTTCTTCCTCTTGCAACAGCAGCTTTTACGTACCAAATCAAACGAGATAGTCTTGACTCTACAATATCCAGTCTCTCCTAGTTTGGCCTTGACCAGTATGATGACTTTTACAAACTCATCAAGATTAGGTGTTGGCATATCATTCACAGACACAATCCATGACGTGCTAAGCAAGCCATACATTCGAGCTAATGAAATGAGAGGGAGTTAGATATGCGGCCTCTGCAAACGTCCAAATCGATCCCTTTTTTTACCGGGACTTCCTTGAGAAGTGGCAGAGACGTAGACGCGACTCGGCAGTGTTGAAGACTGAAGACAAGCTGACGGATGTGGTGGCTGTAACGTCGCACCAGCCCACGAGACCCAGCGGTTTGTTCCTGAACCATGCAACTCGTCCGTATGGACTCGTAATGTCATTTCTTTTTTACCCCTGACAATCACCTAAATAATTAACACAATTCCGTTAACAGCTAAGATTATTCGTATTTTAAGCTCCAAAAAGTCTTACCATTTCCACAGATTCACCCCAATTAGCAGAAACATCCATCTCTGATATACGAGTCAAAATCTTGCCATTGATGGTCAAGATTAAATCCAATTCCTTTAGTGTCTCGCAAGTATTGCTCCCAGTCACAATTTGACGAACAACGAAAAGTTGACGTTTCTTTGGATTGGCTTCTTCAACTTTCTTGACCCAGCTTAGAATGAAGAAAAATACTGTGAGCGTCGGAAAAACACCTTAAAACAAAAAACGACAATTTAGCAATTCCCGATTGCTTTTGAAACATACCCATCACTTAACCCCATATCTCTGGCTCGTGACATCTGAACAGGTGTAAGTTCAACACTGAAACCACGTATAGGCGATGTTGAATGTTGTTGTAGCTTGGCCAAAACTGGCTGGATACAAGAAGCACGTACGCCCAGTTCATACCTACATAAAGGATAGCCCAGAGTAGGTGAACAAAAAACGCGGGTGATTTGCAAAGTAAGGCTAGAAAGACATACTGTGATATACGGCCGGAAGCAGTAGTAGTAGATTGAAACGTGAGCCAAATCGCTTGTACTCGTCCTTCTGTATCAGCTAAAACTCCCGAAGAGCAGTGGCGACCGACAGGAGTGTCAATGGTAACTGCATCAAAACTGGAATTTATATGAGTTGTTACCATTGAAGAGTAATAAAAGTCAATACAATCAATTCAACCAAACACATAAATCTTACTTGATGGTACGATAACGAGGTATAGGGTTTTGAGGAATAGTCAACGCAGTAATGTCAGTAACAAACGTGTTTACAAATGTCGGCATAAAATTATGATTCAAAGCCACGAGCGAGATAGGAGATCCTTGACTGATCTCTACCGGTGACATGGGAGCAGACTTGACTGGAGTATCTCCAATCAGTTTAGGATCATATGATATGAATGCGACACCATGTGCATCATCCAGATACAAGAGTTTACCACGGACTATAAGAGAATCAGCGAATGTGATGATGATATCACCCATTCCGAATGGCACGACATTCCTTCCAACGATGGCAATGCCTCTTACTGCATCTACTACTATTCCAGCGCCCGTCATAAAGTTTCGGTTCACTCCATCAAGGCTGAAGGGCATATAGTACTATATAGATAAGAATCAGTAGAAGCATTAGCAAAAAATTGCAATACTCGTCGTCATATTTTTCATTGCTGCTTTTGTACCTGCACTTTACATATCGATTTAAAGAGATCTCTGCAAGCTCCTAACGAATCCTCCATCTGGGCAAAGGTGGTTGACATTGGAATTATGGGCCTCGGTGGTGATGCTGCTGGTAGTTTCACAACATCCCAAAAGCCTGTAGCATCATTTCGAACCATCATCTTAAATGAAGTCCAGTGCCTCTCATTCACAACAATGTCCATATTTATCTTATGGACATCTTCAATGTCATAGTACGTGATGGCTATACGTTCATAATCAGGAATTTCTTGCATAACTTGTATGAATACGTCCAGATTCGGCGTTGGTTTGTGGTCTACGTGTGATATAATCCATCCTTCTGTAGAGCCGCCTAATAACAACATGCCACTTGCATGAGCGACGTATACACCACGACAAGGCACGTTATACTGTGACGCCAGCTGATACGATAGATTATTCACCACCGCCGACCCAATTTCAACAAATCGGTCTGGTGTGATTGAATGCAGATCTTGGACCGTTATGAAATATTCAAACTCTTTACCACCACGTTCAATCTTCATTTTGATTTGTTTACCAATTCTGAATGGGAAGGCATTAGCTGGAAGTCACAAGTGATCGTGAGAAAACTTACAGAAAACTTACCTCTCATCCAAAACAACCTCTAGAGGCAAGAACTTAGTAATAACGACATCATCAACAGAGATTAATATATCTGACTCTTCCAAAAACTGCGATCCTGGACCTTCAGGCACTATCGTTTCTGCCACCAACATTCCTGCCAAAAAACTGTTGTAAGCCACATCGTTATGGTCAAACAACTTCAGCAAACTGTACCTGTCTCATCAGGAAACAAGGACCTGATCTTAAACTCCAACTCTGGCGACAGACCCAGCCTTCTGCACTCATCGAAAGGCCGGTGAATCCATATCGTCTGAATCGTTCCTCTATCAATATGAGCATCTCGTCTAAGGCAGTCTAAAGCTCTAGTGACTCGATCCAGCGGCAAGAAGAAATCTGTACTGGCTGTGGATTTGCCACCAGCATGGAGCGCAACACAGTGTCCATCTATATCTAATACGGGCGATCCAGAAGACCCACCCGACAATGCTAATGCGCCTTGGATGTAAAACGTATTGAAATCATTGTATGTTCGTTGCCCATATCCTAAAAATTGCAAGAGGGTTAGGCTTCAGACGGATCTTTAGACTTGTGAAAGGCCAAACAAAGGACTTTCCTGGACTGTTGCGATCTAGTCGAGATATGGTTCCAGCGAGTACAGAAAGCGTTTCTCCAGCGTCGTTACCAACTACACGAACTTCTAAACCAACTTTTGCTCGTTCAGGGGACAAGTGAATCTCCTGAAGTGGCATATACTTGATTTTACTCGGGTCGAATTTCAAAAAGCCGAAATCGTGAATGGGATCTCGGTAAATTGCAAACACATCGACCTCTTCCTTGTCGTGAAGAATGGCTTCTCCCGTAAAGATCGTGGCGGAGACAACTAGGATCAAGCAATTGGAGTTAGCGTTTTTGGAGATTTTCCACGTGTATACTGTATAAAAGGAAGGCAACATATGCCATTCTTTATAGTACCATGTCGATTGGTAAGAATCAAACCACGTTTAGCATCAACAATAAATCCTGTCGCGACAAACGTTCCAGCTTCTTCGGTATCAAACTTCGTGACACACGCGTATCGTAATGAGACTACAGACAAGGCGGCCTTCTGAACCATGCTTTGCCAGCTAAATAGTAGTAAAAGAGATTGTCAACAAGGGTTGGTTGTTCAATATTCCACGAGGTTTTGCACTTTCCGCAAGACGCATTCCAAAAGAGAACATCAGACGAATACGCAAAATTTCTCCATTCCTCTTCGTCTTTTTCCAACGCCAGATCATCACACTCCCCAAGCGTTACAACAAGCCAACATCTCAAAGTCAAAACATACGTCTAGCAAAATATAATCCAATGCTTACACGACAGATTCAAATGCAGGCGAAGTAGGAATAGCAGAAGAGTTCAATCCACTCATACTAGTCATTGATTCCGTTAAAATGACTCTTTTCGTACTAGCGTCTCCAGATTTCCTCCGTCCGAGATCGGCTTGAGAAACAGGGAGCTCGTCCTCGTCCACGTCCATTGTTTAAGCTTTTTGTGACCTACTAGATCTGGTGCTGATCGTGTCTGTTTCCGCACAGGGATTAGAGCCTCTCGATATATGAAAGTGCTTGCGTTTTGACGGATTGGAAATTGCAAGTCGCGACTGTAACATGGTGTTGAAGGAAGGGACGCGTCAATTGAGCTGAAATGCATTCTTTAAACTTCAAACTACGTGAATAGGTGGCATACGTGGATCGGCCAAAAGCTTTGTTATTTAATTATGTTTACAAAATATTAGTACCCGACGATGCTATCAGTCCACCACTCATTCAAAATCACTATGGTATTCAGAATCTAGCTCATGCTTTGACTCTGAATCCGACGATGCAAACAAATCTGTCTGATCATCGTCATCAGAGAGCTGTGGAGCTGGCTGTACTATTACATTGAGCTGACAGTTTGCACCTAAATACCGCTGAGCAGCTAAATTATATGCCGTTGCTGCTTCCTAATATAAAGCGAAAAAAATCATTAGGTTGTTCCTGACAATTTGTTCAAGCACACAACACACGAACCTCTTCAGTATTATACGTCCCACATTCATACGACCACTTCTTGAAATCCACATGTGCATCCCACTGATCTCCATTCCGCGACACTCCGATGTATCTAGACACTTCATCAGGCTTGTCATCTGCTCGTGTCATCATACCAGACGGCAGTCTACTGTTACTGCTACCACCACTACTTCGTCTCGATTCCCATTTAGAGCTCGACGTCTCCTCCTGCGCCCTTCTCCATGAATACGAATGCCGACTACCACCACTATGATCCTCATGACGCCCTTCTCTCCTCGATCCTCTCGTTGCCCTAGTCCGAGCTCGTGCAGCGTCAATAGCAGTCTCGAAAGTCTCTAAATAGACATCTCTACCATCTTGCATGATTCGGGCCTTCCATTTGCCGCGACTTTGTGGCGCACCTTTATACATTGATTCTGGATGATGATTGGGGTTGTTGTGAGGACGTTCACGACGCCTAATAGCTGGTTCTAGTGTATCGATTTCCTCCTCGTCAGATTCGGGGAAATTATCACCACCATCTTCACAGCCGCCATCGTCTGGGTTGTTGTAATTACCAGGTAATTTGGCTGTTTTGCGTCTTTTACGAGGATTGTCGTCCTCGAAAGGATCTGCAAAGGATTTATTGTCATTGTCTTCCTCGTTGTTTTTTACTTCATGGGACTCACGGTACGGCTCTGGTGATTGCGGTTCATGTTTTTCACTAGGTGGTTGTGGTGTCGGGTTCGACTCGTCGTCGGATTCAGTTGGGACAGTCGATAACGGCCCGTCGCTCTCGTCATGGTCGACATAATGTTCATTCCTTAAAAAGTAAGACTTAGTCGTTTTTTTGCTAACAAGTCACACTGCACTTCGCAAACTTACGACGACGAACTCCCAGAAAGCGCAGGCATCAACCGCCCACCACCACCATTCACAGATCCATCTCTAGCCCTCCCATGACTCGCACCACCACGATCAGACAGCGATCCATCCCTCGACTTTCTACGACTCGCAACAGCACCACGTCCAGACTCTGACTGTGGCAACGGGCTGGAACTCCTCCAATCTCGACTTTGCGAACTACTTCTTCTGCTACTACTCGAGCTCGAAAACGGCTCGTTACTACTCCACTGCCTCCTTGGTGATGACGGTAATTTGGCAATTCTCGTATAGCTGAAATCAAGTTCTTGAATGTCCTTGGCATGCTCATTGTGCGAGTCACATATAGCGTCGATTATGCGTCTCATTCTTTGCAGGTTTTCTCTCATTTGCTCAATTGGGTTGTCGAGTATCCATGTGCGGTTGTCTGATGGTGTTGATGATGAGGGTGGTGGTGGTGACAAGAAGTGTTGTTTTGGAATTGTGCGGGTGTGTTCTTCCTCAGTGAACATATTGTCTGAAGTTAGCGTTGCATTTAAATGCGTCCTTCCTAATGAAGTGTTGTTCAAATCAGCATTGTGCGACAAAATCAAAGTTTTTGGGAGCTTTGTAGAATTAGCAAATTCCAAGCTAAAGCTGAAAAGTACAGCATATTTCAAGCATTCATAAGCGCATATAGCCTACCTTGGTTGTTACTTCCTTTGACCTGCCTCCTCAGCTTCAGTGTTTTGTCGGAAGAGGAACACAACGTATAAAGACAGACGCGTCACAAACTCCAACAAAATTCATGAAGACGATATAAAAATACATATTGCACGTCATTATCGGCAGTATTCTACGTTTCGTTCCATTTAGAAAAATTCATGCGAAAGAAAATCATTCGCAAACAAGCATAGATAGGCGCTTTATCGGACTTCGATAGACAAAACCTTGACATCCTGCCATGGCTTATCATTCTTGTCCACCTTGACATTTTCAATCAGATGAATCACGTCCATGCCAGCAGTAGCACGACCAAAGATGGTGTGCTTGTTATCCAACCAAGGCTACGAAAACACAGCAAGTCAGGAATCTTGATTTACGTCGATGGGCAGATATGTTGTATACGCATCCTGACTTACTGTTGGTGCAGTAGTAATGAAGAATTGTGATGCATTGGTTCCAGGCCCAGCATTTGCCATGGATACAGTGTATGGACGATCATGTTTGATTGCCTTATGGAATTCATCCTACATAGAAAAGATGGCTGGTGTCAGTGTTTTGCTTGGTTGACACTCTGAGGGACAGCAAAAGATGCTCTCGCTCGGAGAACAGGTCACTGCATACCTCAAAATCAGATCCCCACAACGAATCACCACCAGTCCCATCACCAAATGGACAACCCGTCTGCAGCATAAACCCTTTAATGACTCGATGAAAAATCAAATTATTATAATACCCTTTTTTAGCCAACCCGACAAAATTCTCTACCGCTTTCGGTGCATATTCAGGAAAGAATCTTATATGAATATCACCCATAGTAGTATGAATAATAGCAGTCGACCCAAGAGCTTGTTTCAAACTCATGGCTGAAGCAGAAGCAACAGTCATTTCTTCTCTTGATGGCTTCTCATTGAATATATCTCGTCCGCCACCTGCAGTTCCCTGTTCTTGAGCTTCATTAGGGTCTCGTTGAGTGAATAAATAGAATCGGTTTCGTTTATAAGCTGTACAAAATAGTGTTGGGTCGGATAATTCGGCGTTTTGGAGGGCTGGATTGTCGGATGCTGCCATGGCCATTGTGATTAATGTCTTTTTACGTGGTGCACCTTGATATAGAGCTAGGTTCATGAATCGTTGGGTTTCTCCACGTCCTATTACTTTTACAACTCGATTGGTTGTGATGTTGATGACTTTGATTCCAAATAGTGTTGGATAGAGCAGGAAATGACCAGACTCATCAAATACTAAATGACAGTTTTGATTAGTCTTGAAAATGTAAAATATGGGTAGTCGACAAGGTTTGAAAGAGCACAAGAAAGACAAGACCTAATTTTTGCAGTACCTGCGTTGACCGTTGAGGCTTGACCACCTGGTGTCTTTTCAATCTCACGTTCTAATGCTAATCTTCTACCAAACTCCATATCATCCAGCTTATCCTTTGCTGTAGCCTTCTGCTGCATTTCAGATATAGCGTCTAGCGACTCGTCATACTTTTTGATGATCTTTCCAGTAGCGAAATTGAATATTCGGACAATCCGATCACCAAATCCGAATGTGACAAACTTGGAATAGTCTTTGGAAAAGTTTAGTGATGATGGTACTGTCTGGAGCTAAAATGACAAGGGTTTGTCAGATTTCGAGTGCAAAAAACCACAATTGGACTTCGTAATCGTGAATTATACAACGAGTCACGCAGAAAAACAGCAATGAAACCAACCTTCTTGAATTCATATAAGTCCGTATCAGATTTAAACTCCCAAGTGACTTTGGGTGGCAGAGGTTGTGGAAACTCCTGAGAAGGATCAGGCTCCCAATACTCGACATATCCTTGATCGTCTACAGACAAAACCACTTCGGCGCTAGCATTATACTTTACGATTGTTACTGGATGATTATGTAGATTCGATATGGTATGAGATGGCGTAGCGTCGCCTCTACCGTCGAATATGTGAATGGCAGAAGAATCTCGATCGGTACTATGGATGAGCGAAGAAATAAGTCTCAAGAGATTGCATAATTCACGCGAGCGATGGATGCGATGACATCTTTGATGTACATACCATGCTAGCCAAGCCTGAGCTTCTCCTTTACGAAAAATCCAACAAATGGCTTTTGGGAGAAAGGATAGCTTGATCAAGTTGATCATATCTGTTTTGGCCAAATAAAAAGGTGGAAGTTAACGGCTGGATGAAAGCTGAAACACTTGGAATACTAATGACCACAAACATCTGTATAACAAAGACTTGGAAGGCATAATATGTACGTACCAAAGTTGATTATGTCGAATATCTTTAGAGCCTTGTCAGCCCCCGCAGTAGCCAACAAGCTTCCATCATCACTAACAGCAATAGCAACGACAGCACCCAGATGAGCACGATAATGCTTTACGAATTCGATACCGCGTTCCGTCTTTTTCCAGAATTTGATGTGACCGTCGATCGAGGTGGTGATTATAAAGTCTGTCTTTGTGACTTCTACGAAATTGACAATGTCACGATGCATCAGACTCTTTTCATACATTGTGATGAGTGGGAGATTTGCGAGATATAGTGATTCGTGTTCCAGAGCTAGTGTTGTCAATATAAAAAGACAGAATGTGAGCTAACATGCTAACCCATATTTTAATGTGCAATGTTTCCAGTGTTTACTCTTTTGCTTTTTACGCTTCCTGGTAGGCTCTTCTTCCACGGCCGCCGCGGGCATAGGTCCAATGTCTGCATCGTCGTCTTCATCGTCTAGAACCACAATAGTTTGTTAGATTTAGTTCAGCATCTGCCTCAAACAAAAATCCAAACACCAGTGGTTTTTAACCAACGAGCATTTCGAGTACAAGATCAAGCCATACCTGCTTCTGGAGCTCGCTTCTTGGATGCCTCCTCGCTCTCCTGTCCGGGCATGGCGGGCTATAAGCTCGTTTCGAGATTAGTTCGGCCTTGATTAATCTTTTCAAGTTTAATGTGGACGAGACCTCGTATGGCCTGCACGGCCGGATTTAAAGTGCTTTCTACATGTCACCAGTCGCCTAAATATCGCATCGCCAGAGTCAACCGTCGAGCTCAAATCGCATCAAAGAACATTATTCAATTTTTTACAAACAGGTTATAAGATTCTGGTTTTTAAAGTAACTTCATGGGCTTGTAGTTTGGATCCACCATATACCTGTCGAAAGAAGCATGTGTCAGTGTTTGGTCCACTCATGGCGTCAGCCAAGAAATATGACATTACCCAGCAGGACAGGTCATAGCTGGCGCTACAACTTTGGCTACGTTACCACCAGCACTGGACTGAACAATCACAGACGCATAGTTCCATGGACTACCAAAGTTCCCAGACACCACCATTGCTGTTACGTTCATTATGCCTTTGGCGTCTGCGCCAGGCATCCAACTGACATCCAATGTGGTCTATCAAAACAACCAAATTGAATACTTGCATCTCAACAAGTGCAAATTCCAATCTTACCATGGTGTTTGGCATCGAATGTGTAATCATCTTCGTATTTCCACTTCCTATTTTATCGCAAATCTGGAAACTTCCCGTTGTAGGAACGGCTAATCCACCAATATATCCACCATTTACGTCTTGAATGCCTATGTGTAACATGTTACTAGATATTCTGGTTTGTCTCCATCTGAAGCTGAAGCTTGTGTCTAGATGTTTGGGTCTGTCTCCATCTCAACGGTCAAATGCTTTACTAACCCAACAGTAATCCACTAATAACACCACCACTGATTGTAAATGTCATTGCCTTGCCAGGCGTATACATTGCAGTGGAAAACTTGATATTGTAATTTGCTCCTCGTCCAGGTGTCGAATGGCCAGTTGCTCGTTGAAATGCTATCGTATCAGGTAAAGGAAATCAATAATGAGTGATATATAGTTGAGCCTCAATGAAAAATACGAACATCCCGTGGTCCCAACATCAATCTGACACACAGAAGAGCCTCCCGGTTTGCCTAAAGCCAAAGTGGTGTACAGAGCAATTATCCAGAGAATTGACGAGAGGTGCATAGTCGATCGGTGAGGCAGGCTTATAATAGTTGATTTTATGCTTAAAACGGTAAAATCACTCTTTTAGGGAGCCTGAAAGTGGTTGCAAGGAACGAGATTGTTAGAGTGAAATGATAAAGTTACAACATGTTTAGTGTGAGTTCTCTGACCGCAAACAGAGTAAGAAATCGTTGTGTCGCGATAATAGCGATCAAGCCGAATATTTGCTGTAATGCTACGCGTCATGTAGCAACAGTGGTGTTGCTCTCTGTATAACAGAAATTCTCAATTTACGCAAATAGACTTTGAAGCATCAACATGACTCGAATCCCCTTGGCGATATGACAAACGGTTCTTGGTAGAAGCTGTTACTTATTAAGAATGTAAATATTCACTCCTCATGCTAGTACAACGCTGGTTGGCGTTGCAAATGATGTTTGTGGTAGGAATGGGAAACTGAGCGGAATAAGCGAGAAACTGGGCAGGACAAAAACAACGTACAGGGAAAGTACTAATGATCTCCCGACCCTACGCTGAATCTGTTTTACTAGGTCAGGACTATGCAAAGCAGTATTAAAGTATTAATTGCAGAAGATTTTAGAGTACGCTCTTCCAACTGAGCCACATGCCGAGATGGAGACAATTTTCACGAGTGATATAATGTACGAATGTTCACTAGAAAGGTCTGTTGGCTGTGAACAGGCGCACTGCTTCATAGACAAACGACTTCGGCTTCAAACCAACAAACACGATTCCATCCATTGGAGCTGTAAACGAAATTGTTTGCACCACATAGTCATTTTAAGTTGCATAGCACCTCTTTTTTTAACAAAAATGAACGTGAAGACGTCAACAACTTTACAATCTTTTAGCAGTGGAACTGAAAGCAAGCAAGAAAACACACAGCCAACCCTCTATACACGCAGAATGAGACACTCGAGAGACGACTGATAATGGAATATGACGCTACTTTTACAAGAGGTAACCAGATGCCAATATGGCAACTGCCGCAAAGACGTATCCAGCAACGACTGAAGTAGTCCCCGACTTTGGTGCAGTTGTTCCTGTGGTGGTTCCACCAGTAGCAGGGGCACCAGCACCAGCAGCACCACTAGTAGTAGGGTATGCATCAATGTCAGCAAGGTCGACGTAGCACATTCCGTCAGCTCCAGCCTTGAGTTGAGTGAAGGTCAGCTTGGCACCAGTGGCCATTGGAGTACTGCCAGTGCCTACGAGACAGATGTATCGAGGATTGTTAGAGGACGTATCCTCAAGTGTATCCAACATTGAAGTTGAACGAAAACTCACTTTCAACATTGAGATAGTAGTATCCGTCCGTCGCGTTGGCAACCAGTTTGGCTGTGGTTGGCGTAGCTGCTCCAGCATTGACTGCAGCTAGAGTAACCATTCCCGCTGGACGAGTCCCCCACTCGAAGCGCACAGTGGAAAGCGAGACTGCTCCATACTAATTTTCAATAAAACAAACGGGACTTATGTTATTGACAAGTGGTAGCGATTGATTGAATGAAATGAAGAACAGCTTAGATTGAGAATGTCACTTCGTACCTTGGCAGTCCAGTCTACTGTGAAATCGACCGAATTCTCACAAGTAGCTGAGATCTTTGACTTCCAACTAGATGAAACCAATTTGAGATCTTTTGCGTTCATAATGTACATTAGAAAGAATCTTCTTCCTCTCTAGCAACACATATATCGCCACCACAACAGTTTTCAAACTTACACGGGGAGGTTTCCAGGCGGTGTAGCACCGGTGGTCTCGTAGGTACCATCGAGAACTGCGTTGCTGAAATCATAAGGGAAATGTTAGTCGAAGCTAAACCGCCACAAAGACTTGAGAAATCGAATCGAAGTAACATGATTACTCACTTTGGATCAGATGTTGGATCAGTGGAACTATTAGGAAGGCGTTGTTAAAGAGATTGCCGAGTGTCTAACCAAATTGAAAATGACACTCAAACTTTCCTTCTCACCTTGCGGTACATGCTGCGTTCAAAGTCAGGTATTTGGAGTAATCAGTAGCAGCCAAAGCACTTCCGAGAGAGGCAGCCAATGTCATAGTAATAATTGAGACCTTCATTGTTGCTTTGTATTTGATTCTACAAATGGGTTTTGGTTCAGCCAAAATTTCGTGTTGGCGACTAAAAGCAAAATAAGAGACTCTTGCTAGTCTTTGTGTGCCAGTACCAACCTTCGAGTAATGAAAGAAAGTAGTTTTAGATCGATAGAAGCTAGAGCTTGCTAGTTTGATTAGTATCCGAGGTGTTGGCAATGTTGAAAGAAGGTGTTGTCGACGTATGAAATCTATAATTTTTTACCGCTACAACTTTGGGACCCGGGCTTTAGCGAAACTGACGCCAAGAGTGGGAGGAAGCATTTCGATCCTAATGTTACGGTGAAGATTCATCGCCGTTGGTGATACGCTCCAAGATTTTCCAAACTGCTTTGCGGCAATTTGCTCGTTAACATGCAAACCAGCGAAGAGCGCAAATCACCAAGCACACCGAGAAGTAGTAGTCACTCAGAAAATAACAACATTGTAACCTGGATGTCTTGTCTGGCTTATCTAGTTGACGTGTCAAAACGGTCCTTAAAAGCGAGTGTCGAAGTCATCAAACACCGGTGAGAGTCATCTTCAAGGCGAGCAACGTTCAAAGATAAACATATGGGCAACATATCTTGATTGCTGTACAAACGAATCTATTTATCAAGAGGTGTAATATACCGAAAGTAGTCTTGAAGAATTTCCCTGACCAGCAGAGAGAAGAAACGAGAAACCACAAAGACACCGACAAAGATTCAATACAAATGACGAGATGGAAAGAAGGAGGAAGACGAGACTACAGGAATACGCTCGATACTAGCACAGCCACAATGGCGAATACAGATCCTGAAGCGAGAGCAGGTGCGACACCAGAGTTTGTTCCAGTAGGACCTGTAGTTCGATTTGTGACACCAAGTGCAGCGCTAGGCACATACAATGGATATGCATCAATATCTGCTAAGTCCACATAGCACGTATTGTCCGTTCCGGCCTTCAAATTTGTAAAGGTCAGTTTGGCAGCCGTCGCGGTTGGCGTCATTCCAGTGCCTAGCCAAAAAATAGAGTTCTGTTAGTGGAACAATCCCAACGTTTATATTTGAAATAGGTCAAGCAGGATGCCCGACTCACTTTCCGCATTGAGATAGTAATAACCATCAGTTGAATTAGCAGTCAAAATCGCAGGAGTCAAATTGGAAACACCATTGTTGATAGCTGATAATGTCACGTTTCCAGCAGGTCGAGTTCCCCATTCAAAACGGACGGTTGACAACTGAACTGCTCCAAACTAATTGAGCCGTTTCGTTAGTGGTGTTCTGGCATGGTCTTAAAACGTGCTATTACTTTTGCAGACCAGTCTACGGTAAAGACAACAGACGCCTCACAGGTAGGTTGAATCTTTGACTTCCAACTATAGCAAAGTGACAAGTCAGAAAAAATTGGTTGATCATGCTGTATCATTGCGGTATCATTTGTACTTACACTGGAAGATTTGCAGGTGGACTCGCACCTGTAGTTTCGTAGGCACCGTCTAAAACCACATTGTTTGGGTTTGAAGTGGTATCCGTCGAACTGGAGATTGAGAAGGTTCAGCGTTAGTTTTTCATGATTCGAGATATTCACGTGGATTCGAAGTTGTGAGCGATGTCGGTGAGAGGTTAGGGACATTTCATCGTATAAGACAGCGAAACAAAAGAAAAAGCGGATTGAAATATAAACTGGAGGCCAGTAATAACAATACGATCTTTCGTCTTCCTGAGTTTCAGACTTGCCTAGATGTGCAACTGGCGTTGAGAGTCAAGTACTTTGAGTAATCACTACTTGCAGCAACACTTTCAAAAGCGACAGCGAGGGCCATGAGTACTGTTGGGGTCTTCATTTTGAGAGTTTGCTGGCCGGGTTGTTGGTTTTCTCACAATGTCGGTTTCTGCTCAAAGTTTGATGAGTTGAAATTTCATTGGAGGTGTAGCCCCTTTCAAAACTTCAGGGACCTCCTACGTTCATATATCATTTCAAGTGAGAAATCCACGATATGTGCATTCATAGCTACAGAAGCGAAATGACTTTCAGCATTCCAAAACATACTCAACGTTTTACAGCATTTAAGGCACTGTTCAAAGTCAAACAAAATGCATCGTGCGATGTGCCTTCCAATAAGTTGGAAAGCGCTGTTGGTCCTTGTTGAGTCCACTAATCGAGTTTGCGTCCTCCACCTAGCTAGTAGTGGCAGCATATTGGTTCCAAGGGCGAAGTCAATCAACGCGTCGCGTTACGCACCTTCAAACTGCATACAGGTTGCAGTTGCTATCCGATAAATCGCTTCTTTTCGCGAAGAAGCTCTTGCTTCTGTCCAATATCCCTATCTAACAAAGAACAACCAATTGGACCCCCAAAAAGGACACCATACAATTTCCAAAACAATTTTTGATCAGGAAGCCATCTACTTGAATGCTTACAAGCAGAGCATAAAAGTTATGTAATTATTAAATGTTTCAACCACACCAAACACCCCAAAGACTTAAATATTGGAGAACACACAGAGAAATTAAAACCACTGAGAAGGAGACCAGCTCTCTCAGAACAAGAAGACAGAGATCAATGCAGAGCCCAAAACTGATGCAACTGCAACTATTGAACCAGCAGTGTGCGCAGCACCAGATTTGACACTCGTGGTAGCACCAGTTCCAGTAGCAGCAGCGTTGATGGCGGGGTAGGCATCCATGTCAGACTATAAGGTGTTACAATGTGGTCAGCAATGAAGAGACTACAGTTCGGCACCAATCTCGGAATTTAGGAACACATACAATGTCGACGTAACACGTTCCGTCCGCACCAGCTTTCAATTGGGTCATAGTTAACTTGGCTATGAGTGATCACAACTTAGGTTAATGACACATTTCTTTTAACTTAAAGTTTGGAGGAGTATACCAACCTGCAGTAGCCATTGGAGTACTTCCAGTGTCTAAAAACAGATACGATAATTGTTTAGAGCCCTTCCATCAAAAGCTTCAGATTGGTTCTTGAGTGTAGCAATTAGGACTCACTTTCAACATTTAGATAGTAGAAACCATCTGAGGCGTTAGCAGTTAACACAGCAGGAGTGAGCATGCTCATTCCAGCGTTAATTGCTGATAATGTTACAGCACCAGCTGGTCGCGTACCCCACTGAAAACGGACTGTAGAGAGGGGGACGACTCCGAACTGGATTGAAAATTGGGTTTGATGAGAATGTCCGATTCACCCTCGCCCATCTCAAAACAACAAACAATACCTTTGCAGACCAGTCCACGGTGAAATCGACAGAAGTTTCACAGGTGGGTTGGATCTTTGACTTCCAACTATGGCATGGGAAGATATATTATGAGAATCACATTTCCTTGGTTGAGACGGTGACGTGGCAAAGTACGCAATAACGAAAGCACAAGCGTTTAATGTACTTACACGGGTAGGACGGCTGGTGCAGGCGTTCCGGTCATCTCGTAGAATCCGTCAAGAATTGCATTGTTGGGGTTGGAGGTTGGGTCTGTCGAACTGTTTCAGATTGAGATGTTGAAATGTTAAGTTTATCGTCGAGTTCGAAAAGCAACGAAGGTCAAGTTGAATTAGGGTTGCCAAGGTCAAGTTGAATTTGGGCACTAAACCAACAAAATTTGAATGGTTTCCCTTTGGCTTTGTTTCTAACCTTGCTGTGCATGTTGCGTTGAAAGTCAGATACTTTGAGAAGTCAATTGTAGCATAAACGTTTCCCACGGTAGCAGCAAGAGCCATAAGAAGCATTTGGGCCTTCATGTTGTGTTCTCGGTGTTCTTGGTTTTGTTTTGGTACGGTCTGTGTTTGTTCCAAAGGTTGGAAATGAGAGGTCGAAATTCCCTGGGATAAGTCACTTTGAGACGAGACGAGATGTAGCTCCTTCGTTATTCAACAGGAGTGTCCCAGATGTACAGGCTGGAATCGTGCATAGAAGTGAGATCGGCATCAACTAATCGTGTCCTGTCTCGATAATCAGTTGCTTTGAGAAAGATGGATAATTGATGAGCAGAGCTCTTCAGCCTTTCCGAGGCGAAAAAGTCAAGTGGTGAGTTGAATTACGCGTCCTGGGGCTGTACAGAGCATAAAACTGGGTACATTCACGTCCTTCAGTATGGGGTTTCGTCCAAAAGCATGCAAGTCCAAACTAGTACTGATTTGTTGTTCTTTTTGCATACAGGATCCAAGCAGGCAAAGTGAATGGAAGAAGCTTCTTTACATTATCATGGATGGCACTATGAGTCAAGTTGAGCTGGTCAGTGTTGCATTGCATTCCCTAAGTGGAATCAAACTTGAAGCTAGTTTGTAAGTTCTCAGAGCTTCAGATGTTAACCAATTCCAATCTGAAATAGGCCATTCAGCAATTATATTCTTCATTGGCTCCTGGACAAGTTCAACGTGCTCAAGTCTGGCTCCAAACGCTGCAGAAACAACCACAAGCTTGGAATCTGGCACTGCAATGTCTCAATTCTCAAGTACAATTAGTTCTGAGTTGTGATTCACTTGATGCACCGTGTCTAACTATTGAATATAGTCTCCAAATACTCGATTCTATGGCTCGCAAACTCTGGCAATCAAAATTGTTCAGGATTGGTAACGTTGTCACCACGTTGGCAATCAAAATCTTGAAGGATCTCAAGCTTTTGCTTTCTAAACACAGGGAATCATTGACAGAAGAAGAACGTAGTGGATTGCGTGATGAACTACTCAAACAAGTCACACGGGCATCCAATGGACCACGCTTTGTATTGACGAAACTATGTGTCGCGGTACGTGAGGCCTAATTCGCTAAGCTCTCCGGGTTTCACCATTTTCATATTATCAAATATAGCTGACTGAATATGCTATACGTGCTTGCCCATCTACATGGCAGAATTGCATTCAGTACACATCGCAATACTTTTCGACACAAGCTCAACAATCCAACGACCCGGCCATTCGACTCGCTTTGCAATGTGCTCTAGTTGAATGGCTGACTGTACTTGCAGAGGAAGCTCAACGACAGGAACTGCCAGCTAAGCTCAGGTAAATTAATTCAGACGAGCAGTTCTTTCGTCAATTTTTGACACGTCACGTTACAGGGCGTCTCTTGATGGTGAATTGTTGCTTGGAGTACCAGTAGCATTGACTATACTAGAGGAAGTATTGGATATACCTCAAGAACAAACTACAGAGCCAATCAAGAGCTTGAAAATTCAAGCATTCAAAGCTACGAAAGGTTGGGTCCACTATGGAATTCCCACTGCGTGAGAGTCACATCGCAGTTGATTTTTTCTTATCGGAATTTGGCTTTACAAGTTTTTGTGGACCTTAGGTCTATGGGTCAAATGTTTTACAAGATGATGGAACAAATGTCGACACCACTATGGCCATTAACAATCGATGTTATTGAAGAGATTGTTACGAATCCGCGGATGGCTGGATACGACGGTACGTGACAGGTGACTTTCAATTTTTTTTTTGCATGGAGTCTCATCGTTCTCGTTGTCCAGAAACGATTTCAAACGGGCTCTTGAATGCTGTTACAGCTGGACCAATACATACCGAGTTCAAACGTGCTCTTAGTGGTGCGCCAACTTGATTAATATCCACTCCTTCGATTCTAATATTTCGCTTGCGTTAGAAGGGGACGATGAATCGTCTGTCAAAATATGTCAATTACTGATCGAATTTGGAGAGCACTATGCAACATTCTTGATATGCAACTTGTTGCGTCAGGATGTTACCATATACATGGACATGTTGTTGGCATACTCACAATATCCTGGTGTCTTTGCGGTTGATGAGGAAATCTCGTAGGTCCTCTTGTGGCAGGATCTTTTTTGTCTCGAAGCTCACGCCTGATTGTTCTAGTGATTTGCCTCTTACAGTCTGGTCAAACTTTCAAGAAACTTTACAGAATGCTGATATTCTTCCACTCGCCACTTCCGACAAGTATGATTTGACGACAAATCCTCACACTGGAGCCCCAATATCTTCTGAAGAAGCTTCCAAATCGAGCCGTCGAGTTCCTGATGATCAAGTCACGCAGACGTGGAATACTGCTCAAGCCTTGTATGCCAAACTTGTGAACGCATTGATTCTCAAGATGGCCTTCTCTACAGATGCACATACATGGTCTGCGGGTAAGCATCAGTCTGCATAACCAGCGTACTTCGTCGCCTCTTTTTCGCTTGACACATTTGAAAACTTTGGTAGATGAGCGTGAAAGGTTTCGAGTGTATCGAAGAGAATGCTCGGATGCCTTGTTGGTTTGCTACTATATTCTACGACAACCTGCATTGGACAATCTGGTGAAAAGAGCAGTTGCTTTGACTGCACAGTTCTCCCCTCAGCATTATGGCATACCACAGGTGACCATTACGACCATTAATTTATATTTTCTCATCGTATCGTTCTGTGCCTGATTTTCGTTTTTGATACTTGCATCAGGAGCTCGAATCCGTTCTCTGGGGTATCACTGCATTCAGTGAAGCAGTCAGCGCTCAAGAAGATGCACCGCTCGCAACGATATTCGGAGAACAAGTGTTTGGTAGACTCTCAACAGTTTCAGCACCCTTCATGTCTCGTATTCGACTTACACTGTTTGTACTCATTGGTAATGTTGCCACTTTCTCAGGTTTTTTTTGTCTTCAGCTCTCAATTAACATGGAAACTTTACGCATTAGAAAGCTTTGCTGAATACCATAGTCGACATCCAGAACACTTGTCTTCAATCATGCGATTTCTGATATCTGGGTTGTCATTTGAGAGTGAAGCTCCCTATGCTGCCAAAGCACTCAAGACACTTTGCTCAGAATGTCGTCAAGGTCTGGTTTCTGGTGCAGATTGGTTGACTCGTCTATGGCTTGAATCTAGTAGCAGCATTTTGGTACACTTTCCCTACTTTTTTTCGCCGCGACACTTCTTTTGTGTTCTCTTCGCATGGTTTCCTCATCCCTTTTTTTAACAACATTAGCCCTCTGAACGACCAAAAGTAGTAGAAGCTATATGTGATGTCATTCAAGCTCTATCTCCGACAGAGGCCTTGATTCGAGCCTTGGCCATCATGCACAATATCGCTTCATCGCTTCGTCAAGTCCTGAATGTCGCTCATCAACATATGGACGTTTCGAAAGATGAAGTGATATCACTCATCTCTCAACTCAAGTCTTGTTGTCGTGGAATGATTGTATCTGATGAGATTGATTTGACTCAAGAACAATCCAATATTATAACAGTTACACAGGCAATCCCTTTGAAGCTGGCTGCTACGGCAAATGAAGTTGCAGTGACTCAATTGATCTGGAATTGTTTGAAGGAGGTTGTTGGCTTGTGGTCTCAAGACGTCCAAGTTGTTGGTGTATGCATGATTTGGTGGTCTTTGTTTGGCTCACGCACATATTTTAACGTGCAAACTATTCCATATAGGAAATTATGGGACTCTTATCCACCAGTTTCAGCAGTTCACTTCCATTACTGGCACCATCTTCACAAGATCTCGTCACAGTCTTGACAGACTTGTTTTCTCGTCATCCCAGTCCAACAATACTATCTACAGTCGGTGCTTTCGTCTGTACAGTATCTCGGCAAGCCAAAACAGATACGGTTTTTGCATCAGATGCTATCAAGTGGATTCAAAATATCTGTATTCAGTGTTTGCAAATCCTGCAAGCTGTTGATTCGGAGGGGAGGAGTGGGATGGTGGTCCATCCTGATCTAGGAGAAGCATTCTTTGAGTTGATGAGTAGAGTGAGTTATCTCCGTGTTTCCATAATGCTATCTAGATCACTGACTTTTGTTGCTGTATAGTTGTTACAAAAGGCACCCATATTTCTATTGGCACTACCACCGCGAGTCTTGTCTGCCATCTTTCAAGATTTGCTCATGGCTGGTCTACGAAGCGAGGAGAGATTTACTCTTACGGCTGTTTATACTCTTGTGGTATTTCCCAGATACACTTGGTCTTGTTTTTGTTTGTTTCTGCGTATTCACTCACCATTTTTGTACTAGTTGGAGTTGATTGCTTCAGACATTGGCTCTTCAAATAGAGCAATATTTGCTCAACAACTCATATCCTCATGTGGAGAAATGATTGTTCAGCAGTTGTTGTGTGTGAGTGAGATGTCGGCTGTAGTCTTCCTCGATATTTGTTCCGATCACTCATCGCTTTGTGGTGCTTAGGACATTGAAAGTCGATTACCACGAACTCAAGTTGCCAAACCTTCTGAAGTCCTCTTCCGAATGATTTCCAAATACCCTGACATGTGTCGCACTTGGATGCAGACTTGGACGGCCTTACCTACGACATCAACTCGTGTCGCAAGTGTGGAAAGGAGCAATCTTGTCAAGGGTTTGCTTGGGTCAGTGAGCAAAAAAAAACGCACATGAAATTGCATCCTTTTGAGTGTTGTTTAACCCCAATTTACGTGAACCTCATAGAACACGACATCTCAAAGTCTTCAAAGAACACATCCAAGCATACGCAACTCATAGTAGATGCCTAGCATAGAAAGCGAATTTCCGTATAGAAGAAACTCATTTGTACACATTGGCGCTGCATGATGTCAACTAAATTAATAGATTTGCCCGAAAAATATAATATTTACATATGAGGTGTAAAAATATATGTTTTATGATGTGCCTTCCTCTGTGCGTTCTTCATCCATTGCAAGGACCCACTTGCTGCTCCCAACACCATTCCTCTTATCAAACTCGTCAACCATGATTTTTTGGATAGGTTCTGAAGCCACATCGTATGGTGATTGATCGTCAATGTCTTGATGCGTTATACTAGCCCCTCGTGATACGAGTATCTTGATTACGTCTTCACGGTCTGCTAGTACGGCTGTAGAAACGTATGAGCAAAATATGCGTAAAACTATTAGAGAGTAGTAGATGTTTGACTATGAAACTATTCGCTTTCTTACCGTAATGCAATGCAGTAGCAGCATCTTGATCTTCTGATTCTATTATCGCGCCCACGTCCAGTAAGTTCGTTACTAGATCTATGTGTCCCCTATCTGATGCCCAGTGTAGTAATGTAGCCCCCTAAACAACAAGAGAATGTGAGAATTCACGTGGTATCGCACATCGTTTGCCCGAATCATACCTGTTCATCAACATCATTAACATCAACTTTACCACTGTTTATTCGATCAAGGATTTGTGTAATGTTTCCTTCTTCTGCGAATTGGAAGACTGTCTTGTCTTCATCTCTAGCGGGGAAAAAAGGCAATATACGTCAGGATTGGTGTTGCGCTTCGTTGTCAGCCTGATATCTCACTTGACGAATATGTCTTGTTCTCGTTCCATAATAGATACACTCATTGACAAGCCACCATCTCCAGGCTGACTTGTGTACACGTCGTGTTCAGAGTTTTGATGCGACTCCTGAGATGTCCGTTGTCAGCAGATTCCGCGTATGCTGATGCGTTATTGCAACGTACCGGTTTGGCCTCTTGATCATCACGTTTCCAAGACGATATAGACTCGACAAGCTCTATATATTGCTGCATTGCTTCATGACGACCCAAATCACCTAGTGAATTCCAAGCATCCCACTAATTTGCAAATAACAAGAGCAATCACGTGTGAACATTGGATCCGAACTAGCTTCGACGTTGATCAATCTTGTACCTTTGCACGTCCAGCGAAATCCAACATTCCAGGTCTCGACACATTACATGCTCCAACGGTTGCGAGCTTGTATAGGCCATAAAGCTGTAACAAGATATTTTTAAACAGGATCAGTACAAAGACGATTTGACCATGATGCGTCTTACATCCAGCAATTTGGAATTGGGCAGGTTTTTGACCGACTTTACAGCTTCAGCAGCTCGTTGGAAGGTCTCTTCAAGTTCTAAAGTAGGGATACGGGTTACGATTGGTGGTCTGGACGAATACAATGAGGGGCCTTACCTGCTGGGTCCATCATCTGATGTCTTTCATCAAACTGCTCACAACAGAAAATGGCAAGTTGATGATGCTGCGTGCTGAATAAGAAATTCTATGTGGGAGATGGAAGAGCACACGTCCTTGAACGCTTTATGTAGAAACACGTATAAGTGTGTTCACTTCTTCGCTTTTCATAACAAACTTGACGAGGTCAATGACTTTTACCAACTTCACGTCGCGAAACAAAAAGCAATTGACGTCAAGATCACGCTACGAAAGAAAGTTAGTATAGAATCATGAACTGATCTACTTTTGCGTCCTTTTATTCATCTCAACAGACCGTACCGTGAGCTTGACCACTATCACAATTCAAGAAACACAAAGAGATCCAACAACGTCATCAGCAGAGACCATGGCCAAGGAACAACTCGTAGTGCTCGTCACCGGAGCCACCGAAGGCGGCATAGGGAGTGGTAAGCGCAGGGCGATCACTATCAATTTTATCGAGTTTGCGTCACCCGGTTGGTGGTTTGTCAAAAACCCATGATTGTGTCAAAACCAAACTCCATTGGAAATGGAGGTCTGTTGCTTCAACATTTAGTGGCACGAAAGAATTACCCTTTCAATCGTTCTAGGCCTAACTCGAGCTTTCAAGAACAAGGGATGTCGAGTGTTTGGGTCGGTGAGAAGTGAGGCCAAGTTTGGCGAAGCTCAGGCTAAAGAGGGCATTGAGATGGTTTTAATGGACCAAAATGACAAGACATCAATCCAAGCCTGTATCGATCAAGTTCTGGCAAAGGCTGGAAAGATTGATATCTTGATCGTGAGTCTTGGACCAACAACAAGATGGTGTCTTTCAGGCACTGATTGTGGACTCAGCTGAACTATTTTCCGTGCCTTTAGAACAATGCTGGTGTGATATTGACTGGACCTACGGCAGAGTACAACCTGAAGGCTTTACGAGATACATTCGAAACCAACGTTTTTGGAATTCTTGAAATCATTCAATACGCCTTCCCAAAGTAAGCTCTTGATGCAAGTTTGTTGAAACAAAACAGGCTCTTAAGCGTTCCCTGGTTTGTAGGATGAAGTCAGGCTCTAAAATAGTCAACATTGGATCAGTCGTTGGATGGATTTCAACTCCATGGGGTAAGAAGTTTAAAGGGCTGTTCAAGTATTTTTATCGAGCTTGGTCCTTTGAGTCCTTTGATATCATTTGAAATCTGTCAAAGGCATTATCCAACACTCTGTGAAATATTAGCTGGTGCATATTGTGCCTCAAAATCGGCCCTCCACGCCTTCAACCACGCCCTCCGCATGGAGCTCGCTCCCTTCGGAATCGACGTAATCCTCGTATGTCCCGGAGCAGTAAGATCCAACATTGCGAACGCCGGCCTGGAAAAGATCGAGTTACCACCAAACACGAAATACGCCGCCTACAGGCCCTACATTGAGAAACGTACCCAGGGTTCTCAGCATGCAGGATCAACACCAAATGAAGTATTTGGGGCAGAGATCGCTACCGAAGTGTTGAAGAAGTCTCCCAAGGCAATCATTTGGGCTGGAACTGGGTCGTATAATTTCTGGACGTGGACGTTCTTGCCGGTGACTTATATTCAGGAAAAGTTTAAGGCCGTGTATGGGCTGGCATCGAAGCTCTAGGTGGCCGCTGGAGTCCTGATTCTGCTGACATCGCTGTGTCGAGAACGGTTTGAGTGTAATCAATAAGTGTGACGAGTTTGTATTTGCCAAAGTCTATAAGCTACCGAGCACTTTGAGTGTACATGGCCTAGGGCCTAGCATCTGCATGTTGTGGATAGGTTTGAAATCACGTAAATTGTGCAGTCCAATTGGCGTTTGAGACGCGAGGCGTACAGATGCGGTACCACGACACTCATGAGATAATTATGTCCAAGAATGCACAGTATCCAGTCCTCGACTCGTGCGGTTGCTTTGCGTCTTGAGGGAGCTTTGCGTGTTTGAGTGAATTCCAGATTCTTACAAACGGATTGCAAATCAGCACCTACAAAAAGTCAAACAACGGCAACCAAGGCAGTTGCAGTAGCGGTAATAGCAATTTGTATGACCAGCTTTTTTAGCAGACTCTTCTCTTCTAAGCCGAATCCCCCTAATTTACAGGCAGCAATGGGCATGGAGTGAGTTTGTGCAGAATGTGAAGATGGATCTGGACCAAATTCATATCTAGACCAAAAATCATTTACACCTTATTGACCAATGTTGCTAACATTTTGCCTATTCTTGACAGACTCGCCACTTTTGGAATGGGATGCTTTTGGGGATCACAGAAGATATTTGATGTAAGCATCAACATTGCGTGCTGCTCAGACTTATCAAAGGATTGTGTACTGACAATGTGTCTATATAGAAAGGATTTGGAGCACTAGGAATCAAAACTCAAGTCGGTTACGCTGGTATGTAAACATTGCCGATAGTTTTACCACTAAAAGTAGCTACATATTCGATCGATACCAACCACGTTTATATCTTATATCTATAGGTGGCAAAACTGCCAATCCCACATATCGCCAAGTATGCTCTGGCGATACCGGACACGCCGAAGTAGTCCAAATCGAATACGATCCAGCCAAAGTTGAATATGCTACCTTGGTAGATTTCTTTGTAAGTCTATGGATTTACCTGGATTCGTTCGTATTGCACCGATCTAATCATATACTTCTTGAATTAGTATCGCACACACGATCCCACCACACTCAACCGCCAAGGAAATGATCGCGGCACCCAATACAGATCCACCATATTCTACCACAACGATTCACAAAAGAAGATTGCTGAACAAGTTACTGAAAAGGTGAAACCGCATTATGGTCGTCATGGAATTGCTACAACCATTGAGCCTATCGGATCGTATTTCAGTGCTGAGGATTACCACCAAGTATGTGTGTTGCGAGATGTCGTTGAATTAATGGTTCACTGGATTTATTGTAATGTTGATTAGGATTATCTGGTGAAGGAGCCTCACGGTTATGAATGTCCTACACACTTCATTCGCTCGTGGGAAAAGATTGATCAAATGTATGGAGGTGGTCCACAAACATCACTCTAAACAACTCTGAAACGCCCCGCTGTGGCTTCTTTATACAAAATCTTGTTTTACAGTGTGTGGCTCGATCAACAAAAGTGATTTACAAAAAGATATAACAGTTTTTATACTCGTTGGGAAATATTCAATAAAGATTCTGAAATTAAAAATAAGTAGTGTTAATTGCCGCCAAGACGCGACACAACAAGGACTGATCCATTGTACTCACAGTTTTCTTCATAATCCTCAAAAACTCTTCCTCATTGATCTCCCCATCACCGTCACGATCAGCCTCATCAATCATTTCCTGTAGCTCCTCATCGGTCAAGTTCTCACCCAGTTCACGGGCAACTCGTTTCAGGTTCTTGAATGTGATTTTACCCGTGTCGTCATCGTCAAACAGACGGAAGGCTTTTAATATTTCTTCTCTCGAGTCCTTTTCAGACTGCAAAAAAACAACCAAGATCACCATTAGTATGCATTTCATTGCCTTCAAAACCAATATATGCAAATCACCCACCATCTTGGACGCCATCAGCTCCAAAAACTCTGCAAAATCAATACTCCCACTCCCATTCTTATCAATCTCTGCAATCATGCGTCGAATCTCTTCCTTTTTAGGCTCAAATCCCAATGCCCGCATGGCGACTTTTAATTCCTTGGCATCTATAGTGCCGGATCCATCTGTATCGAATAGATCGAAGGCTTCTCGGATTTCTTGTTTTTGTTCTGGTGTTAATTCGTGCGGTTTTTTGCCCTTTGAGGAGGAGGTTGCTGCTGTGGATGAGGACGGGAGGTAGGCGGATGATGATTGTGTTGGATTGGGACGGGTGTTGGATGTTGCTGGTTTGCGGAAGGATGCAGTTGCCTGAGTTAATTGAATTGGTGAATGTGTTGGTTGATGATGGTCAGAACGAGATTAGGAAGGAATGTGATCTAAATATATTGCTTACCATGTTGCTAATTCGAGATGTCTCCTTCTCCTTTTCTGCTTTGTTGTTATAGATCTGTTAATAAACCAAAACCAAAATGTTGTTGCAATTCGATGAGGGAATTTGACAACGATCAAAGTCGAACTTACAACGCAATCTTTAAATAGCTACACGTGCAGAATATATTTACAACCATGTAAAACACTTAAATTACGACCATGTTGCAAGGCTTTCATCATACACAAATCACCACAAACAACAAATCACCACAGTCCAGCAATAGATCTCGAGCAGATCACATCAAACATCTACATAAAAATACATCATAGCTCCGCTCGCGCGTGCTTTCCCACTCCACAAATAAACTCTGTCAGCAAACCTATACACACTGCTCTGTGACTGCAACCAATTGCCATCCATCTCCTCACGATCCTTCACACTAGACACCGCGACAATCTTATTACAAATGCTCTCCAAATACTCTGCTGTAGCGTCTAAGCCCAACTCCTTTGCATACCCAATGACTGACATACGAGCTGGTGAATGCTTGACTGCTTTCCTACCATCCTCCTTTACAGTTTCAGAGCCAGTAAGTACTTGAATGCCATTCACATACGATATGCATGATGCTAGTAGGTGCATAACTTCAGGTAACGAGTTGGTAGTATCTCGGAGTATGGGCTCCGTTTGTACGTTTCCGATTTCGAGTTTCACAGAGCCTTTGGATTCACCAACAAGACCTAGTTCTTCTCTAGCAAGAGCCTGCCATCGTGCTAACGCAGCAAAATAGTGTTGTCGATCCGAGAAACTAGTCGTTACATCAATAAGCAGAGACAGTATATCCACAGTCGAGTACTCTACAGCCATCAATATCAATTCCGAGTTGACATCACCAATGAAAATCAACTCTAATATCTCCAAGGCATTACTCTCTTTGACAGCCTGTTCTAGATACTCACGACGGTTTGCAAGCCATTCGAGAAAGAGTCTCGTCGCAGCTTCAGAAGCTTTACGAGACTCTTCTTCCTCCTCCTTACGTAATTTCTCACGATCTTTGGCGGCTTGGAGTTTAGCATCTGCTTTGGCGAATGCTGATTTCAATAATCGTTTTTGGGTTATTTTACCAGGAGTGCCACGTAGTCGGGCCTGTGTCCTTGGCATCATTATTCGTGAGAGATACTCCTTGTGCTGAGGAAACAGTGTCATCCACTGCTCCATGTTGATCCTTTTACGATGTGTCCAATAGATCCTAAACACGGAACGACGTCCACCAACCCATCCAAGCGTCCCATCGTTCCTCTTATCACTCAAAAGCACCGTCCCATCTGCAGCCATACCCTCAACAGCCATCTTGGCTTTCTCATACACGAAAATACAGTCTGGACGACATAGAGCTTCAATTACTGGTTTGAAACCCATTCCGACACTCTTGATGGTACCCTCCAATATCTTGGCAGATTCGGCTAGATTTGACGAAGCGAAAACAGTTGAGACGTGACTTGCAAATTTTCTCCGTTCGTCAAATACAAAAGTGCGGGCTTGTCTTTCTGCTACTTCATTCAAATACGTGGTTATATGGGCTTGCAGGATTTTGGTAGCAGATCCAGGTATAAAGGGATTTATGTACGTTCCGGCTTCGATAGCTGAAGCTCTGACAGAATTACGTTTACATGCATGAGCTTGTAAAAAGAGGGCCCTACGAAATTTTGTTGGTTAGCGAGCAAAAAAAACCCCCCCGCCGCTTATAGCTGACAATGCGATATTCAAAGCACAGACGCTTACAATCTGGTGGCAAACGGAGTAACAAGCATCTCTTCACGGATCGCCTTGCCCAGCCCAACAACACAATCAGGCAACACCACCCCGACAACTGCAGACTGAATAGCTTGTGAAAGACCCAACACAATAACCATAGAATCCAGCAAGACTTCACAGCAATACGTAAGCCACTGTATAGCAATTGGCGTCAGCCTGATGTCACCCTCTTCAAACACAATTGGAGACAATATAGGTTCACCAGCAACTTGCACGAATTCTCCAGCTTTGAGCGACTCGTGGTTCACAGCAGCCCATGCCATCCACCGTTTCTTAAACTCGCCCACAGCATGCTTTATGATACCTTGAAGATTATGATCAAACATCGCCTCACATGATGGTGGTTTTTTGACACTATCGGTAAACATTCTGCGTGCGAGCTCTTCTTGTAGCAGCGCCTGATTGAAACCAGCGTCTGAAATTTTAGAGACGTTTACGTTCATTCCTGAGAGACGACCAATTAATATATGGGTTAGCCAGACACGGATGCTTGGGATGTGTTGGATAAGACGTGTTTCTGGGTTTGTTGCAAATAATGTGAGTGTTGTTCCGGTGGATATCGATTCGGCAATATCGACACATGATTGGTATACACCCATGCAGACATCGGTCAGCTCAGAAACAAGACGTGCGTTATATGTGGTGGCATTTGATGCTTGCTGCAATACGGCTGTTGCTAAGGCCAAGAATGGGATTACTCGTAACTGTGCTGGAGAGTAGCCCAATGGATCCAGAGTTGTCACGAATCCTAGCACACTCTGCCAAAAACATTGTTAGAAGTGATGCAAAAAAAGCGTACCGTTATAGAGCATTAATCTTACAGTCATGAAATGTCTAGCAAACAGCCAATGCTGAGGACTCACATACAGCGGCAGAATCCCTGTCACAGCATCTTGAGACGGGCTAGCAACGACTCGACTCCTTCTACATCGAGACCGTTTGAATCCCCCATGCACATCTTCAGCGTCAAGAGTCTTGACCTTGTTGACAATGATACTAAAGAATGTCAATGCTGTGATGTAGAATGGGTGTACTTGGTCGATATCAACGAGGCTTGGATCAGCTATTGCTCCTCGAGATCTAGAGACTGACAGAGCGACACACATGCAATCACCACCAATCATGGCTTCTATGTAATCAGATAGGCTGATGAAGCACCTAAACAGTTCTCGTTTTGCAGCTGGTTCTGAAGCTTCAAGAGTTTCAATATCGAGTTGTGACTGAGCTTGTCGTATCATTTGTTCTGCATTATCCAAGCGATCCGTGTTTGCTATAGCTCGTTGTGCCAGTTTCTTTGAAAGACCACGACCTGCTACTATCCGATATGCACTACTAGCCAAAGCAGCGAGTTCTCCTTCTCTCAATGTAGACTCGACAGCTCTCGCAATCGTCGAATACACAGACGAGATCTGTCGTTTTATATTGAGGCATCTCTTGACAACCGCTTTTCGTTCGGCAGTATTTTCAGAGGATTTCTGGTGATCCAGTATTCGAGTCACTTGATCATCCAAGAATTTGGTTCTGTCATTTAGTTTAGCTAGTGCCACTTTATCGCCAATCACGATTGATACGTCAGCGACAAGTCTGACGATTTCGGTTGGCACAAATGTTAGGATGACTTCAGTGAGTTCTGGTGATACTTCGGGAGCAAGACTACGAATACTAGACTTTTCTAGCCTAAAGTTCTTAGAATCTGCACTGTTTCCAGTAGACATGCTGACAGTGAAATATAAAGTAGAATCAAATTCTGCTTGGTCTAGTTCTATCGCGCCACGTTGCAGAGCATCCAAGTAGATCCTATGCGTCGTCACATGGTCTGCTTCAGAATGGATCTGTAAAGAAACACGTATCTTATCCAATAGAAGCAGCTCAGACACCCGCAGCACGCACTGTTCCAGGTCCTGCGCTGTCTTTATATAAGTGAAGGACCCCCGGACAGTACCAGACAGCGAGAGTCTCTGCAACATTTCTGCATCATGTGCAGAAGTGAATCCTATAGAGTGTATCTGAGATTGGAGCATGCTCAGCTCTCCACATAACTCGTCGTACGCTTGTGATAGCGTTTGTGTCCTGCTCTCGTATTTTGATGCCTATTAAACATATATTGGATGGGCATTAGATTAGCATCAGTTACAGCGGCAGCAAAATCGTATGAGCAAAAAACAAGATGTGCCCCTGTATCACACAACAAAGTAGTTGGAGTTGTCCACAATCAAAAGAGAACGAACTCTTACATCTTGTCCATCAGTAAAGAACACAATAGCAGCATTCTGTGCCTTCTGCTTGCGAATATGCTTCGTAAGCTCCTGAAACACAGCAACAAAGTTCGTTCCACCATTAGCATCAGTACGTATGAATTTCCGTTCCCAGTCCTTCGTCTTCCACAGATAGGAAGGCTGGTACACTACACTTTCATAGCATAAAATGGTGATGCGGCACGTTTCTTCGTCCAGGCTTTCGCTGATGCTGGCAATTAGGGACAAGATTGCCTTTTTAGCTTCAGGCAGAGCATGCTGCATAGACCCACTAAGAAATATGATTAAAACTTTAGCGATGCGATGGCTGATTAAATACACATTGTATCGAGACCTGACATCCAAGCACAAAATGAAATGTTGGATTTGTGATGTGCTTGATTTCTCGAATTCAACGGCTGGTAGAGACAAGCAGAGAACAACTTTTCCATTAAGGAGCTTGGCACTCTGGCCGACAATGTTCATTATCCCTTCTTTCCTATTAGTTTGTGTGTTAGGCCCATTTTGTACGAATTTGGAAGGCTGTACAGTCTCTGAGTGGTGATTGAATAACATGTCATGAACCTTTTCGGGCTCGCTGACGTGAAATTAACTATTTTTTAACTGGATTTATTTCATTACAATCGTACTGGCATGTAAAACTAGCTTGAAATAAACTGCTGCGGCAAGCCGTCAAAACTATGATGCTGCACAGTCGACATATTACGTCGAATTCACAATCTATAGTCGAGATACGGTATTCTCTGGCAAAGATAGGAATGCCGTGTTAGGAGAGAAGCCTACAAGCACGAATTTGGTAAGAAATCTAGTTCGTAGCAGACACAAATGTGACCAATATGTTCAGGCACTCACCATATTCACCACACTGATCACCATTCAACGTATATATTCTTCGCCCCTTCTGCGAAGCCTTCTTCAACGAACGTGCCTTGGATCCCAACGATTTATGTGAAGCATCAATATCATCTGCAATAAACAGCAAACCCCAGAACTTTGATCCCTTCCCACCAGTAAACGCATCTACATCAGCACTCTTCTGGCCCTTCAAAGGTCCCATACACTCAAACATTACATCTCCAATCTTGAAATACACGGCCCGACGAGTCGGTTGCGATACATCCCGTGTTGGATATATGGTCAGCAATCTGAATGCTTCGATAAGCTCGTCCAGATCCGAGGACTGGATTACAATAAAGTGGATTTTGGAGACAGTGTTAGGATGCTTGGAGTTTCCAACGACAAACTCTCGATGTTCATCGCGAGGGGATATTAATGTTGCAGATAGACCGTCCACCGGGAAGAGCAAGTCGGATGCGTGCGCTGATGTGGTTTCAAATGACATGCCGATTATGTTGCGCCTGCCTGTTGGAACGAAAAAGGTCAGCTACGTTTGTGTTTATTGCAATATGTGCTTTAGTCAGACCTTGGAGAGCAGCTGGACCCAGCAAATGGATGGTGATGTCTCCAACCTGAACAATGGATTTTCCGCCTGGGGTCTTGGTAACTGTAAACCCAGCATCTGTCCATGCGTCCGCGGAATCAGTAATCCTCAATTCTACACTAAATCGGAGGCAAGCATCAGGGGAATCAAGTGATGGTCTCCAAGTACACGTATTACTCGTTTCTTACAGTTTTGTGGCCTCTATGTGATTGAAAATCGGTGTGAGAAGTGCGAAATTTAAGATCAGTAAGCATTTTAGATTGTAGACCAAGAAGTCTGTTGACGAGCTTACTGTAGCAAGGATCCTGCTGTTTTGTTGAGCCACCGACAGCTCCTGGCTTGCCACCGTATCTGGACATTCTTCTTAGCTTGTTTGAAAGTGTTCAACAAAGAAGGTTTCAGGCTCAATATCTCGAGATACCAAACTGGCACATCGAGATCTAAAGGACGGGCGACACGCGTCAATATCACATAATCGCGTTCACACCTGAAACCATCGCGTTCACGTCCAAATCAGCTACTTAAACTTACAGTTGAAACTGTCGCGTCCACGTCGATACCAACTACTTAAACATATTACTTTTATTACTACTCCTTTCTGTGCTTCTTACTAACATGTTCTACTCCAGAATGTCCTTCCATATCCGGCAGCCCATACAACTCACTCTTAGGTGGTCGGCCCATAACCTTTGCCATCATTTCTTTAACAGGGGCGTCGTGATGACAAACAGCATACACACTGTCAATCTGTTCAGAGAAGCATTGTAAACAAGCTAGGTAGTAGCGACAAGACAAGGACATACCATTGGAGAATCAGCGTTAAGCTTCCGACAAAGTGCATATGCAGCTTTACTAGTTTCATACCCTTCAGCAACACTCCCTAGAGACTTCAACACATCCTGTACTCGTTCTCCGTTACCAAGACGGAATCCCAGTGTAAAGTTTCTTGATTTTTCACTCGTGCATGTTAGCAGCAAGTCTCCTATACCCGCTAGGCCTTGAAATGTGATGGGGGAAGCTCCAAGAGCTACTCCGATACGTGTTATCTCGGCTAGACCACGGGTGATTAATGCTGCACGAGCATTTTGCTGGAAACCTTGGGCTGCTGATGCTCCTGCAGCTATTGCGATGACATTTTTCAGGGCACCGCATATTTCAACTCCTACAAGCCAAAGAGCCAAAAACAATATGAGCAATCGTAATGCAGACTTTATAGCTCAAGTCGTACCTATAATATCAGGTGTATCGTATACTCTGAAATGTGGTGCATGAAACAGTCTCTGAGCTCTCAAAGCTCGTTCGCGCGTTCTTGATGCAACGGCCACAGCAGTCTAACCAACAGAAGACCTCGTAAGTACCAATGACACCCAAACACGTAGTGTACATCATATATACATACAGGCTGCCTTTTAACAACCTCAGCAGCAAAAGACGGTCCAGACAAATATACAGCCAAATCTCCAATCTCTTGTCCCAAAGCCTCATCTACAATCTGATACGGTAGCTGACCCGTTGACATTTCGATACCCTTATTCACATATATATGCAATTGACTCTTTTTGACAGTATCTGGGATTGTGTTAAAGTGCGTTGATAGTATGTTCCTCATGTGCTGTGTTGGTATAGAAAATAGGACAGTAGTGGATGATGCAATCAGTTCTGGTGTTAGGGTGCTTGATGCACGTAAGTTTGGGTGGAGTTCGACCTGTTTGACAATGTGGTGTTGGTCTTAGCCAGCCTTGTGTTGTTGTATGTTGAACCACATACATCTTTCATGTACTTGATATTTCGATGATCATTGTTGATTCCGTCGACGACATCTTGATCTCGAGCCCAAATCGTTGCATCAATTCCCAAATCTGCAATTTTGAATGCACAAATGTTTGCCGGATTTTCCAAAACTATACAGTCTGAGACCAAATAGAGGAGGCTTGAAACATACCAGAAAGATGATCTATAATATTAAACCGTTAGCCATGTCATCTTTGCGGTTCCAACGTCTTGCGTCAAAGAAAAACATACAAAATCGACCTTGTCAAACATGGCGATACATACCTGCTAGACACGTTCCAAAGTTTCCAGCTCCTAATACTAAAACTTTCTCGGCTTTAGCATGATGGAGAGCTGGTGCGCTGCTCGGCTTGTCCTGGTTTGTCATTGTTGTCGAACAGTGTTGAAATCCAGTGAATGTGACGCGAGATGCTTTTTTTGGAACGCTTGATCTTGATCTGCTTTCTAGCTCTAAGTCATGTTCGTGGTTTTCTTGAGCCTTATGTTTACGATTTAGATCTTTAAGAGCAATTACAGACTATGTCACAATGTTCCAATATCTCAGAGCAGTCATGATCATTGTGCAATAAGAAACCGATTCCCAAGGTTGCGACCTTGCATTTACCTCCACAATGTTCAATAGTCGCCGCGTCAAACGCCATTGCAGTGTCTACCTTCATTTTTAAACGACCACAACCTGCTTTCGCTTCCCATTTCGAGTTTGTGTTGAAACTGGAGTTGATAACAATGTTGAAGCTGAGGTTGGTAGAATTCTGCCGATGATGAAGACAGTCCAGATCCACCCTCTTTTTACACTCATAGAAGGTGGCAGTCCTCTTTGGTACATCATGTTGCATTGGTGGCATTACCATTGCCAACAACAATTCGATTTGGCTTCAACCTCCTGAATTTTGCCATTTCTCCACGATCTCGTCTCGGCTTACGTGTTGTGCTGCTTGTTTTTGCTGTGGTTTGTTCCTGCTTTGCTTCAAAATTACCCTCCAAATCATCTTCCTCCGACTCATGTAAATCATCAGTTTCTTAAGCACCAAAAATATCAGTAAAAGTTTCCATGGGCGATTGACTCGTGCTACATGGTGATTCTGGTGTTGATACATCTGATGTCGTTGGTTGTCGATTGTTTACGAGTAACGGGAGACTCTTCCTACTATCCTTACTGCTATTTCCAATCTTCGCATTTAACGATAAACTCTTCCTACTATGTTTGTTGCCATTGCTGCCAGCAGCAGGTTGATTTGGCTGCGATCCCTCGGGTCCTGTATCTTCTGCCAATTGAATAATATCATCACTCGAATATCCAGCCTCATTAGCCGATTGAGAAGAATCGGGGCTATTCAGATTATCGACGAGGAATCGTTGGATCGTTTGTACATTCTGGTTGAGTCGTTTTAGGAGTTGGTTGATGTTTGAATCGGCTGTTTAATGTTCAAGATAACGGTCAAGACTCGATCAGCGGTCTCTGTCCATATTTTACGAGAAGGCGTACAAGTCGGTATAATCCAGTAATACCTCCCAGAAGTCGTAATGTCCAAAAAACTACGTCAAACGTTGACTACGCAAACCGGACTATGAAACACAACGGTAATCTTCAAAATGGATCTAGAATGTCATTTTGAGTTACTCGCCCATACCTGAAACTACAGTCCGCCTTTCGTGATCGCAAGAGGAGAAAACACGAGTTAGTTTTGAGAAGGTGTAGGGTGACGACCACGAGAAGCCAGGCGAAACGGGAACCGATATACTCGAGGCTCTTGTTTATGGACTGCATTTCTCAAAAGACAAAATAAAGTTTAGGTACATCAAAATAACATCTAGACGTGGGATACAGAGCAACTTTCATTCTTCATCTTGTTCCATCTCTTCATCGTAGTCTTCGTCACCGTCTGGACCTGGCTGTCCTGGTGGTCGGGGAACACAATGAACCTTGATAAACACAATAGAGCATAAGCATAACGTCCATCAATTCGTAATACGTTGAACAGACGCAGTACCTTCTTTCCTTCAGCAACAGACTTTTCATGCCTCCTTAAAGCATCTCGCCTACTAAATCCCTTTTGGCACCTTGCACAAGTGTAGGGCTTTTGCTGAGTATGAATGTACATGTGTCGTTTGAGATCTGTATGTTGCGCAATAGAGTTAGATCAATCAAAATCATAGAAGCGAATGACCGATTTACGGCCTATCATCCAATACTCAAAAACTCGATTTTCCTTCAACTTACCATGAGAGCGACTAAACGTTTGAGGGCACTTGTCGCATTTGAATGGCTTGGCCCTACCACCAGGTGTTGAATTGGATGCACTCATTATGGAAGCAGCTGCAGCAGGGTTGGCACTACCACCAACACCACCGTTACCACCACCAGGACCAACAGCGGTTGGTGTACCTCGACCACCTTTATTCGATTGCTGGTGTCCACCTGGTGCAGCCATAGCCATACCCCCTATACTACTACTACTACTTATAGTGCCATTACCATTACTAACGCTGCTATTGTTGTTGTTACTATTCATTTGCTGCTGATGCAAGACGTTAACTGGTGGAGCATTATTTCCTCCACCGTTCGGCATGTTATTCATATTTGCAGACATGTTGACTGTATTTGGTGGAATGCCCATTGAAATTCCCAATGATCCGTACGAGGCAGGATAAGGTGCATATCTCATGTGGTGATGAGGATGATGTATGACACCATGATGAGTTGGTTGTGTTGGATATGGCGATGAATACATATATGAGGGTTGCTGTTGTTGCTGTTTTTTCAATGCTGCTGATGTTGTTGTTATATACATGGGTGTTACTGATGTTGGGGTAGGCCAATGGAGTAGTGGGGTGCCATTAGACGATGTTGCAGGAGATTGTGTTGCATGCATGCGGTTATCTATAAGAAGCGGGGTTGGATAGGTAGGATATTGAAAGTTTCCTCCAGGTTGCATATGATGATGCTGATGCGGATGCCTGTGCATTAGTGGGTGTGTTGTTGTTATTGTTGAGTCGACTGGTTCCTGTTTTATGATTTTCTCATCGACACCAGCGTCTGGACCTTCACCACCATCTAAATCTAATAACAGCATTGTATCTGAATACTGGACTGGCTTTGCAGATTTCGGTGTCATTCCTGGCATTCCAAAAGTAGGAAAGGTTCCACCGGGCGATTGTAGAGATTCCATACCATCCAAGAAACTTCCCATTATATAGTCTAGTGTTGGATCACGATACGGCGTCATGAGCTCATTACTGGTTGCTGTTACGTTGTTGGGGTATACGTGATGCTCTTGATGGTGATTGAAGTTGGTAGTGATTGGGGGTACAAACGGCGGTGTTTTTGTCGTTGTTATGGGATTGCTACTATAGCTATTATGCACCGGCGTTGGTTCATGCAAGACTGACGGCTGTATCGAGCTTGCTGTACTATTGTTACTGCCATTTCCCGTGTTGTTGGTGTTGTCGTTGTGACTGCTACTGTGGTTTGGTGAGGAGGATGAGAAGAAGAAGCTAGCTAGCGAGTCACGGGTTTCCGGATCCACATTCAGACCCTTTACAGCAGGAGAGAATAGATTGTCGGTTGCGGTTCTGGGATCCTTTGCCGGATCCAAGTTCTCCCCTGCCCCATTTATATGGCTACTACTGCTGGTATTGCTACTAGTGGGGATGCCATGTTGCTGCTGGATTGAGGCAGATAGAGGCCCGTGCGGATATGCAGACGAGGGCCTCGTGAAAGCTTCATATAGTGCTGATAAGTTCCTATCAAAGAGACTAGAGGTAGGAGATGGTAGCAGCAGAGCACTTGGAAGATTTGTGGATGGGGATAGAAGGGTCTGTGCCATGACTTATATCAGTCGATACATGTGACTCGAGGATCTGATCAGTAGTGAGATCTTGTTTAATAGTCTAGCTCTAGTCTGTTATGAGCAATTTGTAAGTTTTTCGTTTTCCAAGTTCTTGCGCTAAAAAAGGCGGTTTGTAGCTGCACACACCTGCAGATTGATGACAACTTGTATAGTATGGACTCGAGCTGCGTGCTGCCTTCTTTTCTCTCTTTGTTTACGAGTGAAGCTAGCAGCTGGGTCAAGTTCCAAATTTCGCAATATTGATTTCAGGGGAAGACGAAAGAGGTGCAAGTTCAGATTCTGATTCGAGCAAAAAAGTCGTCCTTCAATGACTTCCACAGGTGACTACAACTTCGTAAAGAGTTGCGTGCTTACTTGTACTGGGAAGTTCTGTATATTCGGACGTGTGGAACAAGCCGTCATGCGGTTCGCGAGTCTCAGTTAGAAAGGATGTACCAATGATCGTGGTGCTAATCGATGGCTGCACTATACAACGCTATCAATTGTCAATGGTAGAATAGACACGTTTGCTCGTTTGCTCCCCGTATAAAGTGCCCCCACCGTGCAATTAGCCTAAATTACCAGGTTGTCACGAAACGCGAAAATAGGTGACATGCAACACGTAATTTCAAGCAATAACTTGTTTTCGTCAAATATGGCCACCATACAAACTCTTCGGAACACTTTCACACTACTCTTCAGAACAATTGGAGGACGTCCTAATGGAGAAAACCCGACAATAGTAAACAAACCAAACGTCCATGGAACAAACGACGGTAGACAGTTCAAAGCGAGAATGAAATCTCAGCCATCAAAGGTCAGTGATGCCATTACCTTCAAACTGGCGTAAACCAAGGTTCCAAGGAGCGACATGTTGGCGATGGAGAATACTCCAAAGCCAGTAGTTCGGCCTTGAGGCCCTGAGTTGTAATATCCAGTTGCGTACATGTATCGTCCGAGCTGTGAGAAGAGTGTGTTATTTGCTGCTGTTACAAGGCTTCATTCTTGTACTCACAATGTAGATAGCACCCAAGGAAGCAGAAACTCGTGGATACCAGATGCCAGATGCTAACATTGCGAAGGTGAATGTTGGGATTTGTTCAAGGTAGTTCTAGAAGATAGAATATCGTTTAACAGTCATGCACTAAACAGTGGATACCGAGACGATTCACTTACGTAGTGAACTCGTTGGAAGGAGTTGAAGGTGACCCATTGCTCATCAGTCAACTAGATGGATGTGTCGAGTCAGCATTTCGTCCAGTACTTCGCAAGAAAGTCCTAAACAGAGACCTTTGCTGAGTAACGACCGTGACCCATGTCTAAGGAGACAAGAGCGTTAGTTGTGGAAGAAGATTATAAAAGCAAATTCATGTGTGAGATTACCAGGATAGCTGACGCCAAACTTGCGACGCTACAGAAAGGTGATTGTGTAAGTAAGTCGCGACGTGCAAAGTTTTTCCGTCGCTGGAACAGCAATGCAACTGAAACAAGAATATCGAAATGAATTCTGTACTTACTTGACCAGCAGCAGCCATAGAAGCAGCAAAGATCTGGAGATGGGCACTACATTTGGATGGCGTGGAATTAATATAGGTGCAGCAGATAATCATGGTGGCAGACATGGATGCAGAGTGGCACGTACGCTGCAGTTACCAAGAGAACGAATCCATAGTCCTTTGAGAGCTCAACGGTCAATATCTTGGACATGTTTGGTGAAAGAGCTTTGTGGTTTTAAAACTAGTATTTGGAATGTAGATGGTTTTCAGTTAGTAAACAGTATGGGACTACGGAAACCATAAGATATAGGAATGATGCGCATACATTTTAGAAGCTTACCTTTGGTTCTTGTATGTATGGAAAAAATTCAGTCACCGACGACTGGAAAAACGAAGTTGCACAAAAGCACCGACGTGTCAGCAAGAAGACTTCACGGTGGAAGATCAGTTGTGCGCTAGCACCGCAACATTTATCTTCTTTACTCTGGATTTAATTTCATTTGCTCATTTTTATCCAAGTCAGTCTCTTTTCAATCATCAGGTCCAGCCACTTTAAATATTTGAAAATCCATGGCACCTCTTGTTCTGGGGACATCGGATGAGTCTCTGTCATAAAGCAATACACAAAATCACGTAATCTTCATCCTGGACACGTCTCTGTCCTGCACGCTGGTCCTTCCATGGCCTTTCACTCAAACTCACACTTTTTGGAACGCTTCCTTCGACGCAATTCAGGATGATGGAGCCACCGTCGAAGGCATTGATCCGCTTCATATTTCGTTGAATAATTATACGATTAAACCTCATGGTTCTCGAGTCACCATGGAGTCGAATGGCTACATCTCATCTCATTTAACGCTTCTTCCAAAAATCCACCCTCCACTGTTACATTCCAAAAAACCACAAATTCATATAACAAGCACAATCCAGGTTTATCTAATCCTCATCACTACTATCGAACATGAAGTCCCAATTCATCGTCATGGCTCTTGCTGCCTCTCTCGGAGGCGCCCTTGCTGCAACCGACTACTCCAAATATTTGACTTTGAACGCATCGTGCACAGCTAGGTATTTTATGAAACTACAGGAGCAAACGATCGATCTGCCTTGCTTTTCTACTACAGAGTCCCCTTGGCTGTCTTGAACCATAAAAAGTCACTAACGCCCCAACATATCAATCTCCACACAGTTCAACGGATGCCACTTCAAACCCAAACAATGCTGTGCTTGATGGTGTCTACGAGACGACCGGTGCAACCCCTCCAGGAAACCTCCCCGTGTACGTTCCGTTAAACCGTCTTGTGGTTCCAACCGCTACCCTTCTCAACGAATAAAACGACGCCGCATTTCTAATAACTTTCAAAACCCATTGAATAGATGGAAGTCCAAGATTCAACCTTCCTGTGAAACGTCTGTTGATTTCACTGTAGACTGGACTGCCAAGGTAGGATTGACCACTGCTGTTTTGAGATGAAATGACTGGGTAGTATGCTCAAGTTTTCTAAAACCAAAATTTCATCTACAGTATGGCGCTGTAGCCTTGTCCACAGTTCGTTTCGAGTGGGGAACTCGTCCAGCTGGCATGGTCACTCTTGCTGCAGTTAATGCAGGTGCCGTAACGCCCACCACTGCTCAATTGGTAGCTAATGCCACCGATGGTTACTACTATTTGAACGTTGAAAGTGAGTCTAGTAAAGTGCTCAAAAAGATGGTTTTGAGACTTTGCTTTCAAGTGCACAATTCTAAAACTCTATCTATACTTTTCTGTTAGCTACCGGAAGCACTCCAATGGCTACCGCTGCAAAGTTGACCTTCACTAACTTGAAGGCCGGTACTGACGGTACCTGCTATGTGGATCTTGGTATGAATCTTTTTTGTCTTCTTGATACCTTGCCCTGCTCTCTCAAATCTGATCTGACATTAACTTACTAAAAACATTAGCTGACATCGACGCCTACCCTACTGTTGGAGCTGCTGGTGCGGGCACTACTGCAACTGGAGCTAAATCTGGTGCTCCTCAAACCTCTGCTTCGGTCTTTGCAGTAGCATCCGTCGCTGTCTGTGCTTTGGTCTCTGTCTTTGTGTTGTAAGAGAAGCTGGCTCTTTTCTCCGTGGTGGCCCTTCTTTGTGGTTTTCATATTTTAAGTCTTGAGCGTGTTGGGGGTTAGAAACATTTCATTTGCTTTGGTGCCCTTAGGAGAGGGTTTGTAAACATTCAAGTAGTGTAGCTTTTCATATGAAAATTGGCCTGAACTTTTTGTGCGTCGTTTTCAAGATCGAGTTGATGTTGAGGTTGTAGGTTGTGCGTTGATTGATCATTGTAGTATGTAGACTCAAACGATATAATCGAGCAGTCAAAGGTACTTTGAATCATGAAAGACTGTGAAGTTTCGAATTGCGTACTTTTTGAGTTGAACCTCCATTGAATGCCAGACTCCAATCTGGCTGGTGGCAAGTTCTAAGTCGTGTATCACAGACAAAGTTGAGTCTTAGTACAATCCACATTGACGAATAGAAGCTCCTTCCATTCGTTCTCTTTGCTTGGGATCTTGTATTGGAACAAACAAGCCCAGTATTAAAAATGGTTGCACTGTGTGTGCTTTTCGAAGCATACTTGCTAATCAATAGGCCAGCGCTGACGTCATAAAATGTTTGACACAGTACTATGACGTCGTAAAATGACTCCTTCGCCTTGGATACGACGGACATCTTGCCATTCATCAGATTTTCCAAACTTGATGGTTGAATTAGTAACGTGAAAATGACGATGAATAATTGGTTCTTGTCGTATGCCTTCACAATGAACACAGTAATCATCGTGTTGGGTCCCGAGTAGGAGATTGAAACGCGAAAGGAGCTACATCTCGAATCAAAATCTTGAGACAAACTCCAACAACCGAAAGAAACAAGAGCAGCCTTTAAGACAGGACAAACTACCACGAAAATGAAGTCTCAGATCATCGTTATGGGTCTCGCAGCCATTCTGGGATGCGTTTCTGCATTACAAGACTATGGCCATCCCCTCGCCGACGGTGCTACATGTACTGCAAAGTACGTTGCATAAGAGATTTGAGAATAATGTCAATTCTGGTTTGAGCCCTCATACCCCTCAACTTACTCGTCAAACTCCAATATAGCTCCACTCAGCCAGGAACAGACCCAGCGTAAGCAGCCAAAACACCAAAAACGTCTCAGCTTGAGATTCACCCAATTGTCACCACTGAAATCACGTAGCAATGCCATCGCAGATGCTATTCCAATGTAAGTATCTACAATCAACATTGGCTTTCCAGGGATAATTTCCCGTGTTTCGTCTTAACTTTCACCTCTTTTGAATCTTCGTCTAGCTGGAGGTCAACGGTCCGTACAAACTCTTGTGAAACTGCAGTCAGTATGACTATAGATTGGTCTGCAAAGGCAAGCAAACATTTCACATTTCAAACTCACTCTGATAAAAATGCTTACATACCCTTTTGCTGATGAATCAGTACGGAAGTGTTCAGCTTTCTTCTGTTGCTATTCAATTCGGACTCCGTGCTCCTGGCAATGTATCGTTGTCTATCATCAATGGCCCAACAATCACCCCAACAACTGCCAAACCAGTCATCAACAACACAGATGCCTTTACGTATCTTAGTGTGGAAGGTAGGTGAACCATTTGTTGAATCATGACTACATCTTTCACAACAATTAATTGCAGTGTGCTTATGTGGCTTTCTTTCCTCTTGTTTTTTTTAGCTACGGGAAGCACTCCTTTAGCAACAGGTGCACAAGTCATCTTTACACTCCTAAAGAACGGCACAGAAGGTTGCTATGTTGACGTTCCTGATATAAACGCATATCCAAAATTGGGTACCATCAACGATACGATGGTATCTGGAACTACCAATGGAACGACAAACGGAACTTCCACAGGCACCACAAACACAACCACCACAGCAACCCCTAGAGCCAAATCTGACGGTGCTAATCTCGTCATTGGATATGTCGTTGCTGTCGTCGGGTTGATCTCGATTGTATTTCTGGCTTGATCTATTTCACTTTGTGGGTGTTGCCTCGTCGTCTCATATTTGTAGTTGTTTTCTTCGTGGTTCACAGACTATTCATAGTGCTAGTGTCTCTGAGAGTTTCTTCAAGGCTGTCTTCGTTATTCTTTCAAGTTTCATAAAATAGAATTCGTTTCTGGAAGCAATCCAGGCCTCTTGCCATGCAAATGCTTTTTTTGAACGTTACAAGACATAGAGAACTATGCCTCGGTATTGAATAGCAGTATTTGATGTACCGATCGTTTGTTTTGAATTTGAGGACTTGTCTGTGTGTGAAAAATCACCAGCTGGTACTCCTTGATCACAGCAAGAATGATCATGAACATACATTATAAAAGCACGTAGAATTCATGCCCGATTGCAAATCTTCTACGTGGTTGCAGAATTCAAGCACGGGACCTCGAGTTGGAGCCGTAAACCGTTGCAAGGTCTCATTGGTCGACAAACCCTTCCTCACAAAACTCCCAACGACTTGAACGCTTTTTAAACAAGTCCCATATCGGCTGAATCGACCTTGCAATCAAGCAATCTACTCTATACACTATTCAAGGGTAGGCACTGACAGAGAGAAACTTGCAGAGTCTTGATTACCTACTTTTTGGTCGCCAACCTGAAAATTTGTCTGATTCCAACCCGTCCATTTGTAGCATCCATCAAATTAAAAGTAACAATGAAGGTCTCGGTTTTCGCTTTGACGCTGGCTGCCTCTCTCGCAAGTGCCTTGGCTGCTACTGATTACTCCAAATACCTGACTTTGAACGCAGCATGTACCGCAAGGTGAGATGGAGATTTTGAGTTTCATTTTCAATCTGTCTAGACACCTTGGCAATCTTTCTAACAACGCCTTGCATAATAGTTCCACTGATCCAACATCTGATCCAAAGTGAGGAATCATGTTACTTCGATTCGATTTCTCAAGTCTTTGGTGTACTTTAACCAAATTTTCCTTATTATTTCAGTAACGCAGTTCTCGATGGCACCTACGAGACTACCGGCGCAACACCCCCTGGAAACCTTCCCGTGTAAGTTTTGAAAAATGTTGTAGAGATGATACAGGTGTTGTTAGAGGTTCTTCCTGGCGTACAACAGTGCATTATGAATGTAATGAAATCTTAAATCTTTTTCATTTCAACCTAGCTGGAAGTCAAAGATCTCAGCTACCTGTGAAAACTCGGTCGATTTCACAGTAGACTGGACTGCCAAGGCAAGAATACACATTCTCAATCTATGTTGCACTTATGTCCCTCAATCGATCGATATGGTAACTCATCACCATAAACCTCCTCCTCTTATGACAAACAGTATGGAGCAGTGGCGCTGTCCACTGTGCGTTTCGAATGGGGAACTCGTCCAGCCGGGATGGTCACTCTAGCTGCCGTCAATGCTGGCGCAGCTACACCTACTACAGCCAAGCTGGTTGCCAATGCAACTGATGGATACTACTACCTCAACGTTGAAAGTGGGGTTTCGTCAAATGATAGAAACAGTTGAGGTTACGTCCTCTAACAATACTCGATACACTTCTCTCCTAGGCGCTGGCAGTACTCCAATGGCTACTGGCGCCAAGCTGACCTTCACTCAACTCAAGGCTGGAGCTGACGGAATGTGCTACGTTGACCTTGCTGACATTGATGCATACCCAACTACTGGTGGTGCTGCTGGTGCTGGTACCCCTGCTACTGGTGGAACTACCGGAACCGGAGGAACTACTACTCCAGCAAAGTCTAGTGACTCGACCCTCACTTCTGGATCTGTATTCGTCATTGTCACCGTTCTCGTATCTAGGCTCATCTTTTAGAGCAGTATTTCCTTCTCTTCTCAATTGTTTCTCGAGTATGTCGCTGTGTGAACGGTGGTGTCTTTGAGCGTTTCTGTTAATTTCCATTGCTAGTCAGATTGTAAATTAGCAAAAGTCTTTTTCACGTTCACCTAAAGAAAAAGAAGCGTTACGCAACTCTGACATTCCTACTTTGAGCACGGGTTTGTGCGAGAATCGGCAGCGAATAATCCAGAACTTTGGCACGGAATTTGCCTTTATGTGCAGCAATGTAGTAAAATGATGCCTGAGACCCCATTCCCGTATAACCGTTTGACACTGATCGAAACGTATGTACGATGTTTGGGTAAATCGACGATGGGTTCATTATTTCGCAAAAAAAGTTCACTTCAAGTAATCAATTCAACATACCGTTGAATCATCAGCAGCCTCATCAGCAGCCTGTCCTTACGCAGCTGCGATTCTCAAACCGCCTGATACAACCCCGCTCACGTTACTATTGAATTGTGACAAGATCGCGCAGTTTTTGTTCCAAGCAACGGAAGCCCGGTGTAAACATATCTTAACATCCAAGCCAAAAACCCCGCTTATAGACTGACTTCATTACCAGATAATGTTACCGGCGAACTCTGGATACTTCTTGCAGATCATGGGAGCATAGTCAAACCCTTTGAGTCGAATAGCTTGATTCTTATCCTTCCTGCTACAAGTAAGACAAGAGCTAAGATATCGAGTGAGGAAAAAACCTGACCTGCTGCTCAGAGAATGCTTACCTTTGTAAACGGGTGTTCTAACCCACCGAAAAAGACAGCTACTACTCGCAATGATGACTGGGTAGCCATATCACCCAACACAGCAGAAGCCAACATCCGTAGACCATCATCAGCAACCCTCGTTTCGTCTTCAAATAGGGTATTGACATCCACAAGGATACCAGTACTTGATTGATTCAGTTCTGCAATCGGTTCATGAGCAGTTGGCTTCCGTCTCGTCTTCCGTCATCGTCTTCATCGTGGTTTTTGAATGACGGACGCAAAGTGCTACAAAAGTGGATCAGCGTATGCATCCACTACGCACATCAGTATGTCCAATAGAGAAGGACATAAACGTTTGATGGGTTGTAAAGAAAGGAGGAGTAGCTGTTGGAGCTTTAGTTTGAAACATATACCCACCTTTGTCAAATTGAAATGTTCGTTGAATGAAATGTAATCAAGTCATTGGCACCACGCGAATCCGTGACAAACACAATACTCTTCAATGACGAAGTGTTCCAAATGCCCCAACACAACAGTAGAGAACGAGAACCGCAATGATAATCACATCCCAAGTGCAAGTAACAAACCATGAAAGAATAACCCCAGTAGTTAGCATGTGTGAAGGATCAAGAGTGTCGCATTCCTACGTATCAGCAGCCATGCAACAAGGAGCTAGCACAATGAGACCCGATCACCTGCAGATTAGGAAAGGGGCAAGCAGAGCCTTGTATTCATGTGCAGTCGATAGGTTTTTATTTTCCGTCTTCTCGTTCTGGTATACTAACTTTGAAATCAACATAGCTCGTGTAAAGTTGCGACAAGCCAACAAAGCACAGCGTCAAAATATCATTTCACCATAACTTACGAGTCAAAGTCCAGTTGTACGTCAATAATGGCTGACATGGCTTGTGGATTTCCTTTCAAAAGCGAAAAACAACAACACCCAAAGCCCTTGCATTGGCACTATGTAAAGTCATTATATATACAACACAAACAACAGTGGAATCAAAAGTACATTAAAATGCAACAGCAACGCCCGTTTATACGGATCTTTTGCTTCTAGATGAGCGCAAAAGTCCATTCGTCTTGTTATTCTTGTTCGCCATGTCACCATTCTCCTAGCAGAAATCAGAATCAGAGAGACAAAAAACGAAAAACCACACTCCAATATTGCAATTCATGCTACATACCTTATCAGCTTCGCGATGCCCATTCTGCATCTGTCGTCTCTTAACACGTGGATCTACCAGCTTTTCTTCTTCCTCTTCTTCCTGGTTGTTGTCTTGCTCCATAGCTTCTCCAGCAGGCTCGACACGAATGTCTTCATCCATAGGATCATCAGAAACAGGTGTTGTTGCTTGTTTCGCACCAACAAAGGTAGGCTTATCATCATTCCCTTCCTCATCATCTGAATTCTTTTCTGCATATTTCTGATGAGTCCTTTTAGCTGCTCTTGAAGCCATTCTAGAAAATTCATTCACCGTTAGCAAAAAAAAACCTTTTGTACTTGAATGATGTGCAACTCACTTTCTAGTAGACTCTGGCACCGCCTTCTTCTTACCAGCAGCCTTCTTCGCCTTCTTGGGAACTGGTTCACCACCATCAGCCTCAGACCCACTCTCAATGTCATCATCATTCGGTGTAGAATCTTTAGCCTTACGAGCCCGTTTCGTTGGTTTCCTTTTAAACATTTGGATTTCAGACGATGAAGAATCATCGTCACTTCCTGCTTCTGCTTCTTTAGCTTTAGCAGAAGTTTTTGCCTTTATGCTTTTAGGAGATGCCTTTTTGGATATTGTGGCAGCGGTTATTGTTGAGGTGGTGGAATCGATTACCACGTTTGCTGGTACATAGTTCTTTCGAATAATCTAAGCAAGAAACACGTGAACGCTTTTATAGTGAGGATACCGCACTGATGAATCTCTTTTCATAATTCACAATAGCGAAAGATTTGGAACTTACTTCAGAAGCTTCAACACTAGTAAGCTTCTCAAACAAATCCTTGGGCATAGACATTTTGCCTTCATGCGCATCAATAGTAAAATGATGCTTGAGACTCCATTCTCGTATAACCTTTTGCGCTAAATCGGATAGTATATACAGTTTCTAGGTGAAAAGTGACGTTTATCTGTTAGCAAGAAAGGCCAACCAAAACGAATGAATTCAAACATACGGTTGAATCATCAGCAAGCCGATCCTTATGCAATTTCAATTCTCCAACCATCGTATACATAAACCCTACATTCCTCTGATGTGCAATCGCATCAAGGAAGAACATGAAATAACCTCCATACTCAGCAAGTATTTCAACACTTCCATCAAAATCAGCATCGTGAGATAATAAATGTATGAAACGGACTAGACTGCGTTCTGCAGCTGTTTGTTTGGATTGTGCTGGGTTTCTACTCATGGTTGAAGCATATCGAGTCAAGAATGTTCTCAGACGAGCTCGCAGTTGATCTTCAGGTTCAAAAGCACCGTATATGATGATGGGAAGGAAGGATGAGGATATAGCGTCAATATCAAGATTCTTCTTCAAGGTGTCATATACTGCTTCTCTTGCTTGAAAGTACTTGTCCTAAATCACAAGACGGGAAATCATGCAAATATCAGGGTGGTACATTTTTGCGCTATTTCAATGACGTAAATGTATACCTGAGCAATTGTAGCCAATCTCACATAATCCTGAAACTCCATAAACTGAAGATAAACACTCCTCTTATTCAGCCGTATCATCGAGACTGCAGCTTCTCGTCTCAAATAAGCTTGATACATGGGACATTCAGGTTGAGTAGCAAACACCAAGCCATTGTTTTGAATTATAGTTCGAAGTAATCGAAACACTGGTTGTGCCAAATCAGGTATCGAATTATCTGTTTTAGAAACGGCCATTAGGCGTTTCACTAGGATTTTCAAGGCTGAAAGTTTGAAGCCTAATTCGGCTGGTGCCTTTTCTACTTCTACCCACACTTCCATGGGATCAGTGCTCTAATTGTTTTTAAAGAGATGCGAGTCAGGAAAAATTTGATTTCGATCTAACAAAAGCATTTAAACTTACGCCGTCACGATTCTTCCTCAACAAATCCTTAACCAAGAAATCCACAATCTCTGTCGTCCTCGTATCAAACAATGCTGGCGCATGTCTTGCCAGTTCAGCCAACCCACTCAAATGGGTCAAGAGTCGGTGTTGGTCAACATCAATAAAAGAGTCAACAATATAGCCCAATAATTCCTTCAAGAAGCGTTCAGAAGCAGTACTGTGTGCTAATATAATCATGGCATGTCGTGCTTCAGATGGAGTACCATCCTTGACAAACTTGGATAAGCGTGTCAACGACGTTGTATCGGTGGGTGCTTTTGTTGGATGGCGTTTGATTAGACTAGCATAGGCTTCCAAACGATCAGAAACTAGGAAAGGAATGAGATTGTCAACACAAGCGAACGAGCAGGTATCAGAAGGTTATCAAAGCACTAACTTATTGCCATATCCTCATCGCCCGCTCGCAAAGTCTTGGAGAAATCCTGTAGAGTTTCATCTTGTTTGCCCAAGCCAGGAAATATAGAAATTAGTTCCTGTTGTCAGAAAAGTGAGCAGAGCGGCCAGGAAATAAAAATACTTCACAACAGCAGAGAAATCATCCAAACCTTGACGAGTTGGTCTGCCAACGCCTTGGATTCACCCTCACTGTGAGTAATATGCTCAAGCAAGGCCGGTATAGTGTGTCTGGAAATAATCAAGAATGATACACGACGAAGAAGGATTTGAATGGTTTCCAACACTGCCGGAGTTTCCTTTAATCGGGTCTGTATCTCTTTCTAACCACACGAAGGAAACGTGGTGTATGTGAGTTAAAGAGACTGCCCAGCGGAATACATCACGAGCGAACTCACGATGGCCTTGTACACATGCTTGTATTCCGAGTTTGGATCCATGGCAGCTCGAATAAGTTTGTACAATCGAGCTTCATTGTTTGTTGCAAATTTCATCAAGTTGGACTTGGCTTTCTGCGGATCAGGGAATCGTACTATAGGAGAGGTGTGTGAGTTGATAGGATCAAAAAAGATCTTTGATCGCCTGGAATACCTGTCAAGGCTTCAAGAATCTTCTTCATTTGTTTCCGAATCTGATCTTCATTCTCGTCCATGACTCCACCCTAATTGTTGAAACATAATGAATAAAGCAACCATTTGGTACGAAACACGTTAAATGACACAACCCTCACATTGTATTTGACACACGTCTCCAAAAAGAACGCAGTCTTCACTTGTGTCCTATCAAGCCCGGAAAGTGTCAATAACAATCAGTCCATAATTATCATCTTCAAGTTTGCAAAGAGTCAACCCAAACTCACTTTGCTTGGAGCCCGAAAAAGGAAGTAAGTGCTCCACGAGATCTCGGTGAAAGAGAGAGCATCACATTCAACAATCGTTCAGTGCGTTCCTTGTGGTTTTCAATGTGTGTCAGGATATCTTCATCCAGTGCCTTTTCAGCCCAGACGCTAAAAAAATGATGGCTTGAGTATGAATAGAAGCTATGAGGCTTCTGTCGCACATCCTTACAGCGTTTCAGCATCATCCAAGTAGAAGGTATCCAAAATAACACCAGGAATCCATTCAAATCTTTCTTTGGCTCGTCGACCAATGTCGTCAGTCTTGATACTATGTAGGAATGTCCCAGGTAGGTTTCACGTAATTGCTCCAATCCAAGGTTTCGCTTACATATCGTTGTAAGCAAGCTTGTACAGTTTCGATAATGCGGTAATGGCTTCAGATCTCATAGACACCTTGATCGAGAAGAATTGCTTAGTAAAAGCAACTGCGATACTAAAGTTGCGTATATCTCACTTTTTTGTCCCGACATCTCTCTCCAACTTCAGTCAGCACATTTTTTGACAGCAACGATGCAAGAACAAGATCTAGAGATTGCACGACCTTGATACAAGCCAATCGAACCTTGTCATCTGGATCACGAAGTTTTTGTTCCAAACAGGCTAACACAGTGCAAGACATGTTTTCAGTATCCAGACAAAAAGACACCTTTGGGCAGTAGTAAACTCCTACCAGAAATATCACCGGCAAGCTCTGGATGATTCTTAAAGATCTTGGGAGCATAGTCAAACAACTTGAGTCGAATGGCTTGATTCTTATCATTCCTCCTAAAAGAACACGAGTGGTAAGTCCTCGCCCACAGCAAAATAAGAACCAAGTATCTCCGATGATCTTGCCTTTGCAACCAAGTCTTCCAAACTCCCGGAAACGAAACACCAAGTCGTGATGATGACTCGGCAAACATATCACCCAGTACCGTAGTAGCCAACATTCGTAAACCATCATCATCAACCTTCATTTCTTCTTCAACTAGTGGAATGACATTCAAAAGCACACCAGGACAAGATCGATATAGTTCTGCAATCAGTTTATGAGCTTTTTGGATTTCGTTTTCGTCTTTTTCGTCATCGTCTTCGTCATGGTCTTTGACTGATGTTGTGATGATATCCGCAAAGTGCTACAAATACAAGGTAGTTTGAGTAAGGGTAGCCAGGGGGGGGGTTGGATGGTTCAGCACTTTACCTGAAACACGTATCTCTGTAGTTTATCAGACCCAGCATTACACAAATTTATAACAAGAGCGTATGCCGTTGGGTTTTCATCCTAATAACAGAAAACGCAACGTAAATTGGACTGTATGTTGCTGCCGACAAAGTGACACATACCCGTTTCCTTTTCTTGAACCGGTCCAAGATCATATCAACCACATCTTCTGGCACAGCAGCACATTCATCCACCAAGCATATCAATATGTCCAAGATAGAGGCATATATGGGTTTGCTTGTTGACGGTCTATAGCCAATAAAGGATGAAGACCTGTCCATCCAATTGTAAAACTCAACCACACTAAAACGTACTGGATCAATTCAAGACATTCTTTGAATATTAGAGTAATCAAGTCATCAGCACCGTTTAAATCAGTGACGAGGACAATACTCTTGACTGAGGAGAGTTGTTCCAACAAGTAGTTGTATTTTGGAGCGTAGGAGTTGGTTGGATCTGCGAGGTATTTTAGCTGCGAGATGAAGAGTTCGAAAATGTCCTATGAGATAGAACTGTTCAAACCACGAATCATTATCCAACTCTCCAACATGAGCTTTGAATACCCTCAGGTCGTTTTCAGTGTATGGAGCATCAGGAGCATACAATCTCAACATGTCGGCAATGCAACAAGCAGTCAATATCTTGACACCCTTGTCTTTGTGCATGATTAGCGACGGCGAGATCAAATCCTTGCAGTAGGAGTCCAATGACTTTGTGTCGGCTCGTTCCTGTTCCATTTTTGACAGTTCTGTTGATAGAGCCTACAGTTTAAAATGTATATTAACAACGATGTCATAAATATAATGATAATCAACATTTACATTGAGTCGATCAACCAACTTTGTTGAGCTGATTGGTTTTGCAGCAGTTACTGGCACAATCTTGTCATTGAATCTCAATTTTGTCAATCTTGGTTGTACTGCAGCGCCTCCAGTAGTGGCGTTAGTAGTAGTCTTGCGACTCCTTGGCGAGGAACGAGGTGCTCCTCCATCGAAATCGAATGGGTCGGCCATATTCGCTTGTTTCTCGAAATGCTGAACTGTGCATTTGGAAGGTTGGAGATATTGGATTTATTCACAAGGAATATCATCAAATACTGGCTTGCATACTTTATTTCGATGGTCCATTCACCCTTCTTGCTGATTCTAATCCTGTGATTTGACACGTCAGCTTCGACATCTGTGTGTTGTCCCAATCCCATTATATCTTCGTGTCAACTTGAAGTCTATAAAATCAAACTTCAACGGAGCCATTTCTCGCATCAAAACAACTCAGAACTACGACATCAAGTCCAGTTACACCTTGGTAAGCCTTGTGGGGTGAGAATGCAACACTGCTGCATGCCTTGCTGTCATACACTTCGTACTGACTTCACCACAGTCACTGATACTAACCTCCTACCTCCTGTCTATAGAAAAGCCAAATAATGCAAGCAACTAGAGTCAACGCAACGAGACTCATCCATCAAACCCAAATGCTAAACCGTGGCTACGCTACATACTACCGAGCTTACCACTTTGCTCCACGTCCATACTGTGGACCACGGCCTTTCTTCTGGCTACTTGTCCTCGGAGGAGGCTACTGGTTCTACCACCATCACAATGAGAAGGATCAGTACACTGGTCACTGGCAGTCAAAGAAACAACGTATCGAAGCTCTAGAAACCCGGATCCAGGAACTTGAAGGCCGTATTGGATCCCATACTGTATCTATGCAACCTGTAGCAGCAGCACCTGTATTTGCACCTGAAGTGCCTGTATTGCAGCAACAACAGCAGCACCAACCTGCCATGGTCGCAGACAATTCACAAGCTCGATCAGCAGGAATGGGGTGGGCTGAACGTGTCAAGGCACGCGAAGAGATGATGGAGGAGATTAGAAAGTTGGAAGAACGACTTTCCAACAGGATTTCATAGGGTAGTTGGTTGGTAGTGATGGACATGACTTAGGACCAGTTTGAACTGTAAGACCATAAGTAAAATAAAAAATATACATAAACGAATTTAAATAGTCTTCAACCTGGCCCTTCATGCCGTGTTAAGCGAAAACGTAGAACGTAGCCGCATTTTATGAGGTGTGCGCACCTAAACGCCCACTCAACGCCCAAACAAAAGTCAACCTCGTTTTTCCTACAGAGAGTGCCGCGGGCCTCATCCGGGCAAGCTTTGAGAGTCTGGAATAGGTTATCCTCTGTCCTTTTCATACCAGCCTCTATCAGAGCTTCTCGTCTCATAATCGAGTTATTTTGAGAGGAAGCAGCCATAATATTATCCCAAATGTCTATACCACCAGAAGAGGTGACGCCGTCATCCACAACGCCCATAACTCATCCCGCACCGAACAAGGTTGATAATGAGACCATTAAAATCACCTTATTGCTCGTGAGCGGGAAGAGGAGTGATTTAGTCGTTTCGCCATCTGATACTGTCGAGGCTATAAAGAGGAGGATATTTGAGAATTGGCCCAAAGGTAGAAATATTATAGATTCTTTTTTCTTCTTCTCGTATGCATCAATAGGCTTTTGTTGGAAAGACATCGAGACTATCTGCCATTGTCGATAAAAAGTATACGAGAAGGCTAATGCTTCTCACATATGTTTTAGAATGGAGTGAAGAACTACCTGAATCTCCGGCTCAATTAAGGCTGCTTCTTAGAGGGAAATTCTTAGAACCAAATTCGACTATGGAAGGTAGTCGATTCTGTTTGCCTCTTCAGCTAGAATCCGTCTCATTTTTTATCATAGGAAACAAGATACCTACAGGCCAAACAACAACAGTTCATCTTATTATAAAGTCTGCTGCATCAAGTGAAGGCACAGGTAAATGTCGCAGACACTGCCATGATGATTCACACATATCTCACACATATCTCAACAGCTGAAAAGGCCAAGAATCTCGATCATGCAGGCAGCTGTCGCTGTACCATAATGTGATACCTCCATTTATAAAGCCGCCCCATTCTTCTCTCTTTAGCTACGCCGATTCGGACACTTGCCACCAACAAATCAAACCTCAAACACACATTTGGATTCTGTATTATTTTGCTCAATGCCTTTAGAGCCTTGTATATATGTTAGCTCCCAAGACTATAACTACTACTATTACGTGATGGAGTTTAAAGACTCATTGTCGATGTGTGGAAATGTAGCGGAGACATGTTGCAGAGGGCAAACTTCACAGTACCATCAAGCCGTACTTTGTATATTGAGTGTTTAGCGTTCTATTCTCTGCTTTTGCTCTTCTCCTAGTATTACTACTTGGTTGGTGTGAGCTTAAGCTAAAACGACAGCTTTCAATGTTGATCTTGAGAGCGATGCAACCTTTCGGCCAGTTGGCTTATGGAGCTGCAACCAGTATCAAAATCAAGCCATTCAAACCACAACTAGGCTTACATCTTCGAAAGAGGCCATAGCTAAAGAACAAGAAAACAGGAGTGATGGAAAAAATCGTAATCCAGGCTCGTCCTTTGTCCTTTGCCACCAAGTTCATGAAGAATCCTTTCTTGGCCTGCATTTTTATTGAACACGCCGAGTCAGAGCTCCGTTTGATCCGTCCTTCACCGTACAGCTTCAGATTCAAGTTCGATCTCAGCCCTTGCAGTTTAGTCAAAAAACGTCCTGGAACGACATTTCAAGGTGATTATTACGTGTCGCCTGGTGCAGTACATTGAATAACGCGTCCGTTTACCCTCCACATGCTCGTTTATGCGTATGAATTCGTATTGTATGGTTGGTCAACTCCCCAAAAAGAACACGACGAGTAATTGCAAACTTCGCTGATTAAAGTGCAACAAAGTAACGTTTCGAACCACGCATCATAATCTAGGTATCGAATTGAAAAGGTTACGTTATTCTATATATACGGATCTATCAGAAACGGGTCTCAAACAATGTTGGAAAATGATCGTGACGAGACCAATACCAGGTCAACCTCGACAAAACAACTGCGAAGCAAAGAAGCTGCTTCAAAACGTACTGTGGATGCTAGTATGAGTGGTGGCTCCTGTGCTAATACTATAGACTCGCCGAGTAACGAATCGACATTCGACATCAACAACAATCACATTCAACGCCCTGTGGCTGCTACAAGGTACAAAAGACCAACAAACGGCTATAACTTCATCACAGATTCGCGAAAACCCGTCATGGATAGTACCGCATTTAGAAGCATCACACCTGCTGATTCTAGATCAACCACTCCAACAAATCCAGCAAACAATATATTCTCCAATAACAGTAGTAGTAGCGCTAGTGGACACCCTTACTTCTTTATGCCTGTAGAACCACCTGTAAATCCAACTCCCATCGACAGATTGACTCCTGTGAGTCCTCAAGGTCCAATCATTAGTATCAACAACAGTGACAGCACCGACTTACAATTCACAATCGGATCTCCACGACGCATGACTGGATCTCCTCGTGGTGTACTGATGAGTCCGCCACCACCTCGAACCCCAACAAAACAAGTATATTACCGGTCTGCGTCTGATGATGTTAACATGATGGAAGCACCATCTGCAAACAACAATAACATTAGTACTGCTGAACAATTACTACGTACTGGATCACCTGATAGTGTAACCGGATCTTCTGGAACGGCAGATAATAAAGAAAACAAGACTAGTAGTAGGAATGGATCACCTATATCAATGATGCAAGTCGAGACAATGACGACTAGTACGCTACGATCTAGTAGAGGAGGGGTTTTTGCTGAGGCTTTGAGTGATGTTACTGATGATTACATGCCAGATTATGATGATGTGAAGGGGGAGTACTACGTGTGAGTGTCTATTGATCATATTGCGGGTAGTTTTTGGTGCTTCGTCGTATTTGATTGAATGTGCACGCAGGCGGTCTTCACGAAAACACATCGAATGTCTTGGATGATTGCCACATCCTTATCTCTCGTACGCTGTCACTGACACGTTATCTCCACCTAGGTTTGAGGCAGACTCTGATGATGAATTGATAGGAAGCTGTATGCCGAAGGGTGATATTCTCGCAGAATCGCCACGATGAAAAAGATGGTTTGGATCAATGGCCGCTGTGTACAATAGCAAGTATTAGAAACAACATAATGTACATTACTACTGTAAAAATAGTTGTCGCTCAATAATCTATGTAAAATTATGGGCTGAAAATTGGTGACATCACGTTAACGTGGTTCATTGCTGTTGTTTTGACTTTCGATTCACACTTTCCCTTCATTCAGCGATTCATCAGACACACAGCTGACCAACAACCATAGAACTTATAGATAGAGACAATCAGAATGGAGAACGAGACAACGCCATTGCTAAGGAACGCTCCCAGTGGAGACACATTAGTATCAGATGTCCCGCAAACAGCAGTTAACATCAAAACTTTACATCAACGCAGCGTCCTGAAACGCCTTGCAGGTATGATGTCAAAACCATATCGAGATAAGCGATTTCATGCACTAACTCGATATCCATCCTACAATTAGTGTATTCATGTGGTCTGCTGTTGACGGCCCTCACCATCCTAGTCCCCATCGTATACCTCGTGATAATTCCGTCAAAGATACACGAATTTGCATCTGGAGGAAGAGGACTCGAAGTCCATACCGTAGAACTACACTCTCTAGATGCAGATCAGGTAGACTGTAGTCTGACGGCAACAATGTGGTTGAAGGCTGCAGCACCGCGAGGTTTTAGTTTGTATCCAGCAGACTTTGATCTCGCACTCGATACAGCGGCTCCTGAGGGAACAACACGAGATGTGGATTTACGGGACGCTGGGATTCATCTCACGAAATTCCCATTCAACAGCCCGCTATCTGCTACAGAGGGTGTTGAATACATCCCAGTTGCACTACGAACTGCATTTGGAGACTTGAATGTTAGAATGATATCAGGTCTAATCAATGATATAATCCATCTTGGTAAAGCACTGCCGCCACAGACTGTATCGATACAGGGTAAACCGTATGTAAAACCAAACACGTTTTGGACGCTGCCTGGTGGTTTCCAAGTAAACATTGAGAAATACTTTACCGTATCGTTAGCCGATACGATAGGAGACGCCAAAAAGTATAACTTCACCATTGTGGATAAGAAGATTACGCCCATCTTGAATGGTGCTGCGAGTGACGATATATTATTAGGTACCGATAAATTAGGCAGACACGTCAACACTGTAAAACAGAAGTTACAAACATCCCTCATCCCGCAACAATTCGCTATATTCGTAAACGCATCGTTCGATAACCCACACAGTCTAACCGTGCACGCACAAGGATTTGGTGTGAAACTGTCCGTATACTATCTCAACAACCGTATCGTAGACATATTTGTGCCTACAACCACACATCTAGTGCTAGGCCATAACGATAATGTCACTGTAACGGGAATAACAGTCAAAGAACATTTTATGCAGCTCATGGATCTAGTTTCAAAGTACTCGGATGGTGAGGCTATAGATCTGGTGCTGAAGGACTTTAGTTTGTTTTATGATGCTGGAAGACAGCCAGTCCCATGGGTGGAGGACATGATTGCAAAGTGGGTGTTCCCTGTGTCCATACCCGCTAAAATCGATGAATAGATGGGTATAAATGAGGGGTTTGGTGTTGGTTGCTGGAATGTTTGTTGGTTTGTGTGGTTGGTGGTTGGTATTATATAAGAAGTTATAGAAATTGGTGTATTTGGTTGTATAAAAATCTGAAATCTGCCGCTCCTACCACAAATTGCAGTTTGCGCTGTATGCGATCGCTCTAGATCCAAGGTTGATTGCATGAATACGGATGCGAAATGATGCTATGAAGCTAGTGATTTCCCTCCAACACGAACCGTCAAAGTCGAATCTGGTGAGCAACGATCTTGCACCACGCAAATTTCATAAAGCTGCAAGATGGCTCAAAGCAAGATGAAAGAGAACGTGGTTGAGGTTCTGGAGGGCTATGGAAGGTACGTGAATTCATAATCTCTTCATTGGCCTGCATTCGCCCGATCGGAAATCCACGATTGTGCTTGTTGCGTTTTGTTGCTGAGGGCAAGTGTTAAACTATCTGTCACTAACGTAATTGTCTCCTAATAGGCTGTAAGTTTCACTCTCATCCCACGTTTGATTTACTGCATTATTCGTTTTACTCCTCGGAATCAAGCTGTCCAAGGAACATCCCCCCACATGTTTGCTGACTCCACTTCCAAACCAGCCTCTACCTCGTAGATCCATCAAAAACCAGCTTTGAACATTTCAACGAAGTACCCAACTACATTGGACAGGCTACCCCTTACTTTATCAGTACAATCCTATTCGAATCCCTAGTCCAAACCGTGCTATACTACCACGAACAAGCCGAAGAACGCGCAACTGGCAAACCTGGAACACTAGCTGCCGGCAAACCACTCAAACTGCCTCGCCTCAATGACTCGGTCACAAGCATGTCAGCCGGTCTCTTTATGGGGATATCCAAAATCGTTTTGAGCTCGATTGAAGCAAAGACATATATCTGGACTTTTAACAATTGTCGGATATTCACGATGGATGCTAAATCGAAATGGACTTGGGCGTTTGCATTCCTTGGAATGGATTTTGGGTATTATTGGTTTCATCGACATGCCCATGAGATTGCGTTGTTTTGGACTGGGCATCAGGTACGCCGCTACTGAGGTCCCCGTTTTCAAAACATTTATTGCCATTAACGAATGTCTTTTTTGGGAACTCATACAGGTGCATCATAGCTCCGAGGAGTATAATCAGACGACGGCGCTGAGGCAGAGTTTTCTGCAGCAGTATTCGAGCTGGATGTTTTGTGAGTCTTGTGGTTTTGTGATTTTGCAACGGCAAAAAGAACCTTTATTGTAATTGACGAATGCCTTTTCCTGAAACTCACACTTTTCACATCTGCTATAGACCTTCCACTGGCTGTATTAGGTCTTCCACCAGCAATGTTCTCTGTGCATAAGCAATTGAATACGCTATTTCAATAGTATGGCTGCCAGCCTTCACTTGACTCTACATTTGCTCATTCTCCTCTTTAAAACTAGTTGGATCCACACAGAGCTGGTCGGCAAGCTGGGCTGGCTAGAATACGTAATCAATACACCGTCTCAGCATCGTGTTCACCACGGAAGGAATCCAGTACGGTTTATAGCGCACTGTTAATCGGTCTTTTTTTGTAACCAATACTAACACTTCCTTCCATAGTACTGCATAGACAAAAACTATGCCGGAACGCTCTGCATATGGGATCGCATATTCGGTACCTACGCCGAAGAGAAAGAAACAGAACCAGTGCTATACGGACTCGTCCACAACAACCAGACATTCGACCCCTTTTACATCCAACTCGACAGCCTGCACCAGCTGCTAAAGAAATGGTGGAATACACCTGGTGGCGCAAGAGTCAGTACGCGTGTCCTGTTTTATGGACCTGGTTGGGATGTGACCAAGCCACATTTCAGATTTGGAGACCCGAGTGACTTACCTGCTGTGCCGAATCTGGCAAAGGATCCGAAAGCGGATATTGGACAGTATAATCCAAAGATGAGGTTTGGGTATTCGATGCAGATGTATACGCTGGTGCAGTTTGCGCTGGCTATTGTTGGTGAGTGTATAGAACAAACCAGTGCTTTACGATTCGATCGAAGGCCTCCACTTTTTTTGCCAGCTTCACTCATACTTCCCAATTCAAACAGCACAACCAAAAATCGTCGAGCACATGGACTCACTGCCATCATGGGCTCCAACAATGGGAGCTTCGTACCTCCTCTTGTGTCTCACATCCATAGGACGGTTATTTGATAACTGGAAGTACGCTTATCATTTAGAGATATTCAAATTGGTGGTTGGTTGTGGTCTTGCTCGGTATTTGGTGGCGAAAGGTGGACAGCAGTATGATAAGCTGAGGAAGATTGTTGATAGTGTTGCTATTGTTTCTTCAGTGTATGTTTTGACGCATGGGTATTTGGCTGCTCGGCAAAGTAAGAGGGAGGTGGAGGATAGAAAGAGCCACTAATCTGGCTGATACTTTATGGTGGTCGTGTTGGTGGAGTTTCTTGAATTTAAATTTGATTCAAGTTGCGTGTGTCATGATGAGGCTGTTTCTTGTAAACAATTCTCTCTGAATTCTGGCGCTTTTCTAAGTTTACTTCTATCTTTCATAAGCTACAAGCATTCACAAATATACGTTTGTTATTACGGTGATTGTTTTTCTCGACATGGTGTGGATATTTCAACCCAAGTAGTGCCCTCCCGTGCAAACCTACTAGTTGGATTTATTCTTCTCATATTCTCCTCCCTTGCATCTTGCGGCATCATCGTTTGCAATACTATTTACATCCTTCAACTACGACCGACTTTCAGAGACACCGAGTCATCGAAGATTGGCTTACGATTGGTAGCAGTGGCGACACGATCACGTAAGAATCTTTGGATTACAGTGACATTTCTATGTGGAGCATTCTCGGCGAGAGTGCCAAAGAATCTGGCTTCTATATCTCCACTGATAGCCAAAGCGGGAGATGTTGCAGGCCTGAGACCCATAGCAGATACTACTACGTTTCCTGAAACGAGCGACTTTCCATCTCCGGACTGCATTATGACTTTTATGAAGACACTCTAGTTGTCCGATTGTAAAACGTCTCTAGTTGGCAATGCTCTCACTTAACGGCACCACATTGCATCAACACCCATCAAACACGAGCGACTTTCAGAGATACTGAGTCACTAAAGTTGAGCTTACTACTAGTAGCGGCTGCTACACGATCACATAAGAATTTTCGGGTTGCAACGACTCCTTCTGGAGCACTGTCGGTAAGTGCACCCACAAATGCCATTTCCACCTCTCCACCAATCGTCAACTTGGGCGATGTTGATGGTCTGAAAGCCATAGCGCTGACAATTACGTTTCCAGATGATGGCAATATACTGTTCTCAGCCCAGAGTGAGATAGAAAGTGTCTCGAGACGTTCCATACGGCCAATTATTGTTAATAATGGAGCGTCGGTAATGGGGAGATCGATGGCTGTTATCTGAAGGTGTGATACGTTTGGGAATAGTTTAGGAAACACGGCGACTTTAGCTTCTATGTCCTGAGTCCAGATATCGATGCTAAGCCTCTTTAGGGAGTGGAAAGGTTCCGATCTGTCGAGGAGACCACTATTTACCACATCAGGGCCTAAAAGCTGAAGGGTTTCTAGTTGCTTAAACATATGTTTGAGGAAGAGCCCTTGTGGAAGTAGTGCTGGGGTGAAGAACGAAAGAGTTTTCAATGAGTTGACGCTGGCTTCAAGTACTCCAGAGTAACCTATCAAACGAGACTATTAGGACTTGTGTTTTGGATTAACGCGAGGACGCTGCACAACTTACTTTCTGGTTGCAGACCTTCCACGTTACAACACTGCAGCGATACCAATGGACGAGCCGGGAATACAAAGCCAGACGATGCAGAGATGGCATCATAGAAGGTGATTGCGTTCAGATTCTCAAAGGCATCGATGGTTGCACTGGCATTTCCAGGGAGGTGTCCAATATGCTTCAATTCCAATTTCCCCAAGGAGGATTTACTACCAGCAAGCAAAGCATCCAAAGTGACTTCGTTGACTTCAGCATCATGAGCAATAAACTCAGTTAGCTTCCACTGCCGAAGAGCAGCGACTATTCCAGATACATCCACATGTTTGCAAAGAACATGAAGAGTGATTATGTTGCGATGGGTGGATGTAAACTCGAGCCATTCATTCTCAGCCCAGCCGGAGGCGACTTGATGACTGCCCTCAACTAGCTGCAGTTTTACGAGCCCTTCCGAGACCGATGACAAGGCTGGCAGATATTCTGTTCTGATGCATAGTCTCTTGAGATTGGTGCAGTTGGAGAGGATTTTGCTTACGAATTTGATGGCAGCCGGGTTTGCATACATGACTTGGTCAATATCTGACAAGTCCAGATCCTTGACGAGGGGGAAGACCTCTTGACGGTACATTGTTGGCGAAGAAGTTTGCAGCATGCATTTGGCAGACCTTGCAAAGCTTTTCGTTGCCTTTAGGCTTCTGTAGAGTTTCTTTACAGCGGCTTCGCTCCAGCCTTTAGAGATCAGCGACATTGCGTGTAAAGTTTCTTGGTTTGTTGTCCAGTCAGCAATACAGTGCAAGACGTCCAATGGCAACCGAGGAATAATGGTCTCCATGGTTTATGTTTGGCTTATGGTGGCCTGCGATTTAATTAACTACGGATTGTCCTTAGTAAGGGTACTGTAGTATATAAATGATATCTGGTATGTTCTAATGCGATGCGAGAAGTCCGGTGGTCCATCTTCGTGGTTCATCGTGTTGCGATGAATGAATACTGCTGTATGAATGAATATTAAGGGAAGCGAATCAGATTTGTGCTGCGATTCATTAATACTACCAACTTACGACTTTCTGAAGACAATCAAAGGCAACTATACGTACCATCATAGATGGAAGTTCGATATCCCAACGCTACTTGAAACCGACCGTCTTTCAAATGACTCTGGATTTCTTGCAATTGTGTTGATTCATATTATTTGAATGCCCTCACGTTTCAGTAGTAAAAGGAGCACTTCAAATACACAGATCAGTGAGTTTATAGGCTGAAAATGACTTAGGTCTCTTCCTTCTCAATGTATTGACAAAAAATGCGTACCAAGGACTAAGCAGTTCTTGGACGTCACGACGTTGTGGCAACATTCAGACATCCGCGCACGCAACGAAATCTGGAATACGTTCTACTGGCGTTCTACAATACAATAGTAATCCTTTCTTTAATTATTCTTCACTACCTGCTGACACTCCTGGCAATGGGGATGTACGTGCGAATTCGGAAAGTGTATATTTATAGGAACAAAACAAATCTACAAATAATATCTTCTTCTCGTTTTTCTGTCTTTGATGAGAGGTCCTATGTTGGTTTCTTGTATTATATATCGGTAGCGTGTGTTGGTACGTATCGCAAATGCAAAGTGGGAGTTGTTTGATATCTGTACAATCTAATAGTCTAGCTAATCGTCGATGATGGTGACTTCTTGTTCTGGTTGTTCCTGCGAGAAACAAGCACAAGACAATCGAGTGAGCAACATGTAACAAACAAAACTGATGAAGTTCTGTGTGCATACGTGTGCCAACATTTCAACGATTAGTCGAGTTGGCATGAAATGACACTCACTTTGTACCATTCCACATAATTGTCAATGAGAGTAGGCCAGGCACTTGACGAGTCGTAACCAGACAGGTCGCCTTTAATCGTTTTGCTGAATTCAAGCCAGTTCGACCATTGATCCTTGTTTATGACTTTAACGGGGTGCATCGTTGTCAAGTATGTGATAAAGGAATTGACGTGATGAAATCTACCAGTGGAGATGTTTGATGTATCAGTGTCTGTTGTGAAGGAGTGATAACCATGAACCAAATTCATTGCAATTGGGCAACAAGGTACCTTCTGGAGGACATCATCAACTTCCATAAGGAGGTAGCAATCTCGACATCCAAGCACTTTGGGGGTGTGATTCCATCTGTTGCCTTTGCCCAATCAAAAGTCCAAGAGTAGATGCTTTTGAAGAATGTTGGATCATCGAGCTCCTTTTCGAATGTTGCTAGCTTCCTTTTGAGTTTTGGTACGCTATCACAACTAACGTTGCCGAGAGAGTCAGAGTGCGGCTTGTATAGACAGTCGCGAGAAGCAGCAAGGTATAACAAGAAACAGAGTATGGAAAGTGATGACTTACTCGAGTTCTTTCATTCCATCCATCCATGCATCCTTTTGAAAGAAGCCCATTCGTCGAGCTTTCATTTTGTTTGCCAGAACGAGGACCTTGACAGATTCTGGAGACACATCCAACTCCTCGCAAAGCCTATGGTGAGTAGTGACGGGATCAGTACATGAGATAATGAGTTCTTTAGCGCGACACTAGTCTAGTTTCCGTGCACTCCTCAGTCGACAGTCGCACTCCGAGACTCACCTCACGATTCCAGCAGGACCCATAGCACCATCCTCATCTTCATCTCGGTACTGGTCAAACCATTTCGAGCATACGTTAGAGTCCCATTTTGTGTCTATTGTTCTGCTTACTCTGCAGGCAGGAGAGACCAAAGTGTTTTGAATGAGATGATGATCAGTGTGAATGACAAGTACACAGCAGGAAGATCAACATACATAGTCTTCTTGGGTGGAGCAGGAATAGGAGCAGCGGCTGCAGCAGCAGCATCCTTTTCTGCTTTGACTCGAGCTTTTTTCTGGGCAACAGTCTCTTTTGGACCAACTGATGCTTTGGTCGCTTTCCTTTTTGGAGGCATTTCTAATTGAGAAGGCATTTGATTAGAGTGCGTTTTGTACTGGGAAACAAATGCAGAAATCGAAGTCCAAATTGAAGAATGTGATGTTGAATGTTGGGGCCGAGAGATCCATGTAGACAGTAACAAAGACAACGGAATTGAGCGAGATATATTGATCTCGACTAGGATACTTGTCTTGCCCTTGTCGTTGCACACGCCAACCAAGCAACCAACCTGCGATGTGCTCCTTCCTTCCAAAACCGAGCTTCATCAAAGCAGCAGCAACTTACGTGGAGAATGGATGACTGTGTAAGCAGGTCCTCGTAGTAGACCTGTATACTATAAGTGACTGTTTCTCCTTTGCTTTACTTTGCTTGCTCGTCGTTGATCGTTCTCAAAACTTTCATGATGGAAGTACAAGGCACCGAGATAGTGATATGCGGTATGGGCGGACCGAATAGTGAGAACGTGTAATTCTATATTTTTGTAGCACTGTCTCTAGTCCTCACACGTCGCCTTGGTCTGTTCATGGAGCAGCCTGTCAAAGTGGCGATGTTTGGATTCTTTCCGAGAGTGAAGTGACATAATATGATTATTCGACGCGTCAAGTAGCTTTATATCATGACATTTAATTTGATCTGTTCGTTCTTCTATACGATATGCGATTCGAATTGACATGGCACTTGTCTGCAAAACAATTGTACTTTGGCGAGGATGACGTCTCTGATGGAACTAGCCAAGGCCAAGCGCGAACTGCCTTCAAAGGAAGCGGCTCTTTTCAAAGCTATCCTTGTATGTGGCTCTCCGTTGTTCGCAGCTCTGGATGCAAGCTTGTTTTTCACTGTTCTGACCTGGTTTTTTGACTTAGAAATTCTACGAGCACAAGCAATACAAGAAGGGCCTTAAATCTTCAGACCAGATTCTACGCAAGTTCCCAGACCATGGAGGTATACAACTTGCCCCGCATCGGCATTGTGCAAATGTTGAAGCATGCCATTCATCACTTGGAAGCTTACTATTTGCCCATCACTCGACATAGAAACACTCGCAATGAAGGGTCTGTTTTGCTACCATCTAGACAGAAAAGAAGATGGTCACGAATACATCAAAAAGGGTCTGAAAAACGACCTCACCAGTCATATATGTACGCATTAAAGCACGTCAAATGCCAAACTGCTGACTAACGCCACGGATCTTACTGCAAAGGTTGGCACGTGTATGGGCTGCTGTATCGTGGAGACAAGAACTATGAAGAAGCTGTCAAGTGCTACAGCCATGCACTCAAATATGACAAGGAAAACATTCAAATCATCAAGGACTACTCATTACTACAGATACACATGAGAAACTATGAAGGCTACAATGTATGTAATTGGATAGCGTATTGACGAATGGTGTGAGAACGACGTCGGCGAAGAAAAGCCTACCAAAAGGCTATGATCAAGCGACCTCGACTCGTTTGTTTCGTGACCAAACAACATGGGCCAAAAACATTGGCCTACCTGAACCACGATCACATACTCCAGCTTCGTGGTCTCATGCTTCTCATTCTTAGGAAACAAGGCATCACTTACTCGCGTTGAAGCCTTCGAATAAGCAGTATTGGGTGGGACTGGCTATATCGTATCACATGTTACAAAAGTATGATACTGCTGTGAAAGTTCTGACCGATTGGTCTGACTCTGTCAAGGTAAATATGCAAGTGTCTAGCATGAGCCCTCGTTTATGTCGTAAGCGATCTGCCACGTCAAACGTATGGGGAAGCTAGTGTAGCAATGTGCTACCTCAATCACGGAGGCCACGGGTCGGACATATCGCAGCTTGTTGCGGGTAGCCCTTTTGTCTACAAAGAAGTGCTTACGACATGGTCGAACCTCCTAGACCTCTTTGTTACAGGTGTGCAACCTTGTTTTTTGGCTCACTCTCGACTGATTATGTAGGAATCAGGAGAAGAAGACCACGCAACGCTATACGAGAATTCGGAAATGTATTTGTATCGAAACACGATTATTGAAGAATCAGGAGATTATAGCACCGCATTAGATGACTTGTACCAGATTGGATCCAAGGTTATTGACAAGAAGGCGTTCAAAGAGACAAGAGGTAATGGATATGTATCTCAGATCACAGACGACTTATTAATCAATCTGACGTCTATCTTTTTGCTACTTAGCACGATTGCTGCTGAAGTCAGGCAAAAAGCCCGAAGCCGAACAAGTATATAGATCACTAGTAAAGGAGAATCCAGATTGTTTACCGTATCTGGAAGGATTACAAGCGTGTCTGTCTTTATCTGGAGGTAGGAGGGAACTTTTGAATCCTCAAGAGGCACGAAAAACCTGCAAATCTGACCAATCTGACATATCGTGTGCGCTCTAGATGTATCGGAACATCAAAAGGAACAGATTCTAAAGTTGTATGATGAACTGGCCCAGCAGTATAAGCGCTCGAATCTCATCAAAAGAATGCCAATGAAGTACCTGGATGGTAATGAACAAAGACAGACGTATTCATCCATGGATCATAAGCAGAATAATGATGATTCGTTTTGCTAGGTGAGAAGTTCAGGGAAGCCATGGACAAGTACATGAGGCCTTTCTTCCGGAAAGGTGTTCCTTCGCTCTTTGTCAGTAATAAACCATTATACCAGAACGCCTCGCATCTTCAAATCATTGAAGAGCTGGTTATTGGGTATCAAGCGTCGTTGAAAGCTTCTGGTCACTTCGAGAGAGAAGCAGGTTAGAATAAATAACCATTGCTCACGCTGAGTGATATTTTGTTTTCGCTGTCTAATTTGTTTATTCTTACCAGAAGGAGACAAGGAGCCAGCAACAGCATATCTATGGGTCTTGTATTATTTAGCGCAGCATTACGACTATAGGGGTGAAATATCGAGAGCATTGGAGATCATAAACGAGGCTATTGCACATACCCCAACGTTAGTAGAGCTGTACATGACTAAGGCCAGAATCTACAAGGTATGCATATGCTAGCTACTTGACTTTTTCTGCTCGCTTGTGGATTTGCATCAGTACAGTTGACCGACACGCTGACTTTAGCATGCCGGAGACCCAATTACTGCTTCTGCCGCCATGAATGAAGCACGTGAATTAGATTTACAGGATCGATTCGTCAATTCCAAGTGTACCAAGTATATGCTTCGAGCTGATCAAATAGCAGAAGCTGAAAAGACGATTGCTTTATTCACCCGGGTAAGCATCCGCAGATTAGGCATAGTTTTCTAGCCAGATGCTCAAACCGCTAATTCATGGGCTACAAATGCTGTGTTGCCAACAGAGCAACATTCAAAAGCCCAATTTTAGGATTGTTTTGCTCACATCTTCCCACATTCCACAGAGTGACTCAACAGATCCATTGGCAGATCTAGTAGAAATGCAAGCCATGTGGTTTGCTTTAGAAACTGGCGCAAGTTATGTGAGACAAAAGCAATATGGGCGAGGTTTGAAGAGGTATCATCAACTTGAGAAGGTAAAATTCTGATGCTGTGAATGTCGTCCATCACAATGACTGCGATAGTTTTTACTCGTCGCAAAAGCTCACAATCCCCCTCTCGCTTTCTCTTCTAGCACTTTATAGATATAGTCGATGATCAGTTTGACTTCCATTCCTACTGTTTACGTAAAATGACTCTTCGGTCTTATATTGATCTGTTGCGAGTTGAGGATGGAATTAAAGGACATGAATACTATGTGCGGGGTGCTACTGCTGCTGTTAAAGTGTATATGCATCTGTATGATGCACCCAAGAATTCAGATGATGAGAAGGAGAGTGAAGACTATGGTAAGTCTTGAGTCAAACATAGACTCTTGAATTTTTTGTTTGGGTCATAGCAGTGTCTAATCCCTTTGGACACTAGCCAATATGTCTGCAGCAGATCGTAAGAAAGCACAACGTAAAGCCCGTAAAGCGGAACTGAAATCTGCTGAGCCAGCTCCAGCAGCTGTGGCAGTCGCACCCAAAGATGCCAAGGATAAAGATAAAAAGCCAGCTAAAGTGGATGATGATATTGACGGTGCTAAATTGGTTAATGTGCCTGATGTTTTAGCTGAAGCTACCAAGTTTTTGAAGGGTTTATTGGATATGGCTTCTAAGAGGGTTGATTGTCAGTTGTTGGGTGTTGAGGTTTATTTGAGGAAAAGTGAGTTTGTGCAATTTGTATTTCATCGGGGGCCATCACTTTTCTCGCTTTTTTTTCGCAACCAGTTCTGATTCTTAACGACGATGTTATTAGAAAAATATCTATTGGCATTACGGTGTCTTTTAAAGGCTCATGAACTAGACTCTACACATCCCGAATTGCATCGTAATATGGTCAGGTTCCATAGAGAAGGTCAGTTGAAGAACATTCTTGCATAGCAGGTTTCCGCTTTTTTGGGCCTGACAATTTCGACCAACTAATCTTTGTGCCATCGCCACTAGTTCACGCAACAGAACTGGATCCATCAACCAAAGAAGTCGTCACCACCGAAATGGCACCACTATACAAAGACAAGGCCGACTTGAAACAAGCTAATTTAGACTATTACAAAAAATTCCAATCTTCTCCACCACATGTTGTTGCAGCAGCTCAAGTGGCTGTCATGTTGGAAGAACCTAAAAAGGAGGAAATTGTTGCATGGATTTCGAAATTGGATTTCAAGACTTGTGGCAAGTCGTTTAGTATACCGGTATGTTGTGATGCGCCGTCGACGCGTGATCATTTGCCAACCCCCGGGTTTTTTAACTCACACCTTTTCTTTTCTTTACACAGCTTGTAACTCAAACAATTGATTTCCTAAAGTTGACGATGAAACAAGAGCAAGCAGCTCAAGATCTGTTGAAGCGAGCAAGAGAGTATTATCCTCTTGCGCTTGCTTTCAAGCAGTAAATTCCAAAGGAAACAAGGAGTGGGGGAAAGGTTTTTGTAGTAGTTAGTGCTAGTAAAGTGTAGTTAGCATAGTACAACTGTAACACTTTTTGATCCTCTTTTCTCACAACAATGACGACGTTTCATAAAATCAATACTGAAGTTAAGTTTTGACACAAAAAAAAAAAAAAATTGCAGTGCCATGATAGCCGATTGACTGTGCGATGCCGCTTTACTCAATGACTTTAAGTAGACTTTATATTACAGTGTCAAGATTTGTGTGCAATCCTACAGGTTGAGCTGTCGTCTTATAAAAGAAGCAAGGCGAACGTCCCTGGGCCAAACAAACGACGTAACACGGCCTCTGCTTCCAGCTCTAGCTGTTCGACCTACTCGATGTAGGTAATCTTGCATGGATGCTGGGAAGTCGTACAGTATAACATGATCCTACGAAATGTGATTTTGGTGAGAACAAAGAAAGTACGAAATAGGACTTGATTGTGCACACCACATACCACATCTGTAGTATCCAGTCCTCTAGACGCTATATCCGTAGCAACCAACACCTTAAACCCTACAGCTTCCCTAAACTCTTCTACAACCTTCATCCTCTCCCGACTCTCCAAGTCCGAATGCAAGACCTGAACAGCATTCGCATTGTATCCCGACTTTATCAAGAATTTCTGGATGGTGAAACATGCCATTCGAGTATTTACAAATATAAGGACATGCTGTGGCGTCGCATTTGATTTCGAAATGTCCTTGACGATTTCGTTGAGTGTGTGGCCAGCCATGCTTTTAGACTCAATGTTTACGAATCGTTGCGACAAGGTCGGTACTGTTTTGTGTAGGCGTGGAGTCACGACTCGGACTAGGGTGGGGTACTCGTCGAGCAGTTTAGCGGATACAGATCGGGGTAGTGTGGCTGATACGAATATCGGTTTTACGTTATAGTGGTTTATGGATGCTAGTATTCCTTTTAATTCAGTGTCGAAGCCTTGCTTGTCGTCGAGGAGCGAGTCTGCTTCATCTACAACACAGAATTTTACTTTGGACAGTGATAATAATCCATCATTGACGAGACGTGCTAGTGTGCCTGCTGTACTCATTATTATATCCACCGGTTGTTGCAGAGACTCGTTGACACGATCATGGGATAATGCACTGGTTAGTGCTACTGTGCGTAGTTTGATGGTGTGGGACATGAGAGCTGCTACATTACGTACTTGGAAGACCAGTTCTCGGGTTGGGAGTATTATAATTGCTCGTGGATGGCGCGGTTTGAATACAGGCCGTGGTGATGCGATGTGATTGGAGTGTTCTGTAGGTTTTATAGTAGTTGTACCATCAATGTCAGGATTAGTGGGTCCTAAAATCGTATCAATCGTGGAGGCGATCTCTGCAGTCTCAGCACTACTATCTACTACTGCATCCTTTTTTTCTTCTTGCTCCTGCTGCTGTTTCATCAACATCTTTTCTTCAGCCTTCAACATATTCATCACAGGCGCCAAATACGCTACAGTCTTTCCAGATCCAGTTTCAGCAGCACATAACACGCCATCTCCATGGTTTGCCAGGATAACAGGTATAGCTAAAGATTGTGGTGCAGTCGGCTTCCTAAACCCAAGAGATATCGTAATGGCTTCCAAAACTTCAGGTTCCAGTCCCATATCTTGGAATTTAGCTTTGCCTGTTGCTGCTGTTTCTTGACTGCTGACTACCGTTTCGTCTAATCCGGAATCTGATATGGGTTGATTGATTTCAACTATGATACCTTTGGGGATGTCGTCTTCAAGTTGTTGGCTGTTAAATGGTTGTTCATCAACTTGTGCTGGCTGTTTAGATCTTCGTTTGACTCGTCCACGTGCTTCCCATTTAGGACTATTGTTGCTGGATTGCGTACCACGTTCAGCAAACGGAGGATTTGATCTAGGTATATCTTCTAGCTGAGTCTCAAAACCATTATGAGATGGTATTCTACGTTCAGCAAACGAGCGACTACGCCCATCATCTTGCCGAGCCTCAAATCTATTACCAGAAGGCATACCACGTTCAGAAAACGAGAGACTAGGTCGTTCATCCCGCTGACTCTTAAACCTATTACCAGTGGGCATACCACGTTCAGCAAACGGGCGGCTCGGTCTATATCCATCACATTGCTGACTCTCAAATCTACTACTAGATCCCATGCCACGTTCAGCATACGAGCGACTGGATCTATCATCCTGCGCACGCTCAAATCCACCACTAGATGGCACACCACGCTCAACGAACGAGCGACTAGGTCTAGATCCATCCCCTTGCTGACCTTCAAATCTTTTCTTCACTGGTGCACGCTGGTACGAATCACCCCCACCAGCACCTCCAAACCGTGATCCACCTCTAAAAGCCTCTCCATTGCGTGCATCGTATCTCGGTTTACTTGATGTATCACCATTATATCTCTGCCTCGAGTCTGATTGCACACGTTCACCATCATCGAGTCTGAATCTCGATGGTATGACTAGATTGTTGTGTTTGTTGCCTCCTTGACGAGGAGGGCGACGCGGCGGTGATTTAAATTTGGAAGTGTAGCCTCCTCCTGATGGTCGATTGTTGCTTGGTTTGCTCTTGTTGAATGTTGCAAATGTTCGTTGTGATGGTACTGCTCCAGATGGGAATCTAGTTAATATTCGATGCATTTTCATGCTTTCTGGATGGCGCAGAAGCCGTAACAGTGTAGCTTGAACAGATCTGCACTCCATGTTGGTCAAATGTTCTGAGTAGTCGGACTTGAAGAAAATATCGCAACTTGGACGAGGACACGTTATTTCCGAGGCTTGACAAGGACGAGATTGTGGTTTTACTCTCAAGAAATTTAATCTAGTGCTTGTACTCGTATGCGATCGCCTATTAAAATGACCTTAGATCAAGAGCAGAAACAGAAGCATTGTGTTCTCCCATTTTTCTTAAAGAAATAAGCGAATTTATTCAAAAGGGTTGAGCGTTTAGTATTTATAGCAAATCATTCTCCTATATAATATCCTTGGCTTGGTCGCCCATTCGATTTTGATTCTACAGTTATGTCCAAGCTTATAGTTTGATAATCAGGACGTGATAGAAGAGTACCTTCTGGTAGTGCCACTCGTTTGAGATATAGACTCTTGAGATTTCGAAATCGTTTCATGGCATTATTATGATCGACTTTGATAATACAGTTTCCCAACACCAAGGTCTCGAGAGAATCATGGCTATGTTGAGACAACGTGATCATAAAGCCTTCATGTCTTGAATGCTGAAAACCTTACCACCTTCAGCTCCCAGCGTTCCAGTGCTCTATTCACAATGATGATGTCGCGAGGCTTTGCGAGACAAACCAATCTATTGCAGGGTGTCCTTTCGCAAAGTAGGTGAAATCGTCCTAATTCCATTCTGCGTTCAGATTTTCATCAAACCATCGGAGCTCAGTCACGCTTGGTTGGACAAAATGGAGTAGGGGCAACCATCGCGTGCCAATACCAAGAGACTTCAAATTCAAGCAGTCCTGCAACAAGTTACTTATGATGAAGTCCGTTTCCATATCGAGAGAGACGATATTATCAAGTAGAGATAGTGTCTGTACGTGTCCCAGGGGTCTTTGAGATGGTCCTGGCGATTTTATTATTCGTATCATCCAATTGAGGGATTCGAAGAATCTGGCAGTGGGGATCAGATGCTATCACAAAGGGAAAAGTGTCACGCGAGAGAATTTCATGGCCAATCAGCGTCACAAAAGAGAAATACACACCTTATATAGTCTTGGTACTACGACCTCATTCCACTCTTTACATACCAGCGACAAATAAGAGAGCAATTGTTCACTCATGTTTTCAGTGATGCGAGATAAGATTTCAGGAGGCAGGTTAGGAATCACCATATTGTTCCAAAATGATTTCAAGAACCGTGAATTGACTTGATTTCACTTGCCACAAAAGATACGGCATCAGATTCCTAGAAGCGATTGGTGTGCGCAAAATGTGAGCAATAGTAGAATCAAAAGGACCAATTTAACAGCAACAAGAATCAAAGGACACAACGGCAACTAATCTTCATATCAGAGATGTTCATGTTTGCTTTCACCGTATTGTTTCGAGGTTGGAATCTCTGGGTGCAAGTTCAAAGGTGGTGACCAGCCTGTTCACGACTTTGAGAGTACGTTAGAAGCAAAAGCAAACAAAGACTCTTGGTTCTTGAAGTACAATGTCCCTGTTGCCAAAACTCTGTTCTCTTAAAACTTGAGATTTTCAAGAAAAGCACTTGTTCGAGGAAGAGAGGGTTGTACGAGGGAACGAAGTGAACTTCAACCTCCTTTATTCATGCGTACACACAGGATACAGGCTCCATCATCGAATCCAAATAATGCGACATGCTAACATTTCTTGAGCAAAAGAAGTGTGTCATAGAATTGTCCTGTTGCGTTTCAAATTTTTACACGGTATCATTAAGCACCGGGGTTGACTCTTCCATTTCAACTGTATCATCAACAAGTTCCTCTTCTTCAGCTTCAGGTTGGCCATCCTCATCAACCTCAGAAGGTTCTTGCGTTGATGCTTCATCAAACAGATCTTTACGTCTCTTTCTGGCTTGTACGGCCTGTTCTCGTAGTGAAAGAGACACTCGCAGCCAGTGATACATAGCTTGTATAGGCTTGGATGTTTGGCGATCACCTTTTGGAATGGCTGTTCAGACAGAAAAGGAAAAGTGTCAGACCTGGTACAAATTCACAAATGCGTAATTTTACGGTCGATACTTACTTGCAAGCACTTTGGCAATCCTCTTGAATCTTATTTTCTTTTGAAGACTTGTTGGATCGTAAGAAATAATCTTGGTCAACAGTTCATGGTTGATGTGCTTTAGAGTCTCTTGCCAGGTTTTAACTAGGTTGCCAAAAAACGAGAATGCTAGCATGAACTATGCGATCTCTCAAACTTGACGACCGTGTCAAACGTAGTCCACCAACATACCCTCTTTTGGCTTCTTGCCAAACACGTACAACACAGCTTTACAGATCTTGTGAACGGTTGCGGGTGGTCGTCGATATGACCTCAGCTCTGCTAACGATTTCGAGTCCAGTCCACTCAAGACGCTTCGAATAGACGACAGCATCAACTTTCCAAACAGAAGGTTTGTCGTGGCAGTCTGATCAATGTCATCAGCATCTATTGTAAAAATTAGTGTCAAAAAACATTGCAAAGTTCTCAGACGAATCTTTTTGCATACCCAATCCAGTCTTGTCTTGAAGAGCACCAAATCCAACTGAGCTCAACATATTCAACCCATTAGAGAAGATGCTTGCTACATGCTGCACATCATCCAGGTCATCTGTGCCGACTCTTTCACTCTCACTGGCTGTTTCAGGTCGAACTGAAATGATTGCAACGGTAACTCCGTGTCCATCACCCACAGGAATAGCAGTAACAACTTTTCCATTTGACGACCCTTCAGAGGCTGATTTGCTAGTCATGGCTGCAAACAAGTAGCTCCTGTGTACGATAAGAAGGTTGAGATCCGCAGCAATATATTGGAATGTGTGATACAAAGCTTTCAGAGGTTTCTTTTTGCACGCTACTTACGTTTCCGGATTGTTTTCAACTGCAACAAGTTCAAATGGCGACTCAGCCAGGTAAGGGGATTCCACTGGTGCAGCTTGATTCTGTAAAGGCTTTGCCAAGTACAAGGAAGGTCTAGATTGAAAGTAGTCTGCAATGTACAACTCTGCTTTGACATTGCTCTTCTCGGTTGTGTATTTGACCGAAGCATCACCAAGGATCAGAGCCTTTTGCCGTGAGTCATAAACTGTGATTGATGTCGCGAGAGCTTTAACGGCGGCCTAAGTTGATGTTGAGAGTCAAGAGTGGCCATAAGCCTTTACAAGCCAAGATATTTGTTTCAGCTTACCTCAAAAAATTCAATTTCACTAGCACTCTTCAAATTCAAATGCAAATGCAAGACACCCAAGACACGTTCCAGTCCAATACGGAGCAACGCCCCGTCAGCTGATACTTGCTTTCCAGAACTCACGACTTGATATTCAACAGCCTTTTCATCCAATGTCTGACCACACAATTCACCAGCAACTACTCTCAGCACAGCAATAGGTACAACGACATCCCCGTCTTTCTTGGAAGACGATTCCAAAAGCGAGATACTAGCATGGTCGGGCAGTCTCATCAAGGTCATTGCTTTTGTGCATAGAGCTGATATAGAAGGTATAGTCACATCATGACCCAAGTCTATAATTGACTGAATTATGGCTGCTTCGTTGACAGACGGCTTCTGAACGGTGGGCTCAGCAGCTACAACCGGTGCTTCGGGTTTCGTTACGGCAGCAAGTTTCGGTGCAAGAGCCTTTTCTGCAGCTGCTGACTGTGGCGTTTCTACTACGTGCTCGACTACAGCAGCTTCTTTTACACGAGTGACATTTTTCTTAGCCTTGAGAGGAGCAAAGGTTGATTCGAAGCGACTCAAACTATATTTTAACATTGTTGGACCGACTGCTGAAGCTAATTGTCTTGCAAAACTCCTGAATTCTTGTTCGACATCTTGTTCATCGGCATATACCTTGACGTTAGAATCCCAGACAGATGTGATTACATTCTTCAGCTCTGCATTGAATCTTGATGCTGCTTTGCCAACCAGATCTGAGGTCTTGACACGCCATTGCCTGCGTCCATCAGCTGTCATGGTATCACAATCCGCAAACGAAGGCATCAGATCAATAAACTGATTGTAAGTTCGTAGCATGTCTTTTGATTCTGCTTGCACTCGAAGGCCGACCATATCCAGAAAGTCGGCGACCATACCATCACTCCAATCGTTAGCAGCACTACATGTTGCCAACAGATCAGCAAAGCTGGATATGTCGAATCTGGCCTCCGCCATAGATTTGGCAAGCTGGTTTCGTAAAACTGGAACCGCTGCTTGGAGTTGAGAATCCATCTGCACTTGAAGCGAGTCTTCTGCCGAAGCAATCAAGTCTAGAAGCTCTTGTTGTCCAAAAGACCCATCAGGTCTCCATAACTTTGATGCCCAACTTTCTAGGTGCGTTTTTGCGGTTGCAGTGATGGTTTTCGTTCTACTGGCCAAGAGTTCTCCACGTAAACGCTCTTGCTCGATACGCTGTTTACGAGCATTCTCTTTACTTTCGGCTTCATCTCGTTCATGTTTCTTTCGTTGAGATTCGTCGTTCAATGCTCGAGCGACTTCTGCAACCTCTTCGGTATACTTTGACGATCCAAGATTGTTGTGTTTGGGATTGTTCCTAAACAAGAATTGAGCTAACGAAGAGGATTCTTATTAGTTGATATTCGAGAACGATGCTGCAAAAAAGACGAAAATGTACAAACCTAGATAGATTTCGGGATTGAAGTGCTCGTATTTGCCGGGTGTAGCGTCAAAACCAGTTACAGTAGGCAAAATTTTGGTAGTGGAGGGAACAAGCAGGTTCTTGCGTTCAGCTTCGATGCATAATTTTTCCAATGCAACAATCAGAGTTGGAATGACATTGGCCACGAGATATGCACGTTCTTCTACGTCTGTGACGTTGCGGAGCCATTCTTGAGCCAATTCCAAATGCACTTGCTTTGCTGCCCTAGTTCGTTTAGCGGCCGCCTGAACTATATCATCTTGGTCGAGATCACCACCTAATTTCAGTAGGATTTTATGTAGATTCGAGTGGGCGTCGTGACTATTTTCAGCAGCCAATGCAGCTTGGGGTGCCTCTACCAAGACATAGTCCACCTTTTCCATGATGAAGCTTAGATTACAGCGGTTAGCGGTTAGTGCAGAAAATTAGATTGTCTTCTGCGCAGAAACGTACCATGCGGTCGCAGTACGTCGAAATACCAAAGTAGTATCCAATTGTATCTTCAACACGTTCAGATAATAGATTCGACCTTATATAGTGGGATGGCCGACCTTTCGTGTATGAACAAATTTTCACATTATGCAGAACCATCGCCATTGATCCAACGCGTTTAGTCGACGTTCGAACTCTAGAAAACGAATTTAAAGAGGTTTTAAGTGGTATTTGTTATTGATGCGAACGTGTGAAAGTGTATACTGATCTAAAAGCACACTCTCTTTCTTGAGAAAAAAAAACGCATCTACATTTTGATGGAAATGGCAACTGAAGGGTGGAGTTGGCGCGAGTATGCTTTAGGCACGACATTAGCTGTAGCTGTCGCTTCTGCTTCTTATCTGGTATACTTTGACTACAAGCGACGAAATGATGTCCAATTCAGAAAGACATTGAGTAAGTGCTAGTTGCTCTTGTTGAGGTCAATCGAGACGAAGGACTGCAGCTCGTACTTTCATTAAATTGATGATTTTGTCTCTATCCGTTCTTCAATCGCTTGCAATCGTTTCATTTAAGCTCTCAGGGCAACATTTAACACGTCTCCTTTTTTTTGGTCACTATCCTTAGAAAGGCAGAAGAAGGCACTTATGAAGGTCCAAGCTGAAGAGGAAGCTGCTAGGAGTAGAGGACGTGCTGCTACTGCTGGAGGTTCTTCAGATGATGCCGATAAGATACCAACCAATGTCGAAGAAAAGGAAAAGTACTTTATGGACCAATTACAATCTGGTGAAATATTGTATCGCAAAGGTATGCAGAACTATCGCATTGAGACCTGAAACGTGATCAAAGACAGAGCTGGTCGTGGTTTTGAAGATTCGCGAACTGGGATTCGAGATGATTGTGCCAACACTCCTTTTTTGCCTTTTATCACATCCTAACCTCAAGACCTTGCTTAGGTCCAGCACACTACCAAGCTGCTGCTGCCTGCTTCATGAGGGCCATGAAGGTGTATCCACAACCACTCGAACTCATTAGTCTCTTCCAAAAATCTCTCCCTGAACCCGTCTTCCAAATCCTAATGGAAATGATGTCTGCTGATGTACGTGAAGCTGAAAGTCAGCAATTAAAATCAGAAACTAGAGGAGGTAGATCCGCATCATCATCAACTTCTCCAACTCGTCCTGAGGGCGACAGACGTAGGTCTAGCCTCAGTAGTGCTGCTAGAGCTCGTAATGAGGAAATAAGAGCTACTGAAGCAGCTGTGGAAGAACTTCTTCAAGAATTAATGGGTGACGATGGTGATGAGGGAGAATGGGAGGATGAAGCGCAAATTGAAGAGTTAGAATAGAGTGTCTTAGTCAGTTTCTTTATACATATCATACTTTCCATTGGCATCGTAACAACAATGTGCACTATTGCGTGCTTTGTTGGGTGGGAAAGACGGGGGTCAATGTCATACTCTCTCATCACGCTTCTTCCCTGAATCTTTCACTCCAAATTCTCGCCCCGTCCCCAGTTGGAATTTACCCCATTTGCAATTGTGTTTGTTATTTGAATTGGGTGTCACGGATGAAATGGAGAAGTTGATGATGATGGGAGTGTGGATTGGCCTTTGTTTTTCTCCCCTCTTTTAATTATCATCGCGCTCGCACTGACATTGCTGGATTTTACCTAGATCAAAAAGAAGCAAGAGTCGTACTATGAATTATTTCCCTCCGCTGACAAGAATGTAAAAGTAAAGGAGATCGTTCATGGCACGACCGGTAGTGGAAAGACAATGATTCGACGGGGTCTTGTGATAACTAAAAGCTTCAAGGCTGGTGAAGTCATATATAGTGAGAAGCCAGTCGTTGCTCAACTTAACAGCCCGACAATGGTAAAGTCACTTTCTTAAACTGTAACGTAACAACGATCTTCGAAGAATGCTAATCCCTCGTCGTCATTTTCACACGTAGGACTTTTGTGAATATTGTCTAAAAGACCTCTCGAAACTGGGCCCAGACGATTTGGTTTCTTGTGACCATTGTGACAAGGCTCAATACTGCTGCAGCACATGTCAAAAGACAGCTTGGGCTGAATACCACAAATTCGCTTGCGCTGCCACTGACTTGACTGAATATACAGTAGAGAGTAAATCAAAAATAGCTCTCATGGTGCTCAAGTTTATGGGTCGAGTCATCAAAGAGGACCAAGAAAATCCTGAATCTGCGTCAGAAAGCACATACTCTATCTTTGATCATGTTGATCGATTACAATTCTTAGAATTGAAGCCTTCAGCTACGGATGAAAAGGAATTGGCTATGGTGTTGAGTGCGTTTGGTACAAAGGTGCCTCAGTTTGACGCATGTAAGAAATGGATTCGTGTTTTTTGTGCCGTGTCCAAACACTCATATTGATTTTTCTTGTCCACAAAGTCTTGACAATGGAGCGATACATGATGTTGAAGGGCCGATTTATTTATAATGCCATCGGAATCTCATTCCCTACCACCAATACCGTATTACCAGCATCATCAGATAACGTCCGCTCCTCTACATCTGATCCAGCAAGTGGGTCTGGAGTATATCAAGTGTCATCATATATATCCCACTCGTGTAGTCCAAACTCTACTATTCGATTCACTGGTGATTCTCAATTGGAACTTGTGGCCGACTCGGATCTGAATGACGGCGATGAGATCTTTGTTAGTTGGATTGCCAAGGGTAAAGATGGGCGATCGAGACGAGAAGAGCTGCATGCCAAGTACAGATTCCGATGTCAGGTAAGCTTCCCGGTCTTAAACATGTGTTTGGGAGTTGACTCGCAAAAAAACGATGAAGTAATATTGTTTAATTGTTACATCTAGTGTCCCACTTGTGCATCTGAGTCATGAGATTGTAGTCGGTATTCCTTTTGCCTATCAGAATAAATTTTTGGCTGCATAGTGTGTACAAATGATCTCCAATATTTTCTAAGGTCGCCAGATTTACGATGGAATGCACTACTGGCAATGTGTGATGACCTGAAAACATAAAGCTGACGGGAACGTCCAGAATTCAATCAGGACAGTTATCAGGAAGGAGGTAGTGGGCACCTAGTGCCTAAGACGGTTTCGGTTTTGATGAGCGTCAAGATGGCGACAATCCGTTGAACTTCATTCGTCGGCTCTGTGGTGATATATTGCGGCTCGTTCGACGCTCCACGTCCATATCGCGTTGTTATAGTAAGCAATTATTGCAGCCCATACGAACTAAGATCGTTACATCGTTGCAGGAGGCTGGATGCAACCTACATATTGCTATTTGTTTCCACGTTTCATGCAACGAACCAGGCGACACTGTGAGACTTGGATCTCGAAGATACTCACGTATTGGCCATAATTGGACGGCTGCCACGACTCCAACTTGTAAATTTGACCGCTTGTGATCACGGCTTTGTCAGGCTATCAGGAAATACATCAGGATATATCAAAACAGAGTAGATCCATGTACCCAAACGCTGAAGAAGTAGCCAAGTTGGTGCAGGCAGCCATTCTAATAATGCTATTTAGATATTTAATTCCCTCAACTACGAGATACATCTCGTTTAGAATGTTTCCCAGTTGGTCGTATTACTACTACCGGTATTACTGCTATTGTTATTTGACTGTTGCGGGTTGAATGCGGATTCGAAATCAGTCCAATCGTCTCCTGGAGAATTACCATCAGAAAATGGATCACTGCCAAAGGCGCCCTTCTGGTTACTAAATACATTATTGAATGACGGCTGTTGCTGGTATTGTTGTTGTAGTGGTTGTGTTGAGGTTGATGAAGACGGCGGTGGTGGAAGCATGAAGCTGCCGTCAGCGTTTGCATTCGACTTTTTCCTTGATTTGTTTGTTATCTAGTACCGAAACGAAGAAAATCAGTCCGATGATTCGAGGGAGCAATACTGTTTCAGTCCTTACGTTTCCAAGACTGATTGATATCGTCTGGCCTTCTTTCAGGCTATAATCTTTTGAAGGACCTGCGGATGGCGGAGGCGCATTTGCTGCTGCCTTATCAGCTCTGATTTGACTAAAGCGTGGGTGAAGCGTGAGCATGGGAGGAAGAAAAGTGCATATAACAAAGATATCCCCACACACTTGACAAAATCTTGTAACGCAACATTGAAATCAAACGCCCAAGAACGTTCCTAGTACGTGAAGGACGGTTCAGAATATTGACCTGCCATAATTTAAGCTTCCAGGAGCGCTTCAAATGCGGATTACTTCAACTGCCAACAAACTCACAGGAAATCCCATCCCCACAAAAGCGTGCTTTCCTGTCCCTGGATCCTGTATCCTCAGTACAAAGTATCTTGACGAGTCAAGCACTGGTTCAACAGTGTTTTCGGCAGGTATATATGGACATGTAGCAAACGTGTCTCCAGTCTTTGAGTCCTCAAGTTGTAACCAGCATTTATCTCCTTGAGAGATGACTCGTAATCGACCCGTCCATAGGAATTGGTTGACATCCCAATCTGATGCTCTATATTTGTAGAGGCGGAAATGTTGGAGTTAATACTCTGATGCTCCACATTTGTAGTAGCCAAAATGTTGAAGATGATGTTGTGCGTGCGGTTGTTTCGATGCAGGCCAAAGATTTAGATCAGGGATTTTGTTCTTGAATTTTCTATACCTATAGCCACGTGCATTTGATCTTGGTGGTATCCTAGAGAGTAAATGTGTTAATTTGGATTCAGAATATAAAGAAACAGGTAAAGTGGACCAAGTCAAGCAAGATACAATGCCAGTACCTGTAAACATAGCATTCCTTCACTACCAGGCGTACGCTTTCATAGTCGTCCCCCATGTTTCTAGCACGCACTTCAACACAGTTTTGAGATTTGGTTGCTTGATTCCAACATTGAGCTCAAAAGACATTTACGCCCTCTGAATATTCAATACATACGTGTAGGCCTCGCAAATACACCAATACGGCTAACGAAACGCGTCGAAAAGGCTGGGATTTGTCGGAGATTGGGGTACATTTCAACAGTTGCTGTGATTAACCAAGTCGTGTCAACGTCGAGCTGAAATTTTAATACTTTAATACTTTAATAAATAATAAATGAGCTCATATTGCAGTTTTTTTTTCAAAGAAAAAGCCGTGCAAGTGACTGCCGCAGTTGTGGTTGCGTTGGACCTTTCACCAGTCACCTTGCAATTTCAGAAATATAGATCCGATTTTGGTAACAGTGAATTTAAAAGATCGATCATTTCGAATGACGTCGTTGCATCGTTCCTTGTCGGCGCATCTCGTATCGGGTGTTGTAGGAAGGAGAAGGACGAGCTCCGATTTTTTGCGAGCTAATTGTCTTCCAAGCATCAACAACAAAAAGCCCAATCGCTTCTATTAAGCTAGAAGGAGATGGTGGGAACACATGCATCCTCGCATCGCATAATGCGCTTAGCCGCCAGACAAGTCCTTCGAACTCTTCATCGTCACAATCATCAAACAAGACACTTTTCCGCAAGCTCGTTCTGGCTCAAAACTGGCAAGTTTTACTCTTCAAATCGTCTCGATTTGCATAGATTGCAGACTGACTCAGCTATTCCTGCTACTAGCTCTACCTGATTTGCCTCTCTTCACAAATGCGTACAAACATGCTGAACGTCGAGAACATCCAGCCATCATATCCAAGGACAGGCCGTTTGGTTATGCTCAACTGCTAGCGGATGTGGCAAAGTTACGAGACATTATATCTACAAAGTACGTTTGCCATTTTGAGAACTGCTTGGCTCAAAAGCTGACTTTACAACACTGTTACACTTCAAAAAGGGACTTGAAGGAAGCTCGTGTAGCGTTCCTGTTCCCACATGGTTATGAATGGACTGTCGCTCATTGGGCTATATGGGCTTCTGGTGCCACCGCTGTTCCTTTAGGTATAGACGTTGTTCTGCTGGCTGTCTTTCAAAACTACGTCACAAAAGTTGTTTGAAGCATAGGGATCTAAAACATTCTCATCTGACGATCTTTCTTAACGTTAGCTCCAATGCATCCACCGCCAGAATCAGAGTATTATATTACAGATTCTGAATCTGAAGTGGTGGTTGTTCATACCTCGCTCAAGGACAAATTGGCACCAATGAAACTTGGACCCAATGTTCGCATCATAGAGGTTGGGGATCTGAAAAGTCAGGATTACAAGACATTTGAGAGAGTAAGGAATGATTGTTAGGCACTTGTCAGTACCTGTAATGTAGAATCTTAACATTTTTTTGTTGTTGCAGGAGGAAGTCGAGTTTTGGCCAATTGATTTCAAAAGAATGTCCATGATAAATTACACATCGGGTACCACTGGAAAACCCAAGGTGGGCGCCTTAAAGCTGCATTAGCTTGTCCTCTCAACTTCATGCCAACCAGATCATCCTCTAGGGTGTGATTCACACACACAACAGTATAGCGGCTTGGACACAGACACTAGTCGATGCCTGGAAATGGAGTAATAAGGACAAGGCACTGCATGTGCTTCCGTTACACCACTTACACGGTCAAATCAATGTAAGAATTTCTCGAGCTCTCTATGTCGTTTTTTACATCACTTACGAAATTGGGCACTACATATAGGCATACTATTGTGGCCTACTACAGGGCGCATCGATAGAATTCACAAAGTTTGACGCTCAAAAAGTCTGGGATCGATGGATGGACCCAAGGCGTGATTTAACTCTATTTATGGGTGTTCCTACCATGTTCAGTAAGCCACGTTGGATCCAGCATCATATATGCAATTTTCGTTCTTTAATCTGTGTTGTTTTGCAACAGCACGAATGGAAGCATTATACAAGACATGGACTCCTGAAAAACAACAAGCTGCAACTGAATCATGTAAACAATTCCGACTACTGGTATCTGGATCCGCTGCATTACCTGATGTATTATACCATGAGTGGGAGAGGATTAGTGGACATCAGATTTTAGAGAGGTATGGCATGACTGAGATTGGTGCTGCTGGTAACCCAGTTGAAGGTGCTCGTGTACCGGTAAGCTACTGAAATCTGGAGATTCTGGCACTGTTCCCATGAGACTGTGATGCGATTGGTATAAATTCTGAGTTCTGTCTTGCTTGCAGGGCACTGTGGGAGTCATGCTCAAAGGAGTTGAAATCAAATTGATTGATGAGGCAACTGGCGAGAATGTAACAGACAAGACCAACACACCTGGAATGGCCTTCTTAAGAGGCCCCATGATGTTTAGCGGATATTGGAAGCGGCCTGATGCTACAGCTGAAGTCATGTTTGATGGATGGTATGATGTGCTGTTCGTCTATTTAGCCACCACAATAATTACAAAATTTCCTAATTCTAAAATAGGTATCGATCTGGTGATGTTCTAATTCGATCAGATCAACATGGATACTTTAAGGTGTTGGGTCGGGCTTCTGTAGACATCATAAAGGTAGATACTAGTGTGTTTTTTTGTCGCTTTCGAGCTTCTAGCTTGACGCAACCACATTACTGTAGAGCGGCGGGTACAAGATATCAGCTCTGGAAATTGAAAGAGAAATCTTGGATCACCCATCTGTGCTTCATTGTGCAGTAATGGGCGTTGCAGACAAGGAATGGGGAGAGAGAGTTGGATGTGTGGTACGTCCAATAGATCCATCACCTTTGCGCAGCCATACCCAATTTTATGCAAATCCTCCTTCACTAACACATCCAATCTCCTGCTGTTAGGTTGTATTTAGAGACAACGCTGACTGCACACTGGAAGCGCTACGAGAGTTTTTAAGACCGAAACTGGCACCATACAAGTTACCCAGTCTGTTGAAGGTTTTGAAAGGTGATTTGCCTCGTAATAGTATTGGCAAGATCAATAAAAAGACACTCGTGGAGATTTTTAATACGTAAAGTATGTTGTAAGTCTGATTTATAGATTTCAAAAAAGTAAATAAACTTATAGATGGTCAGAAATTTGAAATGTCAGAAATTTGAAATGTATTTCTGCTGGTCTTGAAGAGGATTGTTTCATGCTCCACAGCCCAAACTCGTTTCACGTTGCGAGTAACGAGGAAGTTTCCTACGTGAGCAGGACGTATCGAGCCTATTGAAGCAACAAACGAGTACGACTAGATAGGTGCAGGTATGCTTTTAAAAAGTTGTCGCTACGTAACTTTAGTGAAATACGGAGCCGTTACGTATCGCTTTCATTTTGCGTACCAACAACGTTTTGAAACGCTTTCGCAGCAAGCAAATACTGCCAAAATCTTCACCACGTCATCAGTGCAATTTCTCAAGTAATAATACAGAAATGGACAATCAAAATGGAGTAGGCGGCGAAGACTTGCCATCAATGAAATTCTGAAACGAATCAATCATAATGTGAAATGAATGCAACAATTTGTGATGGGACGCAGTTGATAGTGGTAGTGATAGCGATCCTGATAAATCTAGATCGAGTGAGGAGGACAGATACTCTTTCGAAGAGATACCCTTGGAAGAAATCACTCCAAGAATCACTCCAAGTCATCCAGAACTCGAAACAATCGAAACGTAGTGATGATATCGTCTTTAAGGTCTCGGGAGACGTCGTTTTTCAACCTCGTTATAAGATAAAACCCCCCACTATATACAGGAGTCTCGAATGTGATCAAAACTTCATCTGACGCTCGGCAGTTGGCGAGCGAGAATTAGAAATGGGGAGGGCGGTGAGACGTATCTCGGAGAATTTGTTAAAGAGGTCGATGCTACCAGGGCTTATGATAGAACAGCCAAGGAAAGGTTTGGCAATAATTGCCATTCTAAACAATGTCTAGAACAGCGTACAACTGTAACGTCACGAGTCACCAATGTAATAACCAAGTCACAGCAATAGAAAACAACAAATTGGTCACAGGCTCCTATGCGTAGGGCGCAGTGACTTGTCGAAAGTAAATCGGTCGTGGTTTTGGCAAGAGCTTGACACGAAAATCTCAACGGCAAAATTGAATCCAGGTCGTGATGGCTACTGACAATGGAGGCACCGACATCCTACAATGTCTCTTGCTGTGATTGGTTTCTACTCAAGACTTTTTGCTTTCTTGGTTTCTTTTCACTTTTCAGAAATTTGGTGAGTTCCGATTGACGATCGCTGGCACCGTTACATAGATCAAGCACTTTACAACAAGCGTACCATCGATATTACCAGGATTCATCGTTGCTCTTCCAGTAGTTGTTGCGAAAACTGCCAAGCTGTTTTTTAACGGCAGTGGTCGTACATGGAACGCAACCACCCAACCAAGGAAAAGAAAGAACCACATTTTTCAAAGTCTCCGACCTTCTGATACAATTGGTTGTTGGCCAGTGGAAGGCACCTACAAGGACGTTGGGCTTCGCATGAGGTCTCAGGCAGTGCCTTTGTTAAACTTCCTTTAAACCAACAATGACCAGTCGGGACGAGTATTACGATGAGGAAGGAACAGTAGATTACAACAGGGATTCTGACTATTATGGAGGGCCACAATCCGAATACAGTGAATACTACGACGAAGAAGGCCATTATGATGATGAAAAGAGCTACTATGATGATGAAAAACGAAGCTCTTTCGCCAACACGGACCAACGGAAATCCGAAAATTACGATGAAAAGGCATACTATGATTCGTATTACGGTGGAGAATCAGGCCGAGGGCCAGATGATTATGGAGACGATGAGTACTATCGCAAGTCTTGGGGCTACTCTGACCAGCAGCAACGGAAGGACAGAGGAGATTCCTTTTACGACGACGAGTTTGAAGACAACAAGAGTCAAACTCCTGGAGCTCCAATGTGGTGGCAACAGTATATACCCAATCTACCGAAAGTAAACATACCAGTGCCAGAGTTTGTAAAACGAATACCGGTACCTGCCTTTATAAAACGAATCCCACTACCTGCCTTTATGAAGAATCCAGAACTTGTAAACATACTCAAGAGAGGTTCTTGGATACCAAAAAAGATACGGGTGAAAGTGCCGTGGCAGGTCTTTACCACAATCAACCTTTGCCAATTTGTAAGTTTTGTTGACAGATTCAGCAGATTCTCAGAGATGCTCAACTAAATTTCCTTCATACCAGATTTTGGGAATCGTCATCGCTGCTAGTATGAACAAGACGTTCTATAACTGGACAAACTTTGATATCGATAGCAATACGAACGTCACCATCTCCATATGCACTCTCTACGCTGTAAGTATTGCAAAGTGTCAAGGATCCTCCGACTTTTCAGGCAAGTTACAAAACACTGTTCTCACACTCATTTACACCATCAGACATCGGCTGCCAGTATACCACCTGGTTCAGGATGCAACTTTGCCATCTTTGTTGGTGTATTCATGGTTTTGGTCGCAGCTGGTCTGCTGGCATATCAAGGCTGGTGTATATACAAGAAAGTCGATCGATCAGGAAGAGCCCTTTTTGTTAGTGCTGTCCTCATATGTAGGTTGCTACTAGTTTTATCTCTGTGGGAAATGACGCTGAAAAAATTGTTTTCTATGTAGCTTTCATGAACATATTTACCTTTATTGGGGCGCTGGAAATATCTGTTGGATCGTATATACTGTGTTCCACTGCTACAAAAGGATTATTATGGGACTCGTGTCTGGAAGGCCTGCAACAGTTAGACAAGACGTATTTACCATACGCTAGTGCCATCCTGTGTACATGGTTTAGCTTGATCGCTTGGGTGAGAACTCGTTCCGTCATGATTGGCTGTTTTTTCAGCCTTCCATATGTAAAAAAACGAACCAACAACTTACAAACACATTTTCTCCCAGCTGGCGTATGCATTTATGGAATTCATGAACTGGACTATAGATCAACGGTTAAAACCAAAAGCACCCATTTACAAAGGTGTTCCAATTCGTTGGGCTCCTGATGGATTTGACGATCCAGGATACGACGATGACGAATACTACGACGATGAACAATCCGATTATGGATCCCTTCCACCGTACAACAAGGAGGATTATGTTAGATACCCTTCCATAATTTTAAACAATTCCGCCGACCACCGAGATCAACGTGATCAACGACGATGGACATATGCTACCGACTATAGCTACGAGAACGGTGATGAATATATAGGAGAGGATGGTAGACCGCAATACGAGACCAACGATCGATATGGGAGTCGGTATTTGAGTGGTGGTAGTGAGTACTTTAGTGATTGGGCAGAAAGGAGACGGTCGAATAAAGCCAGCCGACAATCTAGAGTAGCTTCCACAGCCAATCTAGCACCACTGCCTAAAGCCATGACCGCATGGGCATCGAAAGCTGCCAATAAGTTTAGTCAATGGGCTAAATCTCGACACGGCAATAATGAAACTAGTGGAAATAGTGGGGAGTCGTCAAATGGTGGTCCACCGAGAGGTGGATACACTAGTAGTGGAACAGACTTTATTGCCTATCCGGCTATAGTCAAGCAGAGACCTAGTAAATCACATAAACGCAAAACCGCCAACAACTATGAAAGTGAGCTGGAACCATTACCACCCATGCCACTACCATCTAGTAATTATCAATATGCTACCGACTACGAAGAGTCTGAATACTTTTCAGATAATCAACCACCACCGCTCCCTCAAAAGGGCTCGGCGTCCAGAAGTGGTGGAGGCAGTGCTGGAGGAGGAGGTAATGCAGGAGGATACTACCAACAATATCAACAACAATATAGATATGACGATGACGATTATTATAATGACCGGTATAATGAGCAATCCGAGTATGCTCCTTCACAGGCGGGAGGAGAACAGTCGGAGTATTATGATGGGAGGAGTGAGTACTCGCTGGAACGGCCTGCTGTCGCTGCGTATCCCTATGCTGGTCGTGGCAGATACGAGGACGAGTATTAAAATTCATGTAATCAGTCTTGTATATAATTTTTAGTTGGCTGTGACTTGCCATATATCTCATTCTCATTCCAATTCAAAGCAGCCCTACAAGATGAGCAGCTTGTCCAAAGTTTGTAAAAGTTGGAACTGGCCACCAAGTTCGTAGACTTCAACGCAACACGAAGCAACGGAACCAGTTTTTTGGAGGGTTGTGGAGGGCGAGAGAGTAACTCACCGTATGGTGAGCGAGCATCATGCTAGTTGGAAATCAGAGGCAAACCAGAGTGTGGAGCTGGAGAAGTGCACCTAATGCAGGAATTCGAAAGTACATTGCTGTCCAAACCAGTCCTGACCCACATGATTCCAACTACCGTAGATCAGAGGACCATTAATGACGGCTCTTGGTCTCTTGTGCAGGGTATAGGTGCTTGGATCTATAGGAGACGACATTGTCAATGTTAGATGAGGAAGTGTGAGATTTCCATAAGATGTTGTTAACCAAACAGGAGATTGCAAGGTAAATAAGAGTAGCACCCGTTGGATGTTGATACGTAAAGAACTGCCATTACTCTCCGATATAGTCTACACTCTCCCTTCAAGTCAGAAATTCGAAACTGAAAATGCGCAGGCGGCAACCACATTGTCAAGCTCTCCCAAATGATGCTAAGTAGCGTTTTGCGCTACAGTCCATTCATTGACGTGACCTACATCGCATACATACCTCCCTTTTCTCTGGACCAGTCCTTATTCGGCGTTTACTAAGTAGTATTCGTTCATAACGTATAACAAAACCGTGTATGGATGCTATCGCGATTATTGGCCAAGAGAGAGAGCCATGACGGCCAAGTGAGGCTACAACTATACAACAATGTTAGATCTAGCCGTTTCTCTACTCTGGACTTATGTGCCAACAAGGATGTTTCTCGAGTGTTCAAAGCTCCAATTGCATCGGTGCAAATCGAATCTCTGGAATCAAGATAGTTAAAACGTGGATTTACGTGTATTTGAAGCTTTGACGGCAGGCCTTAACTCTCCTCTCCTAGTCTATTATCGGCTGGTACAGATGGATCAATTCACATCTTTGACTTGGACGCTACTGCTAAAAAGAATGACAAGCTGGTGGTGTCGTCCATTTCTCGATTGTAAGCAAATGTTGCAACCATTTTGAAGCTGCTCACAGTGGAATCCAATAAGAACTCAATGCCAATTGTGTGTAGGCAAGGAGCACACAAGTTTGCGATCTCTGGTGTGAATTGGTTTCCTGGAGATACAGGAATGTTTACGACTGGCTCCATGGATGCTACTATTAAAGTTGGTTGCCAATTCCACTCTACTTGCGTTGGTTGCGTGATTGATCAGTGCGACGTTTTCTTAGGTTTGGGACACGAACGCTCTAGAGGTTGTTTAAACCCAGATCCACAGTTGAGGCATTGGCGAATCTTACTTGTAATTTTAATGGGAATAGAGTGTATGCACATTTCATCTGCAGAACAGGGTCTTGTCGCATGCCTTCTCTCCGATTGGTACAGTGCCATGCTTGTTCACTTTTGAAGGCAAACGAGCTCATATTGTAACCACATCTATAGCGACTAGTCACACTTTGCTCGCATGTAAGTTTCATCCAGGATCCAGCCAAATACGGACTTTTACTGAAGTTGATTTGAGACAATGGGTAGGTGGTCTGGCAGAGCCACGAGTACGCTTGTGTGATCTCAGAACTGGAGGTTCTGTGCAGGCTCTAACTGGTAAGAGTATCATGCAACTCGACCGTCTTTGGTACAGCTCGATGTGTCTCGCTGACTTTTCGTACTCTCTCAGGCCACCAAGCTTCAGTATTTTCTGTCAAATTTTCCCCTATAAATGAGTGGTTACTTGTCAGTGGCGGGTAAAGTACGACGATTCTTTTAAGTTTTTGGAGCTTGCCTGACCGTTCCTCATGTTTATGAACTAGTGCCGACAAGTCCATCAGGTTTTGGGACATTCGCAAGGCTCGGGCATGTGTCTTGGCCCTTGATTTGAACAATTCAGGTATCACTTTAGGCTTGCTGAAGCTTATTGAGCTATCTGACCATCCAAATATAGACCGAACAACACCCAACTATTTGGGAGAAGTGGATGTTATAGCTCACGATGGCCTCGTGAACGGTCTTTGCTTTACGTCAAATGGAAAGCATCTTATTAGTACGGCACACGATGAGCGGATTCGTCTGTGGGATGTTTCGACGGGTCGAAACACTTTGGTACGAAGAAGAATAATTGTTGCGTTTGCTGTCAGAAGTCTCATCATCTGAATCATAGACAAACTATGGCCCTAATTTACACAATCGTGCAGCGATTGAAACATGTCCTGTAGTAACTCCAATCAACATGTGTCATCCACCGTTAATTTATCATCCTTCCGATCATCGCCAAGTACTTGTGTTTGATATGATGACTGGTGCCCTCGTGAAGAGACTTCGTGGACACTTTGGCAGAGTGAATTGTGTTGAATTGCGTTCAGAATTCCAGGTTTGATGCCTGTTTGTTTCCACTGCTTCATATTTTGTGCTGACTCAGTTTTCAATCTGCAAAGGAACTATATTCGGGGGGCAATGACCATGAGATCCTAATTTGGGCGCCTCCTGAAAAGGACGAGCAACCTCTGTTTCCTGAAGCACATCAGGTAATGGGAGATTTATTTTGTTCCAGTGTTGGCCTTGGTTGTTTGCTCACTCCCAAATCACTTTTCCTAAGGCTACTGCTGATGCCTGGAGCGATGATGAGCGTTGAATGTGAACCTATCTGTATCATAAATCCATGTTGGCCCTTCAACACTGCATTTGTAAGTTTTCGCACAAGTATATAATAAATCCAAGTTCGCATAGTTCACAACATACGTTAGCAAAACGATATTCAAGATTTCAAACAAGTATTTATATTTCTTTGTGCAAAATTTGGTCTAGCTTTTTTTCTGTGAGTGTCAAGTTTATACAAGTGCTATGAGCAGACGAGCCTATCTAATAAATATCTAAGCTGTCTTTTGGATGGGCAAGAAGAGCTTGAACTAACACAGAAGATTATTGGAAGTTAGCGTCAAAGCAAGCAAAAAGAAGAAGGCGTGCATCATAGAGTCGTGTGATTCACTTACTTCTGGAGGCAACTCTTCCTCAGAGTAAAGTCGGTCAGAGAAATAGATGCGACGAATACGACAGTTGGCGTGAATCTGTACTCGAAGAGTTTCAATATAGTTGGTACCATATGCACGACGAGTAAAGTCCGACAGGTTGAATTGGATTTGGTTCCAGCCATCGTCTAGACGCATAGGCATGGTACAAATGAATGGCTTGACTCGTGTGGTAGACTAGTACATAAATGCGTTTAAATAGGAAATTTGTTAGGATTCGTGATTGGGCCAAATCAAGGAGACTTTTCGCAAAAAGGACAGGGACAGCAAGCATATAAAAGCAAAAGCAGCCGAACGAGGATTTACTCCCACACACACATACCTGATAATTGGAAGCACGGAACCTTCTCCTCACATTCTTATCATCCAATACAGTGACTTCAAAAGTAAAGTACTTTTTCAAGTTTTTGATAATCATGACCAAGAAGGGCAACTTGATACCCAGAGTACGGCCAGGCGATGCAGGACATACGATATAGTTGGTGGATACATTGGTTCCAATGATTTCCAAGACTGACGACTGAATATCATTGTCGGTGATGCGTTTAATGTGTCCATTGCGCACTTGCTTGTCCCAGATTTGAAGAGGCTTGGAGCCAATAGAATAGAGAATCGACAAGAAACCAGACTATAGAGGAGATGTATCGTTAGAAAAAACAGTGTGGTCTCTTCAGCCTCCAAAAAAATGCAACAAGCAAACTGCCAAAAAGCATGATGAACCCAGCAAATCACGTCGTCTAGCTCACCTGAAAAGTATTACGGAACATGATGACACGTAGGGGCCTTGTCGCAAGCACCTGTGTCTTCACTTCCCTGTTGGTTTAAACGTTGAGGAATCTAACGAGTTTGCGTTTCGCGTTTTTAATTTCTTCGGAGACTTCACCTTGAATCTTGTGCAGGGACGCAACCGGAAGTTTTTTGGATTGTTTGGATCTATTCACAGTTTTTATTCGATGATTTACTACTCGTTCTAAACATCAGCCTGAGTACTGTTTGCATTATTCTCGTACTTCTATTCTAGCGACGATTGGCTTCCATCAATACATTCTGCACCACATCGTTAACAGACATGAGGTCAGTTTCCATTGCTCGTACATTCTCATTTTCTTTCGCGACCTTCTTCATATATGAATCCAATGCACGTCGCATCTGAGATAGAGCTGCAGCATCTGTTGCAGTTGCATTTTGCCGTTTCGATTCTCGTGCATATTCTTCCAGTTGATCAAATATGGCATAAGGCAACCAGCGACCAAGTACTGGTAAATTCTCTATACCGCCTTTTTGGAGTTCCTGGAATCGTGTCAAGACAAAGAAAATGGTTAGCAACAAAGACCAATAGCAAATGGGCAAAAAAACCAATTGAAAGAGCTGAAGATACTGACTCGCTCAACAGTCCTTGTCGCTAGCTTGACAGCTTCCATCAGTCTACCATGCTTCAAGTATATTCGTATCATGTCTTCGGCGTTCAAGTGTGTTCGGTGCTTGTGGTCATTATCAACCTATCAGGAAAAACTTGGTTAGGATGAAATAACATCCTCCTAGCACGCGTCTCACCTCATAGAATTGGGTAAGCCACAAAGGTAATGTGAATTGCCAATCATCAGATAACAGCCTATCTATAAAAAGCCTTCGATACTGATACCCCGTTGATGGTGTATCATGCAACTCAAGATACGATCGAGTCAACTTCATCAACTTGTCAGCTGGAGTACCTTCCCATGTCTCTGAAGCACCTTCCATGACGAAACTTCCTACGCGATGATCTCGATAAAGCCGTACACACCGAGTAGCAAGACTAGCAAATATACCAGACAAGTCCAATTCAAATAATTTACCAATAGTAAAGGCATTATCATAATATCCTGCTTCACAACATAATGCGACAGCAGTCTCGGGTACAATGGTTTCATTCGACGTCACAAGGGCAGGGAACTTGTCCGACAAGACAAGTCGAACCATGGTCAGTTCATACTCTTTGGTCAAATCGGTTGTAGAAACCGCTTCTAACGTGGGCAATTCGGACTGCTCTGTAAACGTCGTCAGTCGCCGTCGTTTAGCGGGCCTTCCTAGAGCTTTATCGGTGACTTTGGGTATAGTAATCCAACCAAACTCGGGGGCGGCCAATTGCAATGATTGTATAGAGACTAGCAAGGCTCGAGCACGTTCTTCGATAGCACTAGGTATATCTACATGACTGTCACTACGAATTGACAGCTCGGAGAGTCTTCTCGAGTACTGAAACATTGCAGATGCAGCTACGGGTTTGGTAAGACAAGTCAAAATGGAAGCAAAAAAGCATCAAAACATTTTACTTTTTTGTTGCTTTACCTCCTCGATGATTTCCTCGATAGGTATAGTACGAATATAGGATTTTGTAGTATGGTGGCTCCCGTTGTGGCCAGACTGGAGAGTTTTGGGCTTTGAACCACAATAGCTCTTCAATCTTTGCCTCCATGTCTGAAAATGCCAGACGACCAGAGAATAATGCTTCGACTTGCCTTTTTTCACAAAAGTCGTAGACGAGCACACTCAAACAGCCCAATCGTCTATTGAGAGGAAAGTTGACGTGTCAAATTCAAACATTCTGAAGGAGAAAACGAGATCCAACGTCGCAGACTTACGCCTCTTCATCCTGTATAGACTGCATGACATGGAAAGCTTCCTCAAACCTCAAAATACTGAGATTCAACGTAAACAAGGACTTGAGTAGAGATATAGCTGACGGACCATCCCTAGCATTAAGTTCAACTTCATCAAGAGCAGCTTGCACGAAGATGATGGCATGCTCTGGAGATGGTGCCAGAAGAGATGCAATGTGGCGATAATAGCCAATAATTCCATCAGGCTGAACTTCCGGTGGCAGCAATGTCGTCAAATCATCATTATCGGATACACCTAATGAACGAGTGAGCAAGAAAGCCCACATCGGTCATTTCATGAAAGGAAACTTACTGGCTGCTCTCAAGAACCTTGCTCTAGCCTTTTCATAATCCGTGGTCGTCAGGGCACATAATCCAGCCAAGTACTCAGATCCACGAGTAGGTGGTAATTGTTGCACCATGGTGCCAATTACATCAACATTAGCAGCCATACTACAGCCCAACTTCATCAAGAGAGTGGGTTGCTGCAACTTGCTTAAGGACATTATACCTGCAGCTCGGAGACCCTGAGACAAACTACCATTATCAATGTTGATTGGAATATCCATATATAGGCGAACGACTTGGAATAAGAAGGATTCCAAATCATCGCCCGTGGCAGCATATTGACTGTCCTCCTTTACTCGCATATCAGCAAACTGACCTACTAGTACTCGCGTGGCTTCTCTGATTAAGGCTTTTGGTCGTCTTGGATCAGTCATACTGGCAGCAGCTTCGAATTCTGGGATCCGCACCATTTTCCCAGTCAAGGCAGCCAAGAGGGCATATGTTTGGAAGAGTCGGAGACCATCCACCATCATGATGGTGGGAACTTGACTGCGTTTTTTGACAGCACTAGCGGTAATGGTCATTAAAACAAGCATCATATCAAAGCAGAGTTGTGCTCTAGAGGCAATGGCTTGGTTTAGCGCCTGCTCCACTAGTGCCATACCCATCCAGCCCAAGCGAATCCTGAAAGTCTCCTCTGATGTAGGAAGTGGTTCTGGTATGGGCACTTCTCGGGACACAATGTTCGTCAAACGTGTCCAGAATTCTGTATTGCTGGACATTCCTATTGCGATACTGCCGATACGAGCTCTTAGCGTACTATTTCCTACTATTGGGGCAAGATGCTGCTGAGCAACATCAACAAGATGCTGGCCTATGGATACTTTCAAAGATAACGCCTTTACCAATTCACTATGTATTAGATTCAGGCTTTGTGCGGGAATGACTTCTTTAATCAACGCCAATATGCTAAAATATGAGGTCAGGTCGGATCTAGCTGCATTACTTTCCAATTCAGGGTAGTCATATTGGAGTTCTGTACTGGGAAGAAGAGCAAATAGTGTTGGCGATATTGCATTTGGGCCAGCAATCAGTTGAGCAGTATCCAACTCTCTCAATAGACCTACACCACCACGACGCACAATTGCGATAGCGCCTGTTTGGGGTCTGACTGATAAAGCCGTTGGATGAGCACCAGATCGTTGCAAACTAGTACAAGCATGCAAGAATCGGTTCCATTCTTCTACGTGGGTCTGTTGATAGGCTTCCAGCATTCGATGCTCGTTGATGTCATTCTGTAACTGAAGACGTATACTACCACCCACTGTAATTGCTACACGTTCTCGTAACTCTCTCAGAGTGATGAATGAAGTTGGTTGTGATGCGTGGGCTCGTCTACTATTGCTCTCGTATTCGACGAGAGCTTGTTCAATGACCCATTTCGAAAAGCGCCCTGGATAAAATGCATAGTCGAGAAATGCTTGGGCCGAGACAGTGGTAGTAAAGCTGGGTGCGAATCTGGAAGGAAGGAAAACCATTTGTTACGAAAGTGCTACAAAGAAAAGTCTACCGCATACTCCTCATAGGTCAAGCGTAAAAAAGAGCAAAGCCACAAGCATACAGCCAGGACTCACCTCTGTTCGTTCACTCCACTTGGCAGCGATATCCATCGTTCTTCAGTGACTCCGCTCATTTGCTCTGACAGAGCCAGAGGAGCATGCCGTATAACAGCTTCACCTCGAAGCTCCCACAATGTCCAGCATTCAAACCCGGATTCCAATTTTATAATCCTAAAGTCGACAAAGACTTCTTCTGCAAAGCTATCTCCTGCAACGTCTTGTATGGGTTCACAACTCATGGTTTTTATGAATTTGAGCGCTTTGAACCCCACACTAATGTCGGCTATACCACCGTATATGGCCAAGAAGGGATTTGGAGACTGTGGGATCATGACTGCTAGTTTGAAGTGTACTGTACTTGGCTGGAAGTTGTTGTTGATGACTTCAGCTTCCTCGTCAAATATTTGTATGTAGTGACCTATTCCATTTGAAAGAGTGGCAGATGCTTTGTGATCACCTCCGTTTGTTGAAGATGGTATAACTATAGTTTGAGCTAGCGTATTTGACAATAGATTCCATACTCGAAGCTTACGGTCCTGTCCCAGGACAAACCCGAGCATGAGATTGTCACCATATATAAGAGACGCAACTGCGGCAACCTACATAAAGAGATGAGATACACGACGGTATAGCGGTTTGCGCGTGAATGGGTCACTCACCTCATGGATCCTAGGAGGTAATTCAACAAAAGCCAAAGTCTTTAATGTCTTTACTAGTGGATTATTGCCAAATTGGTTGGCAAATCGCTCAGTCCATGCTTCCTCCTTCAAGACATGAGTGTGCTGCTTTGTTGCAATGACTGAATTTCGTGCGCACTCTAGTTTAGCAACATGACCGTTCGCGTATCCAACCATGACAGTATTTGTATTCACAAAGTGTGCGACTAGAGGCTCTGTCTGTTCGATTCCCTCAAACTCTATAGTCTGATGGAAGACGTAGTCTGGCGACGATGCTTCAAACCACAGTGGTGCAGGAAAGGTGAGTCGATAGAATACGTTCCCGGAGGTGACAAACAATACATTTAGGGCAAACGTATCGGCATCTTCAGATACCAAGACACCTGGCAATATTGAATGAGGTGCTTTGAATAACATACGATTTCCTGATGGCGAGGGCACCGACGAGTCCTGTGCTATGGGAATGAATCGAAGCTCTAAATATTCCCGTGATGCTCCAGTTAGCATCCATACGATGATGGATCTGGGCAGCGTGGCTGGATGATATACATCTGACAATACATTTAATGATGTTGATGCTGAATGGCTGCGAGCTGATGATGCAGACCATGAAGAGTTTGGATCAGGCAGAATACGAACTTCGGGAGTGACTGAGAATTGCTGGAGCGGGATGTGCGTTTCCCCATAGAACTTCATCTTGTCAAAGAGCCTGAATTATTTTGGATTGTGAAAGCTTTAGTTCATGTGGCAAATACAAACAGCAATTAGCAATAACCTGTTAATTCAGGAACTAGTTCGACAGTTGGAACGGGTCGTCGCTTCATCAACGAGATGAAAGTGTGCTCAAACGAGCAGAATCAAGCAAGTAAGCAAGTCAGACTCTAGATTCAAATATTAAACGGCGAGGCACGCATCAGCCACAATCGACAGTAATACTTAAGACGCGTTACTTGTTTATTACAGGCATTTCAACCTTTTGAGAACGTGAATTAGTGTTTGAGTCTGACATGATGCTTTCAAACAGCACGGTGCCTAATTGCCTTATTGCAGTCTTGGAATTTGGCGTTGCTTTGAGTCATGAATCCAAAAACAAAAATCCATTCGTACTAATACCATGCGATACTACCAGTAGTATACTAACAGCAACATCAGGAACGGTACAAAGCAATGCAATTGTTCCGGCCTATCAACTAGCGACTCCTTGCACAGCGTAACCAGACTGCCAATTGCCTGGACGTGAAATGCTCGTCTAGGTTGATGTTCTTGAAATTCCAAGTTGTTCAGCGACTTGGAAAATGTTTGCGATGCGGCTCCAATATGAAGAGGCAGCCCTCGAGTCATTGGGATATCCTTCGACGCTTTCTTATATAAAGTTGATAAGGTGTTAGTGGGCCAGGCTTCTTCTTTTCTCAACTGCGTCAGTCACTTCAACTTTCAAGCTTCACATCCCAGTTAAACGAACGAGAGATAACCTCGTAAATCATCGAAAAAGGAATCCAGTAAATATGCCTTGGTCACGGGCCGTCATGGACTTTATGCCGTCACGTAAGTTTGGAAGTCTTGTCCGTTGCTTGCTGCACGAAAGCTGTTGCTGGTGCATTTTGAGGGTTGAGGTTCAGAGAGCGCTGAAGTTAATGAAAAGTACTTGAATTGTATTACTCTGATGATTCATGCTTCTACATCGTTGTATCGTTATATTTCCACTTTCCAAGTTACCCTTCTGCATTTGCCTCGACATTTGATCGCTAAACGCACGCTTGCTAACTTTACACTCGAAATTTTCTCAGTCGCAGCAACAGCAGCATCAGGATTTGCAGCATTCGTGATATATGGCCCCGTATTTGGCAAACGAGTCGACGCTCTCATCGCCGCTGACAAGAATGATCCTAATTGGAAGGACAAATTCGAACTCTCAGTTGGAAATCAGTACTTGTTTGGAATGCTATCTCAATTGGCTGAAAACACTCTACACATTCATGCCCTCGTCGCGGCCTCTATGGTCCAAGGCAATGCTTTAAGCTTGCACGAAGCTGCTGTGTTTACTGTTGCGGTCTGGATTGTGTATGCAGCACCTCCAACGTTTGAAAATTGGTGGTGGGAACGTAAGCAATCGCATTGACGTATTTGTTATTCTCGCCTACAACTTTTGTGAGGTATAACGAAAACGTTGCGTTATAGGACGACCTGGTGCTCTTTGTGCTACAACAGCGGCCTTCAAATTCATTCAGTTGATGAGCACGACTGCAATATACATTGCCTGGAGGGGCTATTGACGTAAATTTATTATATTTGTGCCAAGTTACATCTGATAGCTTTATATTATATTACACAGAAAGTGCCTTTCTTTACAAAATGTTCATGTTATGTGTTTGTGCAAAAAACTTCTTGAGGATCAAGCGTATCGTTGGAGAATCTCCATGAAACTGGCTAGATCATCTTCTTCCACTTCTACTGATGAGGCCTCAAACAAGTCAATATTGATTGTAGCACGAGCCTGTGCAGCCGTGTTTTGGAATGCGAGACCAAATGGACTAGGAAAGGGATTTTTGTTTCAGTTTAATTGAGCACTTTGCTACTTCACGATTATTTCAGACACGTTGACTTACTTTTTTCGGACATCGTCTCCTGACTCTAATGGAGGTGCCAATCCAATAACCAGACGTTTGGAATTTCCTGTGGGACTCGCAATCACGAAGGGAAGATCCTTTTTCTTACCCTCCAACTGGAATATGAAAGAGAAGAATCAGGTTAAAGTCAACCGATCACGATAAGGAGCTGTATAAAGAAAAGACGTGACACATACCTTGCACGCTTCAGACAAAAATGATGCCAAACGAGTCAGATGCACTGGACTTGAGCTGAGTCGCATGTAGTCCCGATCTCCAGCCATACCACCAGCAGCTGGCGCATTATTACTACCACTTCCATTAGTGCCTGCTGATAGAGCCCGTCCTTGGGAGTCGTTCAAAATGACCATACGATAAGCTTTCAGGGTTTTGATCATCCGTTTTTCTAATACAGATAGACCTGTTCGTACTAGAGCGCGTTGAAAGTGCATGGCAAGCTGTATACCATGATACATCAAATCCACACTATATGGTTGAGAGCGATGAGCTTTACTGGGCTGCACTTTGGAAGTTTTTTGTCGTACAGCACAAATTTCAAAAATACCCACCTTTCTAAAGCATCATAAGCCACGAAAAAGTTGCGAACTCTTTCAGACTCTGAATCTCGTTCTGTCTCGTCCGCTTCAGTCTCGCCGGCGACATAGTGTATTGATTCTGAGACTCTCATCCCTACGGCTGCTGCACCAATACGCATTCCTACACCTACACCAGCCAAAGTAACACCACCAGGTCGAGATCCTTGTTCAAACTGACCTAATAGAGCATAATCTCGTACAGATTCAAATCCAGCATCCAATAAAGCTGAGAGGGAATATACAGCATCCGAAGCTGATATAGCAGTGCGATATCCATATTGTTTGAAGAAGGATGGGAATTGTATATCGGGAATCTTGAATGATGGAGCTACTGCTACGAGTTTATCCTTGAGTGATCTTTTCAGGCTAACCTTCATTTCTGAAAAGAGTTGATTACATTCTTTTTGTGGCATGCCCATCTTGACTAGTAGGGTGGTCAATTTGGTACGACCCTTTTCTCGCCATATACCCAAACGTGAGGCGATATAACTGGTATGAAACATGCTCTCGTTTAAGGACCAATGTCGAAACAACATTAGTCGTAATTCATCTTCGGCTCGTATACCAGTATCGTCAGCTCCTCTAACGGAATGACTATTTCGTTCACCCAAGAGAGGATCAATGTCATCTCTCTCTGGGTCAGCAAACCGAGCCACTTGCTGATTCCATGTTTCTACTTTCCTTCTATATGGTTTGGATTCTATTCGATCATGTAGATATTGGTCGGTGAGACCTAGTATGCCTAGCCATAGCAGCTGGGTGTTGGCTCTATTTAATTGATCTGCGAGGGTATATATAATGTCGGCAACCGAAGTTCCACAATATGTTCCAGCCGAGTAGTAATCATTAATAAGACGATGAGATCTCCTTTTATTCCGTTTGGCATCAGCTGATTTGGCTCGTTTGGCAGATACGGCGTTGATGTCCCATTCCGTTTTCCTCTTTTTATTGTTTGCACGATCTGGATTTGGGTTTTCGGCGTCATCGTCTTGATCCTCGTCGGCATCATCTTCTTCCTGATCTGGTGGCTGTTCTGGATCATGGTCATCATCGTCGTCCTCGTCTTCATCATCATCGTCGTCGTACTAGGTGGGGAGTTTCAAAGGCGATCGTTGAATAAATTGTTGATGATCTGGCGCAAAAGAACTGTTTGCCTGAATACCTCGACGACCGTATAGGCATGTTGCAATTCTTGTAGCTCTGCAGCTTCCGCATCACTCTCTTGCTCCTTAACCACCACAATCTATTAACGTGTTTGAAGATTGAGCAATCAACTCTACCACAAAAGTAGTCCTCCAATTTGAAACACTTACTCGAGGACTTGAAAACAGGTTTGACAAATTGATGGGTCTATGTGAATCGACCAAGTAAACCATTGTAGAGTCTGATAGAGTAAAGAACTCGTTGACATCAACTAGTCCACCACAATTCAACATGACTATGCTCCGCAGCTGTTTCATGAAACGGGGAGGTAGATTGTCCAATGTGCATGTCAGTGTCGTCAAATAAACGATGTAAATAACAAATATCACGTTGTTTTGCCATACCTCTTCATGATTTTCGACGTGATTTGAGTTGGCAGCACCCAAATCCATGTAACCTGCCACTGGAATGACCTTGTGAGGAATGCAGTCTGCTTTGAAAAGTGTCTATGGAATTCAAAACAGAGCGTTAACGCATCAAGATCAATCTATAATCTGAAGAATACATGACTGGATCTGTCATTTCAGTCAATTTACCGTCAGAATTTTGCAAGCACATAGCGAATCCACATCTGGAGTGGCTAGTATCAACACGGCAGCATTACTGGCTGTAGATTCCTTGCGAATATTGGCATACAATGTATGTAATGTATCTGGTTTCGCCACTCCCATTGTTCAATCAGTGTTGGAATGTCGAGAACGATGCGAATGGGTCAGTAGAAGAAAGGGAAGGTACAAAATAAGCTCGAATCTAACGAACACGGCGCTACATTGCTTACGAAACGCGTCAATCGCGTCGAAAAGGTCCGGTTTCGGCGTATAACTGCGATTTCGAGCCTGTGTCAAAAACACGAATATTTGAGCAATAATTCGTCATTAAACACGAGAACAAAGATTTTTATTGCCGTTCAAAACTTCTATAGACCTGTTTGCGATCATCGTATCTACCACTCAAGTGCTCTTCTTCGGCTCTTCGTCGAACGATTTGTCCAAACGTTCGAAACACAATGTCCGTAGAGATTGAGAGTGCAGAGTAAGTCATATCGCGTCTTATTATGCATTTGATTCGGTCACCGTGCGGATCCCTAACAAATTTGCATAACTTGTAGTGTAATTCGGCTGGTGCAGCAATTTCTAAAAGAAAACAATCTAAAGCGTACACTCCAAGCGCTTCAAGTATGTCTAAATCAGCTATTTGGTGTACCATCTCGTACTATTATGTTAATATTTATTGCTTTCGCCGTGTGTAGGAGGAAACGAGCATAACTTTGAACACTGTTGACTCGGTCGACTCGTTCGTCGCAGATATTGTCCAAGGGAGATGGGATATCGTACTAAGGACCGTATCTGGGCTCAACATTTCTCAGAAAAAGTTGATTGATCTATATGAGCAGGTTGGTGACCAGCACTGTCTCTGACAAGCACACATTCTCCAACATCGTTTGATGCTCGATCATCCTACGTTAGATTGTCATTGAGCTTATTGAGATGCGAGAAATGGGAGCTGCTAGATCGTTGCTCCGACAGACAGACCCAATGAACTTGCTTCGTGAAAAATTCCCGGAAAGATACTTGCACTTGGAGCACTTGTTGTCGAGAATGTACTTCGATGAGAAGGAGGTGTGGCTGTTTGATTCTGACAGGTCAGAAAGTGAACTCTAAACTCCTGAATCTGAAATTAGGCTTATGGTGGAGATCAGACCAAGGAAAAGAGGAGGCAGACGATAGCTCAAGGTTGGACATAGAGGATTACCAGCCCCTGGTTTCATCTCTGACAACAATAATATCGTCTCTATAGCCCTAGCAAATGAAGTTACTGTCGTGCCACCGTCAAGGCTGTTGTCACTATTGGGACAGGCAGTCAAATGGCAGCATTCACAGGGGTTAATACTTCCTGAAACACCATTCGACCTGTTTCTGGGAACAACCCCCAGTAGCATAATTCAAGATGATACACCACCGTCTCAAGTGTACAATTCCATCAAGGTTTGACATGCATGAGCAAATTCATTCACATGAGAAATTTAACCTAACTATTTTCCGCGTAACTAGTTTCCAAAGAAGCAACACCCTGAATCTGCCGCTTTCTCACCTGATGGCCAGTTCATGGTTACTGGTAGCATCGATGGTATAATAGAAATCTACAATCATATCACTGGCAAACTGCGCAAAGACTTCAAGTATCAAGCTGAGGTACGAAACGCAAAAAACTAATATTCGAAGCAATCATAAACACAAGCCCTGACCCTTACAAACATGTAGAACAATTTCATGTTGATGGAAGATGCTGTGTTATGTCTCAGCTTCTCAAGAGATAGTGAAATGCTAGTATCTGGTGGTCAAGATGGTAAAATCAAAGTATGGAAAATCGAAACAGGTGTCTGCCTCAAACGATTTGTCGGTGCCCACTCTCAGGGCGTGACAAGTGTGTGCTTTAGTAAAGACTCTACTCAAGTACTCTCTGCCAGTTTTGACCAGACAGTGAGGTATGCGAGCTCGCGCTGACGTACTGAATTTCGACACTCTAGGTTTGCTTATCGTCTACTTTTGGTTTCTAGAATACACGGGTTGAAATCAGGCAAGATGCTCAAAGAATTTAGAGGTCATACTTCATTTGTCAATGATGCCATATTCAATATGGACGGAACTCGAGTGCTGTCAGGAAGTAGTGATGGTACCATTAAGGTATACTTCATTTCTCCATTCTTTAGGGCCCTAAATCTTACGAAAATTCGACAATTCCAACACTTTTGCTTACATTAGATATGGGATGCCAAGACTACAGAATGCATACAGTCTGTACTGTTATCCAATGGTCTCATGGCAATACCAGGCAGTGTTACACCATCAGTCCAAAGAATCATCTCAATGCCCAAAAATCCAGATGCCTTTGTAGTTTGCAACAAGTCACCATGGATTTACATTATCAGCACACGAGGACAAATCATAAAATCCATGAATTCGAGCAAGATAGTGGATTTCACGAGTGCTTGTATATCTGCCAAAGGTGAACTGGTTTACGCTGTCGCAGAGGATCATATTATGGTTGCGTTTGAAGCCGAGACTGGGAAGCAGGTTGCAAACTTGAAAGTAAGACTTAATTCCTCATGTATATGTTCCGTTTACTGAAACTGACGTTTACTGCTTTTGTAGCTCGCTGAAACTGAAATCATTGGTGTTGCTCACCATCCCTTCACGAACACATTCGCGTCCTTTGCTGAAGATGGAAACGTATCATTGTGGAGACCATAATTCATTGTTAAATACATACCATAGCATCGCAATCGTGAAAAGTGTCATGAAAGAGCAACTCGTGTCCTCGTGTCGTAGAAATGTGGCAGCAATACCAGAAAACGTTATGCGCCATCCTATTTGGTGCGACTTACTGAGTATGGATCCCGTTCGCTGTATTCAATCGTCCATTGCGTTTGCTTTCAAGCCGAACATTGGCAAATCGAATTTACTTGTGTTTGGTGGTTTTGGCCGATACAGATGAATAACAGCTTCTATACTAATTGCAGCAGATGGCGTTCAGTAGAATGAAGCTGTAAAATGGTCTGTGCGTCTCTACTGAACACCGACCGCTATTGTTTCTGAGTGAGGAGCGCTGGTACAAAACATTGGGCATAAGATGAGCGAACATTTGAACGTGTTGCTGAACAAGGCAAGGACTAGACGGCATTCGATGCTTCATCCAATGCGCGAATCAATACCGATACTCAAAATCCGGCACTGGTTTCTTCCTTTCTTATTCACGTCAAAGCCTCCAGGTCTTGGGTGTGGGGTTAGCAGGTGCATCTCCTCAGTTTCAGGATACGCTCTGGAACGCTCATCAAAGCATCAGCGAGGCCGATATGGGGTTATCTTCCATCACCACGATTATCATCTTCATTTCTCTGCTTCTGAACGCTTCCAATGCGACGGATGCTGGCGGAAAGTGGAATGTCGTTGGTAGCTCTCAAGCTGTATGTATAATTCTGGCACTCCTACCTGGGAATAGGCTGGCATGTATAGAAAGACCGCATGTGTTGCCATATATCGTGAATCAGAATCTGTAAGCTTTGTTTTGGTCACGATTGTTTGTCACATATCTGAAATTTGGGAGCGATTGTTTACTACATTTGAGTCATCATGTTGAACCTGACATTATATTATCGTTTCATATAGCCTTGACAATGTCACTGGTATGTCAGTGTTTGTGTGATCATGTTGGTGCCTTCGTATCTTGATGACAAGAGCCGAGAGTGGAGTGGCCTTGGCATCACAGACTCAATCAGTATTTTCTCTTAGGAAACGTAGAGACCACTGTTGAAGTCGATTTGAATTCAAATCCACCATTGGTTACAAAAACAGTAAACGACTGTGCATCAACGATTGAGTTCTCTGCTTAGGGTCTAATCTCTTAACCACCCATAGCATGTCACGTCGTCACCTTTCTGTGGGCACGCCGCACAAGGTTCTGACGGAAACCTGGTCGTCGCTGGCGGCGATACCAGTCAAAGCTATAATATATACAACCAGAATGTGTACATTGCGGATGGAAGGTCGGATGTCAGAGGCTACATGGCAGGTTGCACGCAGACTCCATGCGAAACTGGAAGCTGGAACCTGCATTATACAATGGGAATTCAAAGGTGGTATCCCACTCTTGTAACTCTCTCAGACGATGAGTACGTTGTGACTCTAATTCGTTTCCTTTTGTTCAGTCCCTGACTTTGATTTGCTTCTTATAGTGTTATGCGTAAGTTATCTAGTACATCTCATTGCATGGATTCACAGCTCATTCCTGTAAGGGCTTTGAGTTCCAACCTCACTGAAAACGTTTCCGTAGTCATCGGAGGAACCATCGATAATATCGACCTCAACAACCTTCAGCCTGAATTGAACAACCCGAGCTTTGAGTTCCTATCAGGCAAAACTGGGTTAACTCATGTGCAAATATTAGCGGACATGTATCCGTTAAACACATTTCCTAGTTGCTTTTTGCTGCCCTCTGGCCTCGTCTGGGTTAGAGCTGCCACCCAATCCGTCCTTATTGATCCAAACACTTTAGCTGTTACATCTCCAATACCCGTTCTGGACCCAGAGACAGTCAAACCACTTGGGTATGAATTAGGTGGAGGAACAATTTCTAAGTAGGATTCGTATGCTAAGAACCACTCTATTAGGTATCCATATACTCCCGTGTCCGTCGTGTTGCCAATGACTATCGCCAATAATGTAAGCCATGCGAATCTAAACATTTTGGGATGAGAAAAGGTCACTTTGCCAACTGCCTGTTCAATAGTTCTCTTTTACGGTACTCGTCTGCGGAGGCTCTGCTCGTAGCTCACCGAGCTCGCAGGACGCGAATGACCAATGGGCATCCAACCATTGCTATATCATCAACCCAGATTCGCCAAATGCCAATTGGACTGAGATTGCACCAATGCCTGACGGTCGAGTCATGCCTGATGCAGTTATAATGCCAAAGTACGATCGTTTTAGAAGACATGCGTTTGCACCCCTTGTGTTTTTGACCTAATCTGTGTTTGTAGTGGCAAGATTGCTTTCGTAAATGGAGCTGGTTTTGGACAAGCAGGTGGAGCCGCAGGATTCGGAGCATCGTCATTGCCCGTGCACACAGTAAATATCTTCGATCCGATAACCATGAGCTGGTCTCGTGGTCCCAACGCAACGGTCGACCGACTTTATCATTCAACAGCTGTGCTGTTACCCGATGGTCGAGTCATGACTGCTGGATCTGAAGAACAAAACTGGAATGACATTGCAACATTCGGACCAGGTGGCAGTGATCTAAATGGTGACGAGTTAGCAGCGTGTACACTTTATTTGAATTGTACTGATCCATTTGAGGTGAGTTTGTTATACTCTTGAAACAAGGCATCTAGAGTCTCAAGGTGTTAACATGTTGTGTCCTAGTATCGAATGGAAGCATACACTCCCAGCTACTTATTAACTGGCACGGCAGCTCCGGTCATATCATCCGGTCCTGCTTCTGTTACCCACAATTCCTCATTCTACTTGCGTCTAAGTACTGACGCAACCGCCATCACCAAGGCGGTCTTCATTCGTTATTCTGCTGTTACCCATTCTACTAATTCAGATCAGAGATATCTCGAGGTATTTTTCGGGTGTTTTTTGAAATTGGGTTGAGCAACGACAAACCAACGAACAATCTCTATCATATCTTTCACAGGCAGTTATAGTCAGTCAAAATACCACCACATTGGAGATTCGTGCTCCAATAAATAGCACAATGGCTCCTTCAGGAAATTGGATGATCTTTGTACTGAATAAAGCAGGCGTTCCGTCCACAGCATGGACAACCCTCCTTCAAAGAGGTTAACATATGTGTCTGAAATCTTACTTGTCAACGGAATCACGGATTGACATTAAACCTCATCTAATAGGGAACGAAACCGATGTATCGGTTGTGATTAATGCCCAAAAAGCACAAACAGCCGGAAGCACGGGCACCGGCTCGGTTGTTTCCTCTGACTCTACACATTCCCAGCCCGCTCTCTTAATTTACCTCATAATCATTGTGATTGTTTGTACTGGAACTCGTTTATAGATTGAATACACTAATAGTTGGTCACAACTACGCTTGAGCAGTCATGAAAGTCAACAATGATAATGACAATAGTATTTCAGATATGGAATATATAGACCCCACACAGAAACGACTGAACTGTCAGCAATTTGGTGACTCGTTCAGATTAGAGGCACGAAGAAGAAGGCCAAAAGTTCTATCAAGTGACCAGCACTTGCGATGTTAACAACAGAGTTGCTTTGATGTAATTGAATTTCAAAACGGGAGGGCTTTCACTCTAAAGAGCAGTAGTCTTTGAATTTTTTCTAAAGAAGCTTGTGAAGCTTTTGTCTTGTCGAAGGCTCCTACGAGTTTGCCCTGTTTTGTGACAGCTTTTCAAAACAATCAAAACGAACAAATATCAACGATGAAAGCCTGAAACGACAGGAGGGTTTTGTAATACACACGGAATGAATTTCAGCGAAAGCTCCGTGAGTAGCATTGCAGAGTTTGTTTCAACAGATATGCTAAATCTCCCAGATCGCGCATCTGTTCACAATTTGCGGCAACGATCAAGCAACCAAAGTTGCAACGTAATTGTGTTTTTCACGTTCAAAGCTACAGAATCGTTCCTACAGAATATAGGGCGGCTACACGTATATTTCAATTGACCACGAGCTTCCGTCTGATCAATCATTCAAAGAGCCACGAAGCTTTTAGAGTAAACATGCTGTCACGAGAAAAAATTTGAGAAAGTGCAGCCAGCTAACGTCGCTAGTTTCTAAGGATAGCCATCTGATTCGATTCTGTAAGACATTCGCTCTCTTCTTTCCTGTCGCCTAGTCATTACAACAGAATTACGACTTTCAAACTTTTGATAAGCATGTGCGTAGGCGCTACAGTCGTATTGAAAGAAAAGGTTCATTTGTGCAGAATATGTACACAGTCCCCATATATCTCACCGAATCGCCGGCAATTCGTGGTTTGCTTTTACACTAGCGCCAAGAGAAGGCCACCTACGACAATTACTAGCACGTAACCAGCGCCTGCGCCGTTGATGGTTGCCGAAGATTTAGTGGCGACGGGCGTGGCGGTAGCTGTGGCATAGATACCCAAGGTAGAAGTAGTAACAACGTGTATTGTTGCAGTAACACCTACAAGGAGAGTGGACGAGAAGAGAATTAGATGTCTCACAGAACTTCTTACTCAATCTCTCTGTTTCAGTGCAGAGTGGGGAAAGTGAAATTTCAATTCCTTTACCTATTGCTTCACTGGTTCCAAGAACGGCACCCTAAGTTAAACGACTTTTGTAAGTATGTTGAAAATCGATCCATAAATGAATTTTTGCACTCTTCGAAACTTACGGTACTGGATAATGCTTGAACAGCAATAACTTTATTGCTGAGAGCTTCAGAAATGTCGATCAAAGTCTCGTACCCAGTTCTTGCTTGGGTCGATCCAACCGCCGCCATACTAGTATTTGAACTACCACCGACTAGCTGGTATGATACAACCTCTGTTGCGCCGTTCCACGAAACGTAGCCGTTCGTAAGGTTATTGACCTGGGCAACTACGAATGATGGTGTGGTCTTTGGATATCCGTGCCAGTTTGAATAACGGTAAGCCCTGTAAGATTGGCATGCTGATGAGGCCCCAAAAGCTACATCTTGAACGATTTGTCCCCCGCTAAAGATTGGTCAAATATCCAAATTAGACACCAACAAAAATAAATTTGAAATATGGCGAAACCTTACTTACGAAGTGTATTCAGTATAGTAGTTTTCTGCTCCCCATCCGACGAGAACGTTCCCGTTTGGCAGAACGCTTACAGCACCTTGACTGCCAGCAGTCGCATTGAAGCTCGGAATGTATTCAGCAACCAAAGTAGCAGTCCATGCGGTGGTATCTAGGGCTAAGATTATGCCACGTGCGGTGGCCTCATCAGGGGTTCCTCCTCCGTTTGCGTTGTCAAAGATAGAGAGCTGGAAGGGGGAAGTGCGAATGTCTGATAACAAACGTGGCATGTGTTGGAAATAGAACGCAGCACTAAATGAATTGTAGAAGAGTTACGTCAAGCCATTCCAAACTCCAAAGGGTGGGTTCAACAGACAAGACTTGCTTACCCTTCTCCCATTGTAAAACTCGATATACCCGAAGATCCACCACCATTCAGATACCACAGTATCGACCCATCGGCACTAGCAATATTGTAGACGGTCGAGGTGCCCCTGAAGCTCACGACATAGTTTCCAGCTTGGTCCTTCCACAATGAATTAACGTGACAATAATCTAATCCGGATGTTGCGTTTGCACCGACACCACCACTGAGCCCAAACAAAGTATTGCTGATCGGAACGTGATCCGTAGCCCTCCACTCAAAGAGGACTGTGTTTGTGTTTATGTCGATCTCTTGAAAGACACAGTCAAAAATGTAACCAGCACTTGGTCCGCCCAGGGAAGAAAGATCGGCTAGTGAAAACGGAGGAGTATGTTTAAGACTGAAGCAACTTGAATATTTGCACTCTTACCTGGAGTTGAGATATACACATCTACAAGTGCCGTGTTGTTGGCAGTTATTACAAACTATTTACCACGAATGTTGTTAGATACCTTGAGAGCTTGGATCGATTGAATACGTTCAAGTACCTCATGAAAGTCAGTCTGTTGAGATCCATATCCAATTCCTTCTACTGTCTTGATAATCGTATAGGTCTCATCCATGATGACCCAGTAACCTTTACCGTAACCTGGTAAATTGAAACCCCCTAATTGACCAGCAACATTTGATGTGAGAGCAGATAAACTCATGGTAGAGCAAGAGGGGGCTTACCTTGGAAGAAGGTCAACACTGTACTTCCATTGAACGTTTGGACGTTCAAGTTCATTGAAGCTCCATACTGGCCACCAATCCAAACGTAGTGGCCATTGTTATCAACGATTGCCGGTGCCTGAGTTTGAGTGCCTCGGACTGATAGGGAGGTAGAAATGTGAAATCAGTATACCTTTGTTCAAGAAGACGCCAAGATTCTTATAAAAGAGGCACCGCGAGTGGCTCAGGGTCCATCAACGAGTTCGTGTACAAGGCTCGACTTACATGTCAAAAAGGTGTATCCAGGTGTGATGGAAGAACTGTTTGTTAAATAGTCCAAAAGTGGTGGGGTATTGGCTGCATCCGAGAGGTAAGTCTGGTATGGTGCGCTACCTATAAATGTCAAATTGTTTGGCCTTCAGATATCCAATTCTTCCACATAATTCCTATATTCAATTCAAGATGTAACGCCTGCGAGCGGATGCCGTGCCATGTAACAACCAAAACCCCACAAGTTCACATGTCATCACTCATAACGCATCGATCAAGTGCAATTTCACAGCATCTCATACCATAGGCACCACCAGCATAGGTAGCATCACCGATTAGGACTTGATCAGCATTCACAGAAAGTGGGGTAAAAGCAGTTGCAACAAGGATGGCAGAAACCATTGCGGATGAGACCAATCCAAACGGTTTAGTCAACTTAGAGAATTGCATCCTGAATGCAAGATCTAATGCAACTCGGGAATGCCTCCAAGTCGTTCCGAGGTACTTGTACAATCTGTGTGTTCAAAAATCTGGAAAGGAGCGAAAGTGCATTCATTCTTGGCAGTGGCGCGATGCCAAAAGGAGGGAATTGAGCTCCATTGACTGAACCTTGTTTGAAATATTACTAGAAGATATTCAAAAGTTAGCGATCGATAGAAACTTTGTCTGGTTTGGTGTTCAAACGTGTTTGCGTATTTGTCAAAACAATCAAGAGGACTAGTAGTTCTGTTTAAAGTCATGGCTGCGCCAACAAGATATATAAAGAAGTCATTACAGATTACATCAACATTAAATAATACACGTTAATCGGTATCCCCTCCCACCAGTGCGATTTCAAGATGGTACCCATCAGCTCCATGAACGCAGCTGAGACGTACACAGTTTTTGTTAGTAAATTCGTGTCTAGCACAGGTAAGATGCAACTCGTGTGGAGAGAACGGAAAAGAAGTCTAGATTCCGTGTTTGTTCCTCTTACCACATTGGACTAGTTAGCCATGCAGCAATACTACTTTATGACATCGTAAAGGAGTAGACGTGGACAAATTGAGCAGTAAAATGTCACTGATACAGTATAGAGATGGTGGCTCTTGCGTTTCTCCATCCAAAAAAGTCACCACAAGAAAAACGCCGCAAGTGGACGTCCAAGAGTTCTGAAATCTTCTCATGCACATCTCAAATGGGCACATTCACTGTTTTTGAAGATACGTATGTCTTCAAAAGCGAGCGAAAGTATTGCACCCATACGGTTAAATGTTGGCTTGTTAACGTTTATGTCTTTGCTGGGTATGTTTCCATGTGCGAGTTGACTGATTTAGTCTATTGGATACCCGAAAACAACGTGCAGGATTCTCCAATTATAACAACATTAAAATGTGTCCAAGGGGTCAAATTGTACTCGTTCGACGAATGCATGTTGCATCTTGTGGCGAAATCAGCAGCATTGATAAGTTGCAGTGCCATAAGTCACCCAGGATTATCAAGAACGGTCTAGACGATGCTGGCATTTATTACAAATCACAGCTTCGCTAGCATAGCTAGCTAGTAAGCTATGAATGGGACTGTCGGCGTGACTTCTGACGATCACAGAAGAAAATAAACCAGAGACAAAATTTCTCTACTATAAGTTCCATATAGTACGTTCCAACAATTGGTTTACCGAGTCGGAATGCTTGCAGTGCACATCGTCAACCAACTTAATCAAAGAAACCTATCCAACAGAAACTAGGCAAAATCCAACAAAATGTCTGAGAAGGGAAGGAGACAACGGCGTGCCAGAGAATATGACGAAGATGACAGCCGCTCAGAAGGAAGCGAAGAGTCTGCAGCCTCGCACTCCTCAACATCTCCTCGTGGTCGCGAATTTGCGGACGAAGCTCTCGAGGACAAGTTGGGAATGGCAGTCGACGCTCTCAGTGAAAAGAGAGCTACGTAAGTGGCGGCTTTTTCCTCTTCCGTTCGTTTTCTTGCTGTCGTCACCTTGTATATCAGAATCGAGACAAAAATCAAATGACTCTTTTACATATGCTTTCCTCCAATAGCACACGTGAAGGAGCTCTACATACTATATGTACTGTGCTGACACTGAAATATGTGCCGGATCTATTGGAGGAACGCATTCAAACCTTATCAGATGCCGTCAAGAAGAGCATATCCAAGTCTGGTGTTGAAGGTGATGGTGCTGCCAAAGGTAACCAAAAAGTGTGCATTTCGAAGACAACGAAGTACAACTAAGAATCAAATTTCAAACTTAGCACTCGCTCTGGCATCACTAACACTAGGACACGGCCACTTATCAAACATGTTTCAAATCATAAAGGAATTAGCACGAGATCCAGCCTTTCCACCATCCAATAAATCCGCAGTTATAGATGCTCTGGCAGTGCTGGTTCTCATGGAAGAACAAGATCCGGGTCAGAAACTGGAATGGCTGACGTTTGCTGAGGGGATATTTTCGGAGAGGAAGCAAGATGAAGGGGTGGCCAAGTCTAGTGTTAATTTATGGGGCGTGATTGCCACTGAGATTGATGTTAGATATTTGCACGATTCTTTTGATCAGTAAGTTTGCTTCACATGTGGTGAAATCATGTTGGGCATAATGTTGACCTTTTCTCTCCCGTTCGCGCTTTACAAGGTACATTGCAGCACACGAACGACTTCTATCCCACGAATCCACCGAAGTGCGAATATCAGCAGGCGAAAACATTGGAATTATATTCGAAATGATGGACGACACCGACTCAACATACGACAACAAGGACGGCCTCATTGAAAAATTAGGTGACTTGGCAGCCGACGCATCAAGACACAATAAGGGTAAAAAAGATGCAGCAAAATCACAAAGAATGGCATTCAAAGAACTATTAGCCACTATCGAAGACTCGGCATCGCCAAGCCATCGATTAACTATACGTAAAATGGAGTATACATTGACATCATGGGCATCATGGAAGAGGCTGAATCTGATAAAGTATTTCTTGAATGAGGGTTTGTCGGTGCATTTAGAACAGAATGAGCATGTACAGTCGTGTTTGAGCCTTGATGTCGTTGCTGAGGCTCCTGAAAGACCTACCGGTCAGAATAAGAGGTGAGTGTCTCTCAAACGATTTCTATATCGCAAACAGAATCACTCATTCATCATATTTCTTCTAGGGTGCAACAGCTAATACAACAAAGAGTTGATAAGCTTCGAACGAAGTCTTTATCGACCGAAAGAGATAAACGAAGCAGTTCGAGACATTTGGAGGAAGATTGATTGATGATGTAGATTGTGTGTTGGTGATTTTTATGAGTAGATATCGCAGAACATTATTATCATAACCTATTTCGTTCTAATAAAAAGGCATTGCAAGCACCTCATCGTTTGATATAATCTGAAGTTGAATTTGATTCAATGTTGAAACATGTGCTCATACACCATATCTACTGGTTGTGGTTTTACTGTTGAGCTGCGGCCTAAGATACAACACAATGTCAGAGGCAACCTAAAAATGTAATAAAATACTGTCCCACACCCATACCCTGTCACGAGCAGCCTTTCTCAACGGAGCCAATTTCATTTCAGTGGTTCCGAAAGGTATACCGAAACCTGCAATTGTATCAAATAAAGTCAGTTTTGCCTTTTTTTGGTTGTCAAACATGATATACACGTACCAACGATGACTGCCACAATGAAGTATGTGACAAACCTGCCTCGGTTCTTGACGTTGAAGGGCATAGCCTAAGAGAAAGCGAGAAGTAAATGAGCCGACCACGTCATGACATTTGGTCTGATAGCTTGACGAGTTTTCGACAATCCAACTCCTAATGACCCCAGTTCAGCGATGAGCCAAACATCAACTCTTGATATCCCAAACCATTTAAATGGGAAACCGAGTCAAATACGAATTCATGACCTCTGTTATAATATTTGACGGAGTTTCCTTCAATCAAACTCTCCAATGGGTGACGAATCAACTAGCTACGACATACTGGGTCGAGTATCAACGACCCTTCAACAATAAAACTCCCGTCCAACCCAAATGAGAGATGACTCAAACATATCGGCAATCGTCGCGACCCAACAGAGGAGTCCAACGCAACAAAAGAGGGTAGAGCTATCATCCATTCCGAGTTTACATACCCCAGCACCCTTCCAGTTGGCTCCTCTAATAAGCAGACAAAGCAAACAGTCAGTATTTGCGCTCTCTCCCAAAATGTAAAATGTGACAAAAATTGATGTCCTTTTGGCTCTAGCCCTCTTACTCGTAAGACATGGGACCCCTACATAGTAAAAATGAATGGGTTTAGTGAACAGATACTAGACAATGTCTCCCGGGGCTAGTTCAGATAGCTGTTTTGTTGCCCCAAATGCTTTTTCCAAGAAACCAACTTTTTGACTACATAACAACTAATTTACCATGGTCCGGCGGCGTGGCCACTGCTTCTCAGAGTACGAGCAGTAGAGAATGCTCGGCGAGCGATGATGGAGTTCATTATTACTGTTTCTTGGGTATTGATGTTGCTTGGTTTTGACTCTGAGGCAGAACGTCGACAAAACGTCGACAGATAGGGACAACAGGAGAGCCTGTCGACGTGATAATCGCGTGTAATAAATATGTCCAATCTCCAATGACTTATTTACAAGCATTCACGGATTCAAAACCTCGTTTAACGCATGTTGTTGGCTATGTGTTCTATGTATGTCTGTGTCAGGCCGTCAGGCCCACGATGAGGAAGGACAACGCCAGAACGATGGAAGGTTCCAAAGCTTCTCGTTGTGATACCCCGTGGCTCCTACATCGTCTAATCACGTTTAAAAACACGTCCAAACAACCATCCTCGTTTTGTTGACCACATAGTTCCACGATCACAAGCTGAATGGAAGCGCCTGGCTTGAAAAGCTATTCTACATCGCGTGCTAGCTATCCGGCTTCAAGCGTACTAAGTTTGTGGTCGTGATAATTCCTGCGTCGAAGGATCAAATATGTCCTCTTATCACGTTTCAAAGCTTCCGCAACGACTTTGTTTTCTCGAAAACTTTCCGAGATAGTAAGCAAGGCAAAAGCAAAAACAGGGGCTCGGTTCTTGATACCAACATCACGTTCCACAGTCAAACCTTTTGCAACACGATCCCTCTATTCTCGATGTGTTGCAAACTGTCTATGTCCAAGTATCTACAATGGTTTGAGTGGAAGATAATATACAGGGATTCCTTAGTCGTCCTTGTCCAGGTGGGCTTTTGAGCTAGTCACAAAGTTTCAATGAGCAACCAAACACTTGTGCAATAGACGAAGACGCAGCTCCTAACCATGACAAGCGTTCAATTATGCTGGGCTACTCAATAGCCTTGTCCAGGCGGTGGCATCGTAGTCTAGTTTGGCAAAAGGAACGAGGTCAATTTGAGCGTGGCCCAATTTCCGAGTGACAACCTTCTGCACCCATTCCACCGTACAGATTCACTACCTTGAGTTTAACGGCATCATTCCTAACAGCCATAATCTTGTCATAAACAGGTTCCAGAGCAGCCTTGACACGATCAGCGTCCATTCGTGATGCCAGGAATTCGTCCGATTGTAGCGATGGAACATCTCTTAGAGTAGTGTCAGCAGCTATATGATATGATAATAAACGTGATAAGGCGTCATCGTACGATGTGAACTTCTTTTGTGATGGTATTGGCTGCTGGATGCTGTTGATGTCTCGGTTTAAAGCTTGATGCATCTTTGAGTTAGATGGTATGGGAGGATTATTTTGGATGGATTGCTGCTGGTGAGAGGGTGGATGAGTGGATCCTCGCTGGGCATGCATTTCCTATATTACCTATAAGTGATCTATCGTTAAAATGTGAAATGTTCGATTTTGTTGATACTGACGATGAAGCTAATAGATTTCAAATAAAGAAAAAGGACGGAAACGAAGACAAATATTTTCATTTCATTGAACCACGCGTAATTCACGCAACAAAGCTCGTGCCGCAAGCTGTTTGATGCAACTCGTGTTTCTCCCTTACCACTCGAAACAATATTCAGCAGCAAAGAGTTATTTTCGCATAGAAGTCTACTTGTCAGGTATGTCAATATATGTGCGGCACTCTCTTCATACTTGCAGTCAACATGTTAACTTATTCACCAGTCTCTTTCGCATCTCCAGAACCGCCAATTCAAAACATGTCGACAGAAGGAGCTTCCGCCATATTCGAGGAATATCAAAAGGAATATGATACTGTCCATGAATCCATATCCCAGAAACTCGCTTCAGTGCCCTCCGTCGCTGCTGGTAACTGTTACATTGATCACACATATATGTGATCAACAGACACACAACTTGATGCATTACATATATTAACTCGCTCTCAATCTAGAACAGAAGAAACTGCTAGTCAGCCAGACGAAACGAGAATTGGAAGAAGCTGATGAGATTGTAAGAACAACCGTTGTCACATAAACACCTAGCAGAATAACGACTCAAGTAATCTTCCATATTAGATCTCACAAATGGAAATGGAACTCTTATCACTACCGGGCCCAATACGATCTCGTCTACAACCACGAGTCAAATCATACAAGGATGAAATCAAGAAATTCGAAAAGGAATTGGTAATTGCCTTTTTCCTATGAGCGGATACAAATGTCCTTGTTTTTGGCTTGCCCTTTCTAAGCAAAACACCCTCACCTATACAGAATCGCACAACTGCAGTATCAGGCAAATCAGAACGTGATCAATTACTAGGAACTGGCGGTTCACATATCGTGGATGTTGAAGCTGCTGGAATGGATCAACGATCACGATTGTTGCAAGGAACTGAAAGGTTACAAGGCGCTAGTCGTAAATTGGATGATGCGAGACGTTTGGCTCTTGAAACTGGTATGCGATGTGGTGGTGACCTGCTTTTCTGGTCAGCTGTATATTGCCAACTGCTCATGAGTACTTTGATTCTCACTCGTACTATACAGAAACAAGTGGTATCTCAACTTTAGAATCACTGAGTCGACAACGAGAGCAGATTCAACGAACACGCAACACTGTACGCATTAGACACCGGAATCTATCAGTTTTTTTGCCCGCACGCAAAAAAATGCTAAATTCCTTCTTTTGCATTCTAGTTGACGACTGCCGATGGATTCATCTCGAAGAGTCAGGGTATCCTCCGAGGGATGCAGAGAAGGTGAGCCCTTTCGTGGTGACATTTTGTGTTGGTTCTTGCTTTTTTTGTGCTTTACTCACATCAACATCTTGTAGGATGGCCACCAACAAACTCATCACCGCAGGCATCATCATATTGATGATATTACTCATCGTGCTTATTGTTTGGGCCAAATGGTTTTCATAGGAATGAGAAATCAAACATTATATCATCTGTCTCTTGCTTTCTCTCTTTTAACCCCCCTCGACCAAAAGCTCTTTGTGTATTTGAGTCTTGATTTTGTATATTTGTTACTTTTGTTGTTGGAAAAAGATAACGAAATGCTCCAAAACCAAGAACAAGTTATGCAATATGTCTTTTCGGTTTACACTTCCCCACAATCTGTGATGACGACTCGTTTTGATGGTTTGCCAGATGAGTGTCCAACACGTTCCATTGAACGTACTATTTCTAGACCTTGCGTTACTTCTCCGAATACTACATGTTTGTTATCTAGCCAACTTGTCTAAAGTGGACGGAAGATGTGTGAGTTCGGCCGTGAGAATAATGGGTGGTTCCTTTTGTCCTACCGCTGCCAGTGTAATGAAGAATTGCGAGCCATTCGTGTTTGGACCAGAATTTGCCATGGATAAAAGCCTATGTTTGACAGGTATGAGTAAATTAACAGCAGCTAATCATTGGCTTCTGATAGGTATCGATTGTATTTACCCTGGGCCTGTGTGTTTGCTTAAAAAAGAGGAGGAAGGGTAAGCACTAAATCTAAGACGACACAACAAAAAACAAACAGATCTGCTTAAACAACTTACAGTATGAAGTTCTCATCAGCAAACTTGTCTCCATATATCGACTTGCCACCAGTTCCATTATGTTTCGTGAAATCACCACCCTGACACATGAATTGAGGAATGACTCTATGAAACGTCGAGCTCCTAAATCCAAATCCTTTTTCATGCGTACACAGCTGTCTAAAGTTCTCTGCTGTCTTGGGACATATATCAGACCTCAACTCCATTATGATACGTCCTTGTGGAGTCCCGGATATCGATATATCGAAATACACTTTCGGGAGGGATGATGATGATGCTTTTGTTTTCGTCTTTTTAGCAGGTGGTTGTTGTTCTTGTTCGGTATCTTGGTCTGGTTGAGTGACTCGTTTTGCGGCTGCTGCGATTTTAGCTTTTCCATCTTCATTGTCCTCAGTATCATCGTCTCCTACAACTTCATCATCATCAGGAGCACCCCCACCAGCATACTTTTTGAGCCATCCTTCATCAGACCATACAGCTTTTGAACCAGGCAAGAATGCCGCTCCCTTCATTGGTTTTGCTATATTTACACGGATGACTTTGCCATGCATTTCAGCCATATTCATGTTGTCTATTGCTGCGGATGCATCTACTGCTGATTCGAATTCGACAAATCCAAAGCCTCGGTGTTGGGCATCTACATATTTTTGAATGTGAGTTAATGTGTGTGAATTATGAGATATTTCGACTTGAAAGCTGACAATCCCACGAATGAAATGAATATTTCTTACGAGAGGATGGATCTGGAGGGAGTTGCACTTCGACTATATCACCGAATGGTATGAATGCTGCATACAATAAGTCTTTTGTGACATTGTCGTCGAGTCCACCTGCAGGAGATAAAAGGCAAGTAAGCAATGGTCTCAATTGGTGCGTGGGAACGCCTGCATACCTATAAATATGGTGCTCTTGTTCTTCAAATTCGCGTTGGCCATGTTTTCAATGGTTTTGGATGTTTGGTGATGGTCGCAGTGACCAATATGATGAATGACGCGGCAGCTATTGAGTTTGTCTACCTTTTATATTGAAATCCACTTCGAAGTTTGCTACCAAAGCTCACAATTTCGTCTAGAACGTCTGGATCTAAGCTGACATCAAACACAAGGTCTATAGTCCAAGCACCACACGTTGCGTTGCATGGATCAAGAATACAAACATGGCCAATCACGATAGCTTGAAGCTACTAATGCTAGTATTCATCGCATTCCTAACATGCATTTGTGTATACCTATCACAAGCAAATGGCCAGCTGCAGCACGATATAAACCAAATATCCGAAGTCAGAGGCCACATACGAGAACAACTCGTCAAAGCGTCAAAATCCAACATCCTTTTATCTCGCAAACTGAATACTACTCAAAACGACTTTCTGTACGTGCAGCAGCAATCCAAGGTTGTGAATGGACGGAATCGTAACAAGCAGGGACTGGAACTGCAATTGTCGGAAGCTCAGACGAGGTTGGAAGCTGTTAGAGCTGATTGTGAGGGTAGTAAACAACAGTTACGGAATGAATTGCTGGGTAGTATTCCACAGCCAAATACTAAGAGGGCACAGATTATTACGTGGGTTGGGAGCGATGGTCTTGACAAGTTACGGGAATTAGTTGGTGTGGGTATCAATTCTCGTGCTCTCTTTTTGCTTCTTTTGTTTCTAAGTCCTGCAAAAAAATACCTAATACACCTTGCCTATGTGAACTCACATAAGCATTCCCCTCCTAGTCCATACACCTACTCAGCACCGACCACGTAATACCATTAACAGTATTCGGCTATAACATATCATCACGACACCAAAAAGAAATCAAACTATGGCGTAACGTAGAATTACTCAATGTATCGGAGCTCCTACTGTTAGGGCCCCACAATCTAGCCAATCCACAGCAACTTTCCGACGGCTCATTATACACCGATCCAGCATCCTTCCTAACAGTACTAGACTGGGCTATGCAACACTATCAGACAGTAATATATATCCGCAACGACATACACTTTGAGAATCGACAAGGATTGATTCAAATGCTTGGTGAAATGTCTAAAGAATCATCGTTTATCGGACGTCTTGATGGGCAAGACTCAAATGTATTATTGTCGAGATTTGCCATATTAGGGTTTCTGACTGGTTCACCTGCTTATGAAGCATTGGTTGAATCAGCTATAAGGTGTCAGAGGGGGTATCAGTGTCCCCCAAAATTTCGGGAGGCGTTGGACGTGAAGCAGATGGATATACTCAGGGCTGCTAAGGATGTGGGTGGCTATGGTGTCAAGGCACATGAAGGGCGAGAGTCATTGTTTTGTTATACGCTGCTACGAGATGACGTGCTGTATAATTTTGATTTGGGTGTGAATGGGTCTAGGTTGGCTGGAATGGAGACGCTAGAGGCTGTTAAAGATAGTGGTAGTAAAACCAAGATTGCTATCTTGATGGCAGTAAAAACCGGACTGGATGAATCCGTCTCGGACATATTGCCAATCCAAATATTTTTGCCTTCCTTCATCAAGACTATATCAGACGACGAACGAGTGAAATATCACTACTCCGTATATATAGGTTATGATGACGGTGACATTGTATTTGACAATTCGCCGGCTCGTGAAGTTGCACTGGATCGCATGAAGAGTATCATATCGGGACTTGATGCAACTATAATGCTTGTTAAGTTTCCGGAATCTATGGGCTGGGTAACCATGATTTGGAATGGATTGTTTGTACAAGCTATGAAGGATGGATGTGATTATTTCTTCCAGGTTAATGATGATTTGGTGTTGGAGACTGTTGGATGGACTACCCTCTTCGTGAATGCGCTGGTTGGCAATGATAATCTTGGTGTCGTTGGTCCTTATGTGAGTGCTTGGAGCTTTTAATAACGGTTTATCTATCGAGATGAGACGTTTTTTTCTTCGTTCTCACATTTCAAATTATAGGATTCTCGTCACGCAGGGGACTTGCTAACCCAATCCTTTGTCCATCGGAAACACTATCACATATTTGGATTCTACTATCCAATCGCAATCAAGGACTGGTTTTCTGATAACTGGATTTCCAATGTATATGGCGCTTCACACACTTTCAAGAGTGACGTAGTCACTGCTGCTAATCAGAATGCTCGTGGGACACGGTATCGTGTGTGTGATAAACCGAAATGGGAGGACGCGCTGAAGAACGGGAGAGATGTTTTAGCATCATGGTTGGAGAAGCAGGATAGGACTTGATTTGGTTGTCGAATATAGCCTAGGTGGATTAAGTGGTGTTTATGAATCATGTAGCATGTGTATAATTGTGGTAATCATAGGGTGTCCAACATGAACGCTTTTTGTTGTAATTCAGTGCCTTGGCCCTCTGCGGCGTTCAAAGATCGTTTTAGCTGGCTTGTGATGTAAGTCTAGAAGAGAAAGAAGTTCGTTGGAGTTTCGAATGCCGTGTTGCGGCACTTTTGCATCGGTTTTATGTTTTAGCATTAACCTACCAGCCGAGAAAATGAGGTCTACTGTCAAAGAACTGTCGCTATATATTCACTGTGAGCGCAATCAATTGAAGTCATCTTCGAGTACCAACACAACTCTTTCTATATAGTTCCATACTGTCGTGTATGCCAAAAAAATGCCATTAGTTTCGGGGCACAGCAGATCTGACTAGGTTTTAACTAATTAGGCCAAATGCTCATTTTGCGCATTCAACAAGTACACTCTACCTTCCACGTGAGCAATAATCTAATCCTCTGGCCGTAAATACATAGACATCAAAACCTCCAACATTTTCAAATTAGTGGAATAAACGAGACATTACTTCTTGACGCATACAAACGAGAATTTGATTGGTTTCTACGAGATTACAGTGCTGGTGGCACTGCAGTGAAAATTTCTTCGATCTATTTTGGAGGTGGGACACCTTCTTTGATGCAGGTATTTTTAAGAGACAACAGTGAAGTTGGGTGATGTCGGTGTGAAGACGTTACATTTTGACATGATGACATCAATCTAGCCTTCAACTGTGGAATCCATACTGAAGGATGTAGCGAGTAAATGCAATGTGGATCCCAGGAATACGGAAATTACTCTTGAAGCTAATCCAACTGTGAGTTTGGTCAATTCAAAGCAACTCCTATAAATTTACCAAGTAATCCTTTTGCCGACTATGTAGTCAGTGGAAACCGCTCAACTACTCGGTTTCAAGCACGCCGGAGTGAATCGCCTTTCGTTGGGTATTCAAGCTCTCAATGATGAAGACTTACATCTTCTGGGACGCGATCATGATGTGAAGGATGCCCGAAAAGCGATACATGTAAACGTTCGAGTGGTCTCATGAGCAAAAAAATATTTTCTGAATTTGGGATATAGGCAGCACAAAATACTTTTGAACGAGTTTCACTTGACTTTCTTTGGGGTAGACCAAGACAGACTCTGAATGGTTGGAAGGACGAGCTGCAAGAAGCCCTGAGCTTTGGAGCTGAACACTTGTCGATTTGTACGAGAGTCGCGTTGTTTCACGGACAAAAGTCCTGATCAAACGATACTACTGACACTGGTTTTTTGTCTAGACCAACTCATCTTGGAACGAGGAACACCAATGTTTGACATTCACGCCGAAATGCCAAGTCTCTGGCAGTCAGAAGACGTACAAGCTAAAATGTATTCCACGACCGTTGAACTTGCTCGTTTGTTTGGGTACAAGCAGTACGAAGTTTCGTCATTCGCTAAATCGGCTGACGCAGAGAGCAGGCATAATAATGGGTACTGGTTTGGACGAGATTATATTGGGATTGGACCTGGTGCTCATGGAAGAGTCACGAGTATGAATGAGAGGTATAGGACTGCTTGTATACGGTCACCTAGTCAGTGGCAGACGCAATGTGTGGATTCTGGAAATGGGTAAGCTGCCTATGAGTTGACAGCACACCTGCATTGGTTGTTTCAGCACCAATTCCCATGCATCAATGATTTTTGCAGGGTTGCAACCAAAGTACGAATGTCTGACAAAGAAGTGGGACGAGAACTGGTAGCTCAAGGACTACGAACTATACGTGGAATCACTTTGGCAGGGATTTCGAAACTGTTGCCTGAGACACCTATAGAGGATTTGCTCGATGTTGAAAAGCTTAGAGGGCTGGCGGAACAACAGTTCGTGAGTATAGTGTTTGATGCAGATCGGAACGTTAGGGCTGTAAAGTGTACAGAAAGGGGACTTATAGTGTTGGATTCTATACTGCAACGTGTTTTGTTGTAAACATGTCGTGAAATGGTGGATGCAACAACAAGTTACGTATCATAGTATATTTATCGAACACTGCAGTGGAGGCTGTCCTCAGGAAAGATCAAAGCTATCGAGCTTGTGTGGTTTTCTTAACGTGTCGATAGCAAATCATGTGTTTTCACGTACTTCCAGATCAGTTCCACGACTCATGAGGGATTAAACGGTGCAATAAATGTGTTATGTTGATGATCTGATTCGTTTCACCTCCGTTCTTGCGTTTCTTGGTCATTCAAGAAAGTCCAACGCTGAAGTTCTTGAAACTTGAAACTTGGAGACGATAAGGCCAAAAGCAGCTCATTTTTGACGGTAGATCTATAGGAAAGCATCATATACACGTGATTACGGTGTCAAATCACCAGGCTGAGCGGTCTGTCGCCTTGTACGGCTTACTATTGTCGCCAAACGCCCAAAGTTGACTATTGGCAACAACCAGTTTATTTGAATCAACATCAGATGAACAAGAGAGTTGAATACTAGCGTAGCAATACGTTGAATGTGGACTGGATATGGACTGGATAAACTCCTTGAATCAGAGAATTAGATCTCAACGGTCAAATGCTTCACTTCACGTTAGGAATCGAAGTGATGGTATATACAACTGTCATCTTGTTTGATCACGCCTAATTTTGTACAAGTTGGAATCTGTTCACGGATCTAACTACTCTCGTCTTTCAGCTGGAAATCCACCACTCTCTTCAACATCAGACCTCGACAATACCACTTTCTCGCCCAACCCCTCAACGTCAAATCCAATAGCCGAAGCTCCTCCAGAAATAGTACCAATAACGTCACGTCACTCGACTGTCAGAATATCTATATCTGCGTGCTGTGCACTGAGTTTAATTGATGGGAGCTTCAATGAACACAACGACGAGCTACGTGTTCTGTTTGATCAGGGACAAGATCTGAATCCATACATGGCTCGATTTGCTGAATTGTATGGTGGTCCAGAAATAGATCCTAGCTCTGAAGGCGTGTTTATAAACCGTACCGTGATACCTCTTCGTAAAACCAATAGTAGCATTCCCAATCTAGCACAGCAGCAGATTGATAGGTCCTCCAGCCTCCCAGTCGAAGGTCATCCTCACGATATAATAGTAGCTACTCTAGAACTATTGGATCAACACATAGCAGGTGTCTTGACGGATATATCAAATATCCAGAGTCTGCTTCAGTTGACTGAGACATACCAGCATCTAGAAATATTAAGTCGATATGAAGCTGATAGGGATTGTATCATTCGACACGGCGGTTTACGCAAATTGAGTGATGTGCTTGCGGCTATTTCATCACATCTCAAACAATCACATCTTGAAAATGGACCTGAAACGGAGGCCATGACCAAATTAATGTATATTTGTATATATCTAGCACGAATGTGTTTTGATCCTGATGGTCGATTCGGTGTGTATGTAGCTACGAGTGGACGAACAGTTGTCGTTGAAAGTCGTCGACCATCCACGTCACTTATTGGACGAGCTACGAAATTGGATTCGGATACTTATAGCATGGTTGAAGCTTTATATGGATTGTTGATTTCTGTAAACAATCACGAGATGCCATGGAGTATAATGAAAACACGAATAATGGAAACGCTGGGTAGCATTATAGCTTCAGACCCAGCAGTGACGAAACGATCATTGGTTGAACGTGATATAGTAGACTCGCTGCTGATTTCTATCGCATGGCCGTCATGGTTGCTGGAAGCGAATGTCGCTCCTGCTACACTTCGAGCTGAATTCAGGAATCAAATACTGGCTTGGCACCTTGTTCATTTTTTGTCAAGGACAAATCCAGCATGCAAGGAACGTATTGTTGCTCTTGGTGGCTATGCTCGATTGACTGCTTTGGTATCTTGGACTTCGTATTGCTGCTCAGAATTGGGTCCTAATTTTGGATCGGCTGGTAGCGAATACAAGGGGTTTCAAGATGTCAGTAGTTCCAAAAGTCTGCCGGACGTAAGCTTTATGAGAATTATAAGTATTTGGAAATTTAGACTTAAAGTGCTAATCCTGTTGTACACGTAGGATACTGCTCCTGCCGTAGAGTCAACAACTTTACCAGATTACGAGAAAGAATACATAAAATCACGCAATGTCTTGTCAGAAAATCCGCCAGAATATATCCCTCATGCCCTTCCACCTCCCTTAATGTCACATTCGCTAGGACTCCAGTCACCTGAACTCTCCCTCATATTCGCCACTGCTCTAGGATGTTGTATATATCATAGCGAGCCCTTACCTGGATTAGCAGGTGCCATGTCTGCTGCCGGAGGCAGTCGACGATCACTTGTAGCAATCGAAGCTTCTCAGGAAATTGGTAGAACAACAAGTCCTGATGGAGCAAGAGGACAAGGCATGTCTTCTCAAATAGAAAGCTTTCTACGTCCCTTGTTTAAAGCTGTTGGTGCAAGCTTTATGGCAGGACTGGGATCTTCCATGTCGATGGGATTAGATGAAGCACCATATTTAGGGCCGGAAGAATTGAGATTTATAACACTTGGCAGAAGTACTCCAATCAATAATCCTGAGAGTCTCTTTCCGACTTTCAATGTAAATATTAGTAGCATTCAAGCAGAGATACCACCTGTTGCAAAACCTGTACCTCTTCCACGTCTTCAATTCGCATTCATAGAGTTTTTAGGTGAATTACTCGCTGATCCACCAGAGACGGTAGATATAGATGACGAGTCGCTGTTTCGACTTCGAGGATGGATTCTCAAATGGATGGATATATGTAAATTATGGGAGACTTTATTTAGTAGCCCCTGGTTTTACTTTTGGGGTGATGAGCATGAGAACACGCACTCGCTGTATGCTACAAAGCTCAGACAGTGTATCATGAGATTCGTGGAGTATATGGCCACGTTGCCTGACTTTGATAATCAGCATCCAGTTGGAGCTCTTTTAGGGCTTATGGAAAAATACTATCCAAGTCAACCTCCTATAGTACATCAAGCATCAAAATCGCTGAGATTTATTCTCACTCACAAACGTCTGATAACGCAAGAGTCGTTGAGACGCATTGAGAGTCTGACTATCATTACACCCTTACTGGCGAAAGTTACATCGAATCCTAGTGATATGCAATGGGCTGTATTGGGTCTCTTGGATGCTATGTTGGCTGGTTCTAACAAGGATATGGCCATTTACATATATGCAGACAGATCGACTTTGAAGCTCTTGTTCAAGTTGGCAGTTGGTCCTTCACGAACTGTAGCTCAAACTGCCTTGGCCAGAGTGTTGGATTTGATTGCGATAGTGCCATTAGAGTATGTTGGTTGAGTGGCAAAAAAAGCACAATACAGTCATCAAATGCTGACATCTTTTGTTCAACAGATATCCTACATATGGTGTAGGAAGAGCGTTCCCTCCACCAATATCGGGTCAACCACCATCTCCATCTCAACCAGAATCTGGATCAGATACAGGAATTGACTTGCTTGGATTCTACTTTGTCTGTTTCCAACCCGAAATAGCAACCCAACGACAATTAGAAATCCAGTGCTCATTGTTAGGTGGTATAGGGACATTGTTGATGAAATATCGAAATGATCCATCAAAGTCAAATGCCATGCGAGCCACTTTATTGAAGTCCCAGGTTTTCGAGCACTGTCTGGGTGTGCTCTCATCACGCATACCGATCGAAATGGGTGAAGCTGCCTTCCATAAATTGACTGGCGAGGCAATCAAGACGATTGCGTCAGTCATGAGTGGATCTAAAGAAGCCAGAAAGACATTCAAAACAATAGTAGGTTTTGAGGAAATCAGAATCCGTCTATTTGTAAAAGGATCTTGGGTAGCATGGGATGGTCTCCTTGATGGATTGATGGGACTAGCTCTAGATTCCACTGACGGCTTTGAAGCCGTCCATGACAATCCCATTGTCCGTAACGTCGACGCAGCACGAGCACTATTCTCATTTTATCCTCATCTTGGAAGTGAGCTCCAGGTCGCATTCTTGACACGATTGACAAGACTTGCTTCCTCCCACGAAATGAATCGAGTGATTTTATGTCAGGCTGGGACTGTTGCCAGGCTGGTTAAAGAAGTCATTCCAAAGTCGACGGATTTGGAATCTTTGGAACGGGCCATCGAGCTGTTGGAAGTAATTGGTGCTCATAATGTATTGGTAGCTGAAGTTAGGTTGATGCTTGCGAGCTTGAAAGCTCAGCCTATTGCTAGTACTCCAGTGTATCGTGCTCCGAGACATAGACGACCTAGTAATCTCCTTGGATCTCGGGATACGTCTTCTGAGGTAGCATTCGTGTTTCGGGCTCCTTCGTAGTAGAAATTTCCATACAAGACTGTCGTGTTTTTTGGCATTTTTCGACGCTTGACATTTCAATGCTTTTAGGTGCTACCATTTTACTACGATCGAGTGCTCAAAGCGATGGTCAATATTGCGCAACGTCGCGAATATGATTTGGACTCGTTCTACTTTTCTGGCAAGTTTTCTGGTTTGGTGCTTCCGCCATTGCAACGCTGGCCAACAAAGGATGGGTTTACCTTTATTACGTGGTTTAAACTTGAAGCCACTGGATGGGGTCATGAGCCTGAAGTAGTATCAGAACCACCAATGTCATCACCACCATTATCGCCAGGACAATCTCGTAAATCCTTCTTTGGATCTGGTCGATCGAGAACTAAAAAGTCTGATAATAATAGTGGTAGTGGTAGTAAGAGGTTGTCAACGTTAAAAGTCAGCACTACTAGTCCTCAGTCAAGTAGTAGCAATATTGCAAGCCCGACCTCTCCAGCATCTGCTACTCCATTATCACCAATTATGCAAGCAGCTCAAGCTCCACGAATATTCTCCTTTTTGACACCAGCTGGTGCAGGCGCCGAGCTTTACGTCATAGATGGAACCCTAAGATATACTGTAACGACAAGGAATGGTAATGTTAGCAGTATAGATTTGAGTGGTGTCAAATTGTTGACTGGGCGATGGTATTTCCTCGCTCTTTGCCATCCAGCTCCTAAACGACCATGGACAAGTCATAGTGAAGTACTTGTATACATGAATGGTGCTATACGTCACAAGGAAAAAATGGATTTCCCAGATTCCGACTTGCATTCACAGTGTCGCGTTGGGGCTTCAGCTAGGATGCCTCATTACGATACGCCCGATGCATTGCCCAACGCATGCCATCATTCCTTCCCAGGCCAAATGTCGTGTATAAGTATTTTAGAAGACGCATTACCAGTAGAAAAGCTTCATCATATATACGCACTTGGTCTTGCACGGTATTCATCGACTTTGGAAGATATTGCTATTTATCTTGAGAAGGAGACTAGAGCTTCCGAGTCTAAAGGCTGGGGTAGATTTACTATGGCGTTGCATCCGTCATCCGCTAAATGCCATACCGACTTGTTTGAAGGTGGATTAAAGTCAGACGACGAATATAGTGGAATAGTATATGACCTTATACGCAGTGGTGGACAGGCTAGTAATGCAACGAAGCTTTGTAAAGCTGTTATTTGCTCATCGAGATCCATGCGTACGGCTCTACGAGCTCTAGGAGGGCCAGAGATATTACTGCCAATCTTTTATAATTTGGATCTTCCAACTCCCAATGTCTTGTTTGAATCCGATGCAACACGTGAGACTGGTCAACTGAAGAGGTCATCGGCTGGTCTAGCACTCTTTGCTGCCACCCTTGATGGTGATAAGGATGCTATTGAGAGGTTTACGACCAATAGGACAGCCAAGACTTTGAGTATAATATTACAGGTCCGCTCGTCAAAGCATCTAGATATGAGCTTGCTGGATTCTATAATGAATGTAGTTAAAGTCGTGTCTGGATCGGATCCAGAACCAATGACGGAAGTGTTGGGTGCGCTTGTATTCGAGTCACGATTATGGGGTTCCTCCAAACCACATATACAGAATGAACTATTAGTGTTTTTAAGACACTATGCTCAAGGCCCAGAAAGACGTTTATGTCGCTCACGCTTTGGAGTATGCCATTTTCTTGAATGGCAAGAACGATGCTATCCTTATACTCCAGTAAATCCTTCACTCCCTGACCTTCGTCCACAATATGAAGATATGAAAGCTCTTCGCAGTATCGTGTGGTCTATATGTATCGATTACCTCTCGCAGGGAGCAACGCAGGACGAAGTTGCGAAATTAATGGCTGTATTATTCGGATCTACTATGGACTCAGACCCCGTGCATGTCTATGAAGTATTCGATACGATTGTTAAAGCTGCTGCAGAACCTGTTAGTGGTGTTGGTGAAATGTTTTTGGCTGCTAATGGAGCCGAGTGTATTGTGCATTTGTTAAGGAGTGAGCAAAGAGAAGAGTTGAGGTTGCTTGTGCTTGATTTTGTGTTGGTGTTGATACGAGGCCAGAGGAGTTTGGACAAGTATGTTGCCTTGGCGTAGTCATTTAGCCTTCGTCGTTTTGACACCGGTTTGTTTTAGGTGGAAGAAACGGCTGAGGTTTGAAGACATTGGTGGCGTTGGACGATTGTTGATGGAAAGGGGACATTTGCTATCAATGCAAATCTATCGATCTCTGATAACTTTGGTATTGGAAGACCCAATGACGCGTGGTTCTGAAGTAAGGCCACATAGCTCATTTCTGGTGATCATTTTTTCGCGGAGCCAACCTAACTTAACTAGAAATTGGATTTGGAGTCCATGAAGGTACCAGTACTACGGAATGCATCTGCGCTGTATTCAATATGGGAATTGGCAGCTCGACCTCAAGTAGAGGAAGGTGTCAGAATTCAAGTGTTGCGAGATGGTCTGGCACTAGGTCGAGCCAGTAAAGCCAATGCAGAGAGAATACGGGCTCGTCCTGGATGGCAACTCCTTATATTATCTATGGTTCCTATACCCAACGATTCAGAACGACCATCACTCTCGTCTCGCCGATCTAGAACCAGTACTTCAGATAGAGGTCCTGCTATCACATCCCTAGACGATGAGGAGACTCTTTTAGAATTGGCCGAAGAGCTAGTGTCTATGCTTATTCTCGACTCGTTTGATTTGGATCGTAAAGGTTGGAGGTTTGCTGAAGAAATGGTTGCTTTAATGTGGGCATCTCAAAGATCAGATGGTCTGTCTGTTATACGAAGAGTGCTTGGAAGATTGCTGAACGATTTATGTGTGCAACTTCGATCTTCTGCTAATGGTGCTTTGGGGTTTTCAACCATTAAGATGGTAGGTCATACTTAATTTGGGCGTCTAAGTGTGCCCGTTACTCATGATCGTCTATTTTTTGCAGGACAATGTGTTGCATCTACTCTTCTTGGCAGAGGATGTCATGTTTCATCATGAAGGGTTGCATGAATCTCTTGTTCAAGAGATGAGTCCTCCCGAGTCTCCTGGATCTGGCGGTGTGGAGCGCTCAATTTCATATACATCCCTCTCTTTCTCCGGTATGCGTGCGTGGTTTCTTGTTCTTTCTTTTTGCATTTTGGAATGTGACCTTTTATTTCATAACTTAGATACAGACGTTCAGATTGATCAACCCTCAGGAATAATGGAAGAGAAGCAGAGCAATCCAATGCACGAATGCGCTGATATGGCTGCAGATTATCTGGATCTGTTGACAGGTCTTGTGGAGTATGGAATGCCTATTGTTGGAAGTCTTGGTGATAGTGTCGAAAAGGTATGCTTGACCGTCTTCAATTAACAGATGAGGGGACGATTTCTGGTGGTTCCAAAAATCGTGATTTACCATCGATTTCGATTAGGAAAACAAACAGAAAAGCGGTGTAGTGCGTTTAGCTCTACGAGTCTTGATGGGTGGTCTTGTACCTCCAAGCGAAAAAGCTTGGAATATTGCCATTCCACACCTCATACCTATTTTAGAACGTCATGGCACGCTCTTTGCTGAAGTTGAATCTCGAGCTAGAGTGTTGAATGTGACTGGCCAAATGCATGATGCCTTTTTACAGTAAGTTGTAACCATCCTAACGGCCTTCGAATTTCGCAGGAATTTTCGAGACATTGTGACTTGTTTTAAGCTCAAATTTGAGGTCTCTTTGAATCACAAAAACTCTGACCTGACACGTAGTTTTACTTTTTTTGTTTTAGAGCCAATGATGTATCAGATCACGATCACCATCTCCCTTCCTTCCAAGTAATCTTACCTGTATACATGCTGATGATCACACGTTGGAGGCAGATACTGTTGTCTCTGAAAGATGAAAACATGAACCCACTGCTCTCTGAGTCAGTGTTGAGTGATGCTGAAGCCAATCAACAGAAATTCTTGCAGATGGTTGTCTCTCCTCCGTGGAAATCCATGTATGAACGACACTTCATACCATCAATGAAGATCGTCGCTGAAGAACTAGGAGCAGTGCTGCCAGCAGCCTTAAAACGGCACGCCAAGATGGCACGAATTGCTGTAGGTCGAGCTCGTAAAGAAGACTCGACAGTCGCTCATAATCGAGACCATCTCCTTGCAGCTGCAGATTCAACAATACGTAAACGTCGTGACGAGGATATACTTGCTTCATCTGATCGTGCTAGCATGATTGATGCAGACAAGAGAACACTCCAACGTCAATGGGCAATTATGTATCGTAACCTCTCAGGTGAACGTGGTGTTTGGTCGAGTCCAGAGACGAGTCCTCGTAATTGGAAATTGGATGCTTCTGAAAACTCGTCGCGAATGCGACGAAGGTTGGCACCAAACCCAGAATTCGATGATCATCGAGAAGCTGCTGCTAGACGAGACAAGAAGGAAACAGGAGTTGATTCTCCACGACCACGAGCAAGGACTAGTAGTAAACCAGTACCTCCACCCGATAAGCTTAAAAGTCAAATGTCGTTTGAATCAGGAGAGATGCTGTTGGCTGCTGAAGTACAATCACCCGTCGGCAGTCTTCATGGCTCCGAAGCAGATATACCTGCTGTAGTGGGCGAAGAAGATGAAGGATGGTCAATCATAAACGATGATAATATGTCCGTCACATCGACTTTATACGGATCCGAAGCTGGTGAACGTGTCGTTTGTGGAGCCGAGTGTGAAATAATTGCCATGATGAGTACCGTCAAAGGTCGTTTTGAAGTTACAGCAACACATATATACTTCCAGATGGAGGCAAGATCAATATTATCTTCTACCGAAGATACCCAAAAGTTTATAGATCAAGAACTGTTACGAGATCGACGCTGGAATTTATCTGAATTACGAGAATTGTATCCGAGACGATATCTACTACGTAAATCGGCTATAGAGTTATTTTTTATGGATAGGACATCATGCTTCTTCAACTTTCGATCTAGTAAAGACCGAACTCGTGTCTTGGCGAGAATTATCGCTTTGAGGCCACCATCCCTTGTTACTCCTGATGCTAGAACGCCGTCAGAGATCTTACGTCGAAGTAATTATACAGAGAAGTGGCAGAGACATGAGATGTCGAACTTTGAGTATTTGATGCATTTGAATACGATCTCGGGTATGTTGCAAATCCAATGCGATTGTTTTTTCCATTTTGTTCTCCGCTAAAGAGAAGAGAAGCTCATCACATTGTAATGCAGGTCGCACTTATAATGATTTGACTCAGTATCCAGTCTTCCCGGTATTGCTGCATTTCCTTATGTACTTTTTGTTACTTGCGCCTCTCTGACTTGTTTTTGTTTTAAGTGGGTCTTGCAAGATTACGAATCAGATACTCTGGATTTGACTGATCCTGATGTATATCGAGACTTGTCCAAACCAATTGGAGCCCTTGATGATGCCAGACTTCAAAACATATTGGAGAGATATCGAGCCTTCGAAGATCCTTCTGGTCGTATCAAGAAATTTCATTATGGGACTCACTATTCGTCGGCTGCTGCCACTCTGTTTTATCTCTTACGTTTGGAGCCCTTTACTACGTTGCATATCTTGTTGCAAGGTGGAAAGTTTGATCACCCCGACCGGTGAGGTTTACTATGGCTTTACGAACTGGTTTTTTTCGGCCACTGATCTGAACCTTGCTCATGTTAGGCAATTCCACTCTATTCAAGCCTGTTGGAAGTCTGTCTTGTTTGGTAGTGGAGATGTTAAGGAATTAATTCCGGAGTTTTATTATATGCCAGAGTTTCTAGTGAATGAGGCGAGTCGAACAAAAAGACCCTTCTTGCATCAAGTGAAATGAATCTCACACGAAGTTTCTCACTTTTCCAGAACAAGTTTGATCTTGGAGTGAAACAAACTGGAGCAGCTGTTGAAGACGTGATTCTTCCACCATGGGCATCGTCTCCCGAAGAGTTCATTCGTATTCATCGTGAAGCTTTAGAGGGCGATTATGTATCCGAGCATCTTCATGAATGGATTGATTTAATATGGGGATACAAGCAAACTGGAGAAGAAGCTGTGAAAGCACATAATGTCTTCTTTTACACTACATATGAAGGAGCTATTGATATTGATGGCATACGTGATCCAGTGGAACGTCAATCTCTCGAAGATCAGATAAACAATTTTGGACAAACACCAAGTCAATTACTCAAACGACCTCATCCTAAACGGCTCCCAAAGACTGCACCGTCTGTCTTCAAATCGACCTTATTTAGCCACCCTCATTCGCACAAAAGTTATCTTATTCAACTCAAGAATGAAGGTATAAGTGGTGTTGTCTTGTGTGAAGACACTACACCTAGTAGTGGTAACATGACGGCAGCTGGGCAATTGATTGAGAAAGTAGTTAGTGGTACCATGTTGGGAGGTGATCGTCTAATTACAATTGCGAACGATGGTACATATGGACTACAAAGATGGACTTCTACGTCAGGTCGTGATGATTCAACACCCTTTGTATATGAGCCAGATTCACCTGATGCTAAACGTCAGTTACCCCAACAGTACTATACTTCATCATCATCCTCTCCTTCTCAATCATTATGGGCCATTACGAAAGAAGGGAATTACATGTTTGTAGGAGGTCATTGGAGTGGTGCTATTGGAGTGATTTCTCTTGATCAGGGAACAAGAGTGGGTGAGCCTATACCTGGACATCGTGATGTTGTCACATGTTTGGCATTGAGTGATGACGGAAGTGTCTTGGTTACTGGATCGAGAGATACTACTGTTGCGACGTGGGATGTGGTCACGTCTGCTGTGCGTAGTATTAGTGATGCTGTTAATATGAGAGATACGGCACCCATACGGTTGATGAATCAGCAGCTTTTGTATGGTCACGATGATGAGGTGAGTTACATTGCTTACGTGCGTACTATTTTTTGACGAAGTTGTTTTCACTCATCCCTCTCAAATTTTTTGCACGCAATCATTCAGGTCACAGCCGTAGCAGTGGTAATCACAGTACTGCACTTGCAACCATCATAGTTTGATCTAACCTTTTCACCGTTTTTTAGGACGTAGAACACGACCTAGTAGTTAGTGGATCTAAAGATGGAACCTGCATCTATTATAGTCTCCATGGCGGACGATACTTTAGAACTGTAAGGCCGACCACCAACTTTAAGGAGGATGTGGTGATGGTCAAACGTGTCTTGGTTACCAAACAAGCTGCCGTTCTTGTTTATTCCGAAACTCAAGCCAAGGTAAAACCACACGGTCCCGTGAGCTGACATCACGGGAATCCCTATTTTGGACGCTTGTCTTATGCCTTGTATTTTCTAGGACATTTCATTCATGCACTCATACAGCATTAATGGCAAGCTATTACGAGACAGAATGTTTACGTGGCAAATGAATGACATACAAGCATCCAGTGATGGCGCGTGTGTAGTGGGAGCTGACAATAAAGGAGGTGTATCGCTGATGAAGCCCTATAAGTATGTTCTATTTTTTGAGAGGATCACGTTACAAAAAAGAAACACGCAATTCCGAAGGTTGGACGGAGAGACTAACAATGAAGTCTCTACTTTCTAGTTTACAAATAATACATCGGTTTGATGTATCCGTGAGTGCCTTGAGTGTGGCTATTTCAAATGACCAACGCACACTCTTCCTCGGCAGAACTGATGGTCGTCTTCTTATCATCGCTCTCGATGCCAGATCTGTTCGAGCGCAAGTCTCTGCTTCAGGGCAATCAGGAATCTCTCTTTTCTAAATATTGAACATAGTGGTTTGCATTAGCAAGGATTTGCAATTGTGTATATGAGTCTATACATCAACACGAGTTTTCAGCAGTACTTAGAAGAGGGTTGAAAGGTCGAGGTTCAATTGAAGGTCGTAAATCGATTTTGACGCGTATCGACTTCTTATTGTAGAAGCTAAGGAGAAGGGCAAATGCAGCTGAGGGTCGGTGAGATGTACTAGTGAACGTCACATAATCATTGCAAAAGCTAATCGTCTCCTCGTTATATGTCGTTATGGGTCGAATAGGTGGATTTTGATGTAGACCACGTTTGATAATGTTGTCAGCAAATAAACACGTGAAACACGGACATAGAGGACGTTCAAGCAATCGTTGAAACAAAAAGAGTCCTTCAAAGTCATTTTTAGAATGAGGATGATTACTACCAGTAACAAGTCAATAAGCTAGCCAACAAGGATTGATTTCCTTGAAGCGTTGTATTTGATGCTTGGGGAGAAAAGAACAAGTGCTGTATACATATGCGTTAGACTAAATATAGAATACAAGGTAGTAAGATACGACTGTAGAATCTGAGCTAGCGTCTTCCATTATGTGAGTTCCCAGAGGGCCTTGGTTTGGCTTTAGCAGGAGCGACGTTTTTTGCGAGTGATTTTTTCTGTTCATAGACTCGGGTCAGCTTGTTTCTGATGTTGCCCAGTTGCTGAATGTATTCGTTGCCACAACCAATGTTTTCCTACAAGGGTTGGGATTGATTAGAATGAGTCAAAGCAGAACATTGCGCATGCCTTCTCACCTCGACGAGTTCTCGTACAGCCTTTAATGATTCCAGCCCTTTAGGATTCAGCCCCTCCTCAATATTCATCTTGTCATGAGTAGCGGGATCGTCACTGTGGACTACATCAGCAAGACGATTCAACAGTTTGTTGAAACCCTGTTCTCGTTCAATGAGCTCTATGGCCGTTTCAGCGAGCATTTTGATGTGACGACTCCTTAGTGAGTGCATGAGGGATTTGTTTTTCCTGACATCTTCGACCTTGTCTGGTGGAGTCCATATTTCTATTGGTTGGTTGAATGTGTTGAGTATGGCTTTGACAGTGGGAACCAATTTGACATCTAAAAGTGAGGATATGTACCGTCTACTTTGATACTCGCATAGGGCTCATCGTCGTCAAGATCGTAGCTACGTTTTGGGCCAGTTTTGCGGGCGAGTATCTTTCTTGAGCCGACATGAGTGAACTAGATTTGAATGGGTTTTTTGTTCAGATTGGATGAGAGGAGAGTTACGAGAGACAACACGATATGCTATGAGAATGCGAATGCAATACACAATGCTATACTCTACCACTCACATGAAAGTCTTCCTGTACTCTTGTAGCGCCCCATAGGGAAGGTCTGTCGCTGTTTGGAAAACCTCCTTCCTTGTCTCGTCGTTTCAGTTTGTTGCCTCGGTTGAATGGAGCGTAATTGTATGGCCCATAGTCGGGCGTGTTGGTCACGTACGGAACAGTGCTGGTGTCCATCGTGCTGATTGGTTGCTCTTGTTGAATGCTGAATGGAGTTGTTGGTTTACAAGTTTGAAGTAAGGGACAGGCCACCTTCATTGCACCCAATACACTTGTCATTCGCGTATATTTACAACAATTGTATGGATAAGATTGGTATCCAGCGTGATTGAATCCATCCGAGTCCTGTTTGTCGTCAAAGACCTTCAATCTTCAATGACAACAAAAATCAACCAAAGTCACAAAACGAGAAATCAAACTTACAATGTCTTGAACCTTGGACATCATAGCCGCATAGGCATCATTGCGTGAGTAAGCAGTACCCTTTGCATTGTCGCAATCTGCCACGAACTGTGCAATCTAATTTACATTGTCATTTTTCACGCTAGATCCATACGAGATACCATATACTAAAACCATGTCTACTCCTGCTGATGATGCAGCCAGGCTCGACAACTTTGAAGACGCTCCTTCGTGGGGTGCTTTTATAGAATCATCACCACCAGCATCTGCTCCAAGAACTATTCACAAGGCAAACAGAGCAACTGCTCCAACAGCAACTCCCAATCTAGCCCCAAAACCATATCGACATATTGCAGATCCCATACCTTCTAGATCCACTGCTGACAGTGCTGTCAAGAGCACAGTAGCACCACTTGTCATTCACCCAACATCAACTGCTCCTGGTTTGCATCGTAAACTGACTAGGAAACAGGCATTAATACCTCCTCCTCAGCCTATTACGATTCATCATGCTCAACCTACTAGTACCACTAATGGTTTGATCAAGAAACCCACTGCTCTTGCTTCATCTAGTTCCAGCACTAGCACTAGACAACCAAACGGCAGTGCAAGTACAGCCCAGCAACCACGTATACCCCCAACTCGTAAAATATTACATGAATTAAAGCCACATGCCATTCCATTGGCTCATCAATCTTCGTCGCCGTCAAAACCACCTCATAAATCTATATTAAAGCACGCTGTAACAACGACAGCTGATATAGTACCGAGAACTACAGCTGCTGTGAGGCCTGTAGATAGACCAATAGTGAAACCAGTGCCTCAAGCTCCCAAGAAAATCAGATCAGCAACTACACCTCGGCCACCACAACCAGCATCACCTCCTCTTCCACCACCTCGTAAAGAGCCTAAATATAGTAAAGAACAGCTACAGGCCTTTATGGAAGAACGAAGAAACAGGGAACGTGAAGAAGAACGTAAAAGGAGGGAAGATGCCAAGTTGAAGGCAGAGAAATTATTGAAGAATAGAGCTCAATTGGACGGGTATCGCAAAGAACAACGAGGTCTACGGCAGATTGGTGCACATGCCAGCAAGGAAGCCATCGTTACTGCCGAAGGTGCTAGTAAGGATGTGCCGAGTAGTGACGGCGTGTTGAAGAAATCGACGTCATTACCATCGTTACAATCACCGCGACACTCTAGTGATTTGAAGAGTACGCTGTCTGAAGGAAGCAAAATAGCTAATGTGGCTAGTAAAAGTGCTGGTGATGCATTGGCTGAAATACCTAGACTCGTAGAAACTGCGCAGCTATTAAATGGTCGAGTGGAAAGATTAATGCAAGAAGCTCTAAACGATGAAAGTAGCTCTGCATCTTCATCTACCACTACCTCAGCAGCAGCAATGCCACCAGCACCAATAGCAGCAGACAATGCAAACATTGCTCAACCTGACCCGGTTACTCGAAATATGCTTGCTCATGCATTCAGTCGTGTGGATCGAATTGGAGTTGCCAGTGATTTGGTCACTAGCACTACAGAATCTACTATAGACTCGTTGGATTTGCAGCTCGCTCGACCTGAATATGGACATGGAGATGTATATAGCTTGTCCAGTGTCTTGTCGAAACGGTTGGGAAAGAGGTCGATATTGATTAGAGAGGATGCTGGCCGTAAATCGGACACTAGGACTCCTTCAAAGACTGAGAAGGTTGATGATGTGAACCCTAGTCCTGCAGCACCGCTACCGCCGAGTCAAATAGCAACGGCAAGTCCAGCTATCGAGTTGAAATCTACTGCTGTGGAACCATCGATACCTAAAATAGAACCAACGGCAGCACTGGAATCCTCTTCTTCCGTCATACGGCCTATAGTGCAAGAGCATCCTACTGTACCTCCTATCGTACAAGAGAAGCTAAGAGGCGAATCACCAAATCCAAATCTGGACATACTAGATAGATATCTCCAGGCTTCTCCTGAACCGCAGAGACAACGAAGAAGTCATCCTTTCGATGTTGACGAGATGGGTGGTGTAGATGAAGACGAGGATCCAGCTGCACTTCCTAGTCCACGACAAGCCAGCAATAATAGTGCGCTTGAAGCAACTACACCACCATCACAACCACCTATCTTTGCTTCGACTCAAATACAGAAAGAACATGAGTACTCGGATGTATTTGAAAGTGATGCTATAGCTGCATCTAAAGCAAATATGGATAATGGAGAAGCAGATACATCATCGATTATGACTAATGAACCTCGATCACGAGCACCTCAGCCCATGCCGAAAATAGTACAGGAGAGTGTTACTGAAGGGTTTATAAATGGTAGTAATGGTAATAATGATGATCCTACTGCTAGTCCCAAACGAGGCAAATCAACTGTAGAATTTGATTTGAGACATTCTCCTGCTACGCTCAGTAGGCAGCTACAAGAAAGTCTTGCGGATTATGAGAATGCTGGTTTTAGGGAACAAGTGGTTAATAATTTTGAGTCTATTGCTCAATTGAGTTTGGCTAATCAGAAAAGTGCAACGTGAGTAGTCGTAATTATCTTGTTGAGGGTTTGACGTGGTATTAACACTTATTCGTTCTTGCGCTCACTTTTTTGCGATAGATTTACTCAATTGCAATCGCTAATTCAACGTCAACGCTCTGCCAAAATGGATGTAAATCCTCCTCCACCAGCACCACCGTCTGAAGGCTCGATATTGGATAATTACTTTGCTCAACCATCATTTGCAGAAGATTTACAAACCCAGGAAGATTTATACCTTGACGAATCGCAACTCGAAGAATCCCATATCGAACAGATTGATGAATCTGAACATTTGGAGACTGTTGAATCTCATATCGAGCAGGTTGATTCTGACAAGATGGGAACCGTCAATGACGAAGATGAGGTTGCTGATGACATATCTAGTTTCCATATCAACAGCAATAAGAATGGTGGTTATCAACAAGCACCGTCAGATATAGTCGATGATGTATCCAGTATCGCAGTACCTGATTCTCGGCCACCTGCTTTGGAAGACACGTACGATGAACTTGTACAAGAAGCAGTTGGATCTACCCAATCTGTAATAACAGAAGACATTGTTGAAAATGTTGTGAATGAAGAGATACCTAGTATTGCTTCTCCCAAGTCATCTGTTGAAAGTGTAGTGGAGGAGTCTTTGGTTAGAGATGAGTTGCAGGATGTTGTTGACGAGGTGTGCATTGAAATATTAGAATTATAAAACGGGTGTTTATGTCAGCTTTTTTTGTTTCTAGTATACAAGCTTCCACTCGGATTCTGTGAGCTCTATCAAAGCTGAGACTGTACCTGCTGCTCGAGCTGCGTTGTCGTCTCAAGCGAATGGACTTTCGAAGCAGGATTTAGAGTCACGTAGTGCAGCTTTGGAGTCTGTAAGTGGCCAAAAAGGAGACAGTCTGTCTCTACAAACTCATTTTAATTTGATTCCGATAGAAAATGGATATGATTCTCCAGAAGCTAGATCAGTTTATTATGGTATTGAAGTGTTGTTTCACGCCCGCAAAAAGAAACGCTTGATATAACGACATCACTCGATTTTAGGGTGCCAAGCCAGATGCAAATGGTGGTAACGAGCCTCGACAAGAACCTGAACCTGCCCCTGTCGAAGCAGTCGAAGACAATGAAGCAGTTGATGAAGCAATTGAGGCTGTAGATACATCCAGTGCTCATCAAGACATTACAACGTCAGCTCTATTTTCGATTGGAGATCATCTGTACCAAGCTAAGAAGCTTCAAATCGGTGAAACACAAAAGCGAAACGCTGCTCAACATAATGCCACTATGAGAGTCGCCAAACAGAGTATCTATAGTGATCGACCTCCATTGACTACTCGTATCCAGCAAGCCATGTCATCTATATCGTCATTGCAAGAAGATATTGCTATTGACGCTACTGAGAATGATGTACTTGATGAGAGATCGGTAGCTGAGAGTGTGGAATATGATGATGACTTTGATGCTGATGATGTTGCGGTAGCTGCTTCAGCTGCTGAAGAGTCGTCGTCGCTTGTGGAGGGTCTTCTGAAGCCTGGTAAACTTTAGCTCGTGATCATTGTGTTTCTATTGCAGGAATTCTGTAATGACGTTTTGTAATAGGCACCGAACATGCTGAATTAGAAAAGCTACAAGCTCTTCGTAAAGAACATGAAAACAGAAAGAGCAAATGGGAGCAGACTCAACAGCTTTTGAATGAGAGGCAGATACAGACTAGACGTGAACTGGAAAAGAATGAGATGCTTTTGTCAAGGAGTATTCAGGTAATTATTTCTCGCCTAGTCTCGGTTTTTCTCTCGCTCGGGCTAACGCGTCGGTGTACTTTTTTATAATAGCCGGGTCGAACAGCATCACGTAGAACAGTAATTCTCAAAGATGCAGCCACGTCACCTTTGAATATATCTGCAAGCTCATTCGATGATATACGATGGGTTGAACCTGCCAACAAGGATTCGGTATCTGATATTGAACTACCGTCAGATCGTATTGAAATGGATGTCGACGCTGAAGTATCAGAATCGCTGAGCATATCATCCATCCACACATCTAAAAAGAAACAAGACGAAGTGTCACGAGCACTTGATGAGATCCCAACACCGCCCAGTTATCATAGTCCAAAACAACAACGTAAAGACTCAATGGATGTGTATTCTTCTGACTTTGTTACTGAAGATGATGAGGATGTAGCTGCAGTACAAGCTCAGCTTGAATCTGTTGCTTCGCAAGTTGAAGATGAGGTTATTGAGAAT